TAAAACACAAAACAAATAAAAAAAAAAAAAAAAGTGTGCCTTTGCATAGCGTATGCTCTAGGCGGGCAGGTTATGATCTGCTTTACAAAGGCCTTATATGCCGCTGGGCATGCTTGCTTGTGGGTTGACTGCAACGAGAACCGTCGATATACAAATATCGAGTGCTGAGAGCTGCTCAAGCCCGAACAATTGCACGCACACTTTTGCTGGTTGGACCAGGTCGACACCACCGGCGTTGGCAATGGCAAAGAGGGAGGGAGCAAAGACATGATCCTGAGCAGCAAAATGGTCGATACAATCCCTTCAGGGCAACATTCATGAGTGGTTGTTGGAAAAGCTAGAGGTGCGCCAGTGGGCGGGCCTCACTTGTACTTGAAAGTGACGAGAAGCAGCATGAACTCACTCATTGTGCCAGGTGGGGACGCAATAAGAGGAGGCACTGCTGAGTGTGACGTCGAAGCTGGGGGTGCTGAGAGCTCCATACTGGGGCAGAAACGAGGTCGTTGTGACACAGAAAGCCCTGGGGATTCGCAGTCGTGTGGGATATGCCTCGCGGAGGTGGACGATCAAGGCCTTCTTGACTCCTGTCAGCATGCATACTGCTTTGATTGTATCATGAAGGTACGTCAGATGTTGTTTCAAAGATGGTGTGCACGGCTCGACCGTGTTCATCTTTCTGACATTTGCTTTTCTTTTTTTTTTGAAAAAGCATTTTGTATGTTTGCAACTTCACAAGATTCCCCCTTCAACAGGGCATGGTGGTGGCCTTTGTTCAGAGGCATGGGCCTTTGGTGTGAGGCATATGCGATTTGGTATTGCACTAATGATCCGTTAGAAACCAGCTGCTCATCTTTGCAACTAAGTTTCAATAAGGATCTGAGCAGCCCACTCTTCTCCTCTTGTTTGCTGCTTAAGTCGATTGGAAGACAATCTTGTCATTTGATACAAAGCCTTTCCTTTCCCTCCTGACCAGTGGTCCCAAGTTGAATCTCGGTGTCCCACCTGCAAGAGAAGGTTCCACCGTGTGACCCGTACCATGATGGAAGGAGCTGGTCGGCGCGGCAGCCTAAGCCGGCCCCGCAGCTTCCGCATCCCGGTGAAGGACCAGGTGGGTACTTATCGTTGCAGCGGAAGCTCCAAGAAGGTCTTGTGACTTCGTGCGATGCATTAGAAAGCTGGTGTAGACAATGATCAGGAACAGGTGGCAAGTCGCTGCTGTGCCCATGGTGGGCTTGTTTTGGATCAGCGCTGAGGCGGAGTGTTTGCGGGTGGTGCAGGTGTATCAGCCGAGCGCGGAGGACCTGGCGGCGTACGCCAACACGGTGTGCATGGTCTGCCTTGAGTCAGACAACGAGCACCTGCTGGTGAGCCCCCACTTCCTCTTGTGACTGTCTCCAGGACATCTGAGCCCGTTTTGACTGCATAGTCTGGCAGGTGGCGTCAAGAGAAGCCCCGTTGCTTCTCAGGAGGCTGCTGTTGGTTGCACTGGTGATGCCTCCAGCGCTGCTGACTGCAGCGTTGTGTGTGTCGGTGGCTGTGCAGCTGCTGTGCGACGTGTGCGACGGCGCTGCCCACACGTACTGCGTGGGGCTGGGGCGGCAGGTCCCGGAGGGGGACTGGTTCTGCGCCACCTGCACAGGAGCTGATGACGGCGCCACCTCCGGCAGTGACGCCTCAGTTGGCGAGGAGGAGCTGGGGGAGAGCAGCGACAGCGGGGCAGCTGCGGAGGAGGCACAGCAGGGCAGGCACCCAGGGGGCATCATGTCCGACGAGGACAACGACACAGAATTCCGTCTCGAGATCCAATTTGACTCCCAACCAGCCAGGGCTACTGCGACGAGGCAAGGGCGGCGATTGCGGTCCGCTTCCAGAACGGTACAAGGCCCGCAAGGAGGGGCCGGGGCCGCAGACAGAGGCCGGCGCGCAACGCGGCGCAGGGGAATTGGGCTTCGAGAGCAACTGCGAGTGTCCAGTGTGCCCTCTCTTGACGGGGGGGGCGCTGTCGGAGCAAGCGGGAGGAATGGTTGGCGTGAGGGGCGGGTCGGGGACCGCGTAGCAGCCTCGGCGCGTTGGGGGGGCGGAACCGGTTTCGCTCGCACGCTGCAGGTGGGCTTCAACGCCTCTGGCCTCGCTTGTGCCTTGTGACCAGTTTCCTCTCTCGTATATTTGTTGCCTCGTCACTGCAGGAGATTCCCTTGCTTTCATTCCCTTCCACCAACAATTCCACCGACATGAGAGTTTGAGCTCGCCCAAATGACGCCCAATCAGAAAAAACTTTAAAACCAAGGTGCAAATGCGGGTCAGGACAGAGTTTTTTCCAAAGAGCCAACGGATAACACCTTCCTGCAATACATCTTTGCAAGTCAGATTCATCCCCTTGGAGAAAGAACCCTCCGGTATAGGACACACACTTACTCGCACGTTTGTTTTGTCCAAATTATTATATAAGCTGGGAAAAGGTCTCCATCTTTGAGGGACTCCTGGATGATGTCAATGTCAGTATCGATGGCGGCGGCGCTGATGCGCCCCGCCCTCCTGCTGCGTGCTCCAGGCCCAGGTGCAAGACGCGCTGCAGCTGCGGCTGATGCGTGAGCGCTGGCCCGCCATCCGCCAGGGCACGCTGCACTTCCCGTCACCCTCTCATCCTGCCCCGCCGCCGCAAGCTGGCCCCCCAGCCGCCTCCAAGCCGAAGGATGGCGCTGGCTCGGAATCGGAGCGCATGGCATGGAAGGCGCTTCGGGCGCTGCAGAGCGGAGAAGGGGCCATGCTGGGCGACACGCGCGTCCAAGGAGGGGCGGGGCCGAAATCGAGGGCAAGGGCTGCAAAGAAAGAGGAGGGCAAGGGGATAAGGGGCAGGGCGGCACCCAAGATCTCGACTGTTGCTGAGCGACCAAGAGGGTCATCGCGAAAGGAGCTGACTCGGAGTCATAACGAGGCACGGGATCATATCGAGCAGCGGACTGGCAATGCCGGCCAACAGACACGGGCGCAGCAGAGGAGGACTGCGGACGAAGACGGGGCCGGGGGGCAGGCTGCGGTGGGGGCGTTGGCAGCATTCGCAGAAGCGCGGCGGCAAGCAAACGCGGGGTGGGTCGATGAAGAAGTGCTGCAGGGTCTGAGAGAGGGGCTTGGGGAGGGGCCGTCTAACGGGGGGCAGAGGAAAGGCAGCAAGAGCAAAACGTCGTCAGCGCATGGCGCAAGGCTCGGCATCACGCCACATGGCAGCTGGGCTCGTCGGCCTCCATCCAACGAGACCGCTCCCACTCGCAGAGTCAGCCATAGCGGCGAGGTACCGGCCGGGTGGCCGGCATGCACCCAGGCAGGGGGCCCTGCGTGGTCCGCAGCTGGTGCGGCAGGCCAGCCGAATTGGCGACGAGAATGGCACTCCGGGCCGCCATGGGCGCAGGTGGCCCCTGCATCTAGTGGAGGCAGTGTCCTGGGGGCCAGCAAGGGCCGCGCATGGATTGACATGTTGCGCCCGCCGTCCAGTCTTGCCGACAGCAGGCCTGCCAGGCTGCCGCCTCCCTCCCTACCTGGCGAGATTGGGAGCATGGCGCCGGGCACGCCGCCCCCCCTGTGGCCTCGCTCCCCGGTTGCCGAGGGCGCCTCTTGTCTTCCGGCACCGCTGCTGCCGTCCTCTTGTCTGAGACCCGCACCCGCAGTCCCGTCGACGGCTGCCGCCCCGCACGCAGCGGGGCCCTCAACAACACCTGATGTTGGTCAGGGGGCCTGGCGGCCAAGCCCTGAAATTCCGCAGGCTGGGGTCAAGGAATCAGGTGAAGGAGTGGCGACTGGGGAGGTCTTGCCCAAGGAAAGGGCGGCCCTAGCCGGCGGTGCGAACACGGCTGGGGAGGTGGGAGCTCACCAGGTCTTGAACAGGGCAGCTGGCGGGGTGGGCGCAAGCAACGTCGGGGAAGGGGGCCACGGGATGGAGGCGGCGAAGCGGGTCAAGGACGAGCTGGCCGAGGCAGTGAAGCGGCAGCTGGCGCCACTGTACAAACGGAAGGTCATCGGTGAGCACCCTGCGCGATTTGGTCGAGCTACCCTGATCGCAAGCTGTTGCCCCTCTGCAACGACCGGTTGATGCAAAGCAGACAGGACTGTTGACATTGCAGCCAAGCAAGCAACGTGTGATCTCGAACCAGGCAAAGCCGGACTGCTGACGAGCCTTGTGCTTGTTTATGCTGTGTTGCAGACAAAGAAGAATTTCGAAAGGCAGCCGTAGGCGCTTCTCGCGCCTTGCTGCAAATGCCATCGGCACAAGGTTTGTACGAAGAGTTGAAGAAGAACGGTGACGGGCCGGATAGCCGTCGAAGCCCACCGCGCTACTGGTGTTGTCAACGGAACTTCGAAGGTCCCGTAATCAGCCGCTTGCCTTTCTGCCTATATTGTATAAAGCGCCAGGTTGATGCTCAATTGAAGGGCTTGCAAGTTCATACAGGTACTCAGCATGAAGGAGAAGGTTCTAGGTTAAATTTAAAAGAGTTAACATAATCTTCGGATTGCAATTTGCCTCCATGCCCGGCCGGCAACACAAGTGTGAGAACTGTGCTTTAAATCAGGCGATCTGTTTCTTATGTTACTTGGTCGTTCCCCTCCAGCACATACAACCTAAGAAACATTGCCTGGCAGGCAGTAGACAGCACCTGGTCTATTTCACAATTCTCTATTTTGATCGACTGTTGCTTCGTCGAAACACATGGGCAACTTATTTGAGATACTAACTAGCTTCTGCATGCTAGCGAGGGGAAAATATGAATACTTCATCGCGTGTGATCATCTTCTCTTGCGGGACCTGTGAGTACGCGCGGCGCGCGGCAGCTATGTATTTGAGAAACATTGTTGGGCCGGACGGCCTAGAAAAGTATCAACGTACTAACATATTTGCAGATACCAACGATCAATTAAGTTCCGAGTCATACGCGTGATGGTGAATTCTTACATATGCAAGACAGTGCCAGACGGTGTGCATGGTACATAGATATGCATTCGCAGTACGCGCGTTGCCAAGTTCGGGCAAAGTTTCAAATGTATCGTTAGCTAGTATACAAGGCGGCCGCGGCCGCCCCGCCCGGTAATACTGAATAAGTGGCTGCATGTGGCGCGCGCGGCGATGCCACACTGATGCATGCGGCAATGATCTGATGCAGAATGAACATAAGCGCCAATTGTGTAAATCTCTTTTACGTACATACTATACCTATATACTATGCACAATTTTTGTATATGCTAGCTGTACCTAAAACTATGGCGGCAATTCATGACTGTTATACTCCCGATCAGATCGATCGTTGCCCGTGCGGATCAACAATTGATATCCGCACGATCTTATCGATCCGCAATCAAGTTGAAGACGCATTGCCAGGTTTGAGAAGCTTAGATTCAATCATGTTTGCAGCTAGCTACTCAGTATAGGCTAGCTAGACTTGCGTGTGCAGTTATAAGGAAAGGTTCAAGAGGAATGCTGAGACGGTCACATCGTAATTGTACTTGAATGCGGCCGGCCGCTTCTCCTCGCATGGCCGCGCATGGCGGCACGAACTTCGGATTTCCTCGATATCATCATCATTTGCATATAATTGGACTAAGAGGCGGGCCCGACGGTGGTCAATACATCGAGCTATCCTTTCCAAGGCTGTCAGTATTCTCAGTTGCAGTGATCATATGCAACCGCGGTGCGCGGCGCCATGCACATGTACCATCATGATCACAACAACAACAGACTGAGATCTACATGTTTAGCCGGGTGCCAAAAGCTCGCTGTATACACGTTGCATGGACAACACATCATTGTTATACGGAACACCCATTTTAAACTGTTAGGTCATGGTCCACTTTGCTGCCCAACATTGCACTTGAGAGCCACCGCCGAGCTGAAGAACTTGTGATTGTGTCTTGTGCGCCCCGGAAGGACGTGAGCCCTTCGAAGCTCGCAGCCTCGTCGAGATGCCTGAAGAGATCTGCCTCAGCACCGGCGCGCTGTGGAGTTCTGTGGTCGCCTGCAACACTGGGGCCGTCTGGAGAGGCAGCAAAGCTGGGCGATGAGCAGACCCCGCTGGTTTCTCCCCTCGCAATCGCGTTTCTCCCGCCTGGAAAATCTTGTCTTGACGTGTGGGGGGACGCGTCCTGGGGTGGAGACGGCGAGCTCCCTTTCCCGTTTGCTTGCACGGTCGCTCTCGCACTGTTTTGCAGCTCCCGAACGTCCGCTCCACAACGCTGAGCGGCCTCTCCCAACCCGTTGAGGCACGCGGGTCGGGCGACCGGCCGTGAGGGCCCTCTCTCCGCCGCGTACCCCGGGTGGAGCCTCTGCCGCACGAGCTTCATGGCAATCTCCGCGTCGTGCACGCGGTCGTCCGCCGCGAGGGCCACGTCGCGGCCGCTGACCACGCCCCGTGACCGCTCAGCCACGTGGGCATGGCGCGCTGCCTTGAGCTCCTCCTCCACGGCCGCCTTCTCCGCCTTCACCTTGCTCACCTGCACCCACCACATGTGCGCTCAGATGCAAAGCGGACGCAACACGTACGAAAAAACAGCAAAGCACGGCCACGAGGAAAATACCGCAGGCATGATGCTGCCCCACGCTGTGGGTGAAGCGATCTTCGACTGCCGCTGATGTCATGGAGGCCTTGGTATCTCAGTCCTGCATGGCCTGAGCCCTGCTGCGCACCGTCGCAGGGCTGCTATCCGCCGCGCTCACCTCGTGCAGCAGGTGGTTGACCATGTTCATGAGGTCCATCTTCTCGGCCGGGATGCGGGCCCCGCCGCGCGGCTGCCGCACCAGGAACTTCTGGCTCAGCTTCAGCGTCTCCAGCTCGCTGCGCGTGGCCGCCGCCTCCTTCTTGTGCGCTGCCAGCTGCGCCACCACCTGCGCACGCAGCCCGCTCTCCTCCTCCAGCGTGCCCGCCAGCCGCGCGTTCGCGCCCTCCAGCGCCGCCAGCCGCTCCGCCGTCGCAGCCAGCTGCCTCTGCACGGCCGCCACCGCCCCCGCCTCCCCCGCCTCCCCGCGCTCGTACGCAGCCAGGCGGCCCCGCAGCTGCGCCACCTCGTTGCCGTACAGCTCCTGCACCACGCACCACGCACCGCAACAACGTCAGCGCTTGGGGACATTGCGGACTCCACTTGAGACCAACGAGGTGGCTTTTCAGATATGGGCGAACTTAAATAATCCTAGCATTCGGAGTTCAGCCGCAATCGTCAAGAGAACACAATCAGTCCACCACTTGCCAAGACCAACCGGAAAGGCCAGTCTCATGCCACGTTCTGAAGATAGCCGACTTCTGAAAACGACAAGGTGTGCCCCGCATGCGGCCATCAACTCTGCACCAACAGAGGGAGTAACTGGCCGGAAGTTGCTTCCAAAAGCGCACAGTCCTTGGGTCGTCAACGCTCGTCAAGCAGCCAGTCAGGCTCTTGCTCCCGAGCCGAGCCCCTCAAAGCCGCGTAGAACCATCCGAGCAGCTACTGGAGCTACTTGATCTCACCAAGCCGAGCACCCCTTCCCGTTCTCCGGCCTCACCTGCAGGGCGTGCATCTCAGCGCGCAGCTGCCCCCTCTCCTGCTGAGCGCCTTGCTCCTTGTCGCGCAGCTCCGTGGTGGTGTCGTGCGCCTGTCCGCGCAGCGCGGCCACCTCCGCGCGCAGGGCCTGCGCCTCGGCCTTAAGCTTGCCGCGGATGAGCACCAGCGTGTCGCTCTTGGCGTCCACCATCATGCGCAGCAGGGCCAGCCCGCGGGCCAGCCTCGCCACCTGCATGCCCCAGGCAGCACGCTCACCAGCAGCTCACCGCACAGCGAGGCTGACTCTGGGCAACCACGGGATCCACAGACACTGATCATGCCAGGGACAAGACGAGGTCACACTCGATTGCGCACTTTATATATGACAAGCAGTGAATAACACCCTTCTTATCATCTGATAAACAATCTTAGCTTCTCCGCTGTCAAAGACGAGTTTTCCAGTGTTTGTATGTCTTAACGCCTCCCTGTGAGTTGAATCGAGGTTGCGATGCTGCTCAATGTGAGGCCCCGCCCCCATGGCTTACCTGCTTCCCCAGGCCATGCTTGTCCCCTTCCAGGGGCGCCTTCTCCTCTAGCCCGCCCAGCGCCTCCGGGGGCACCTTGAACGTGGGCAGCACTGCCTGCTGGAAGGCCTCCACCCCGCTGGCCATCTCCGCCACTGCGCCCGCCGCCGAAGTCACTACTGCCTCCAGCCTGCGCAGCGCAGCCGCTCCCTGCTGCTCCGCCTCAGTCGAGCTGCAAAAGAAGCAGACACAGTTAACGGGTGAGGGGGCACCTCGAATTTTCAGTGGCCGCAATGTCTTGTGGAGGGCTATGAATCAAACAGTGCATGGTGAGGTGAGGACAGCTTGTTTGCGCCGGCACGTCCCCATTCCCTGTGCAGCGCTCACCTGTGTGCATGTTCCTGCAGTGTGTGCTCCAGGCGCTCCCTCTCCGCAGCCTCCCTGTGTAGCTCCTCCTGAGCCGCCTCCAGCGCCGCGAGCAGCTGCTCCCTCTCGCACTCATACCCCGCCGTCTGCTCGGCCACCCTGGCGCTGATGTCATCATCGCGGTGCTGACGCAGGCGGGCCAGCTCGGCCCGGTGCTGGCGCTCCTGCGCGCTCACGTCGCGCAGCTGGCCACGCAGCAGCTCGTTCTCATTGCGGAGGGACTGCGCCACCACCGCCTGCTCCACTGCGGCAGGGGGCCCGCCAAACTGCTGCCTACTCAGCGGCCGCTCAGGCGGAGAAAATGCCGGGTACATTGTGCTGACCATGCCCTTGACCGCTTCTGCGTGGCTGGGGCTGCCAGCCAGCTCGGAGGTGATGGGAGAGCGGTTCACAAGGGCACTCTTAATGGGGGACTGGAACACCGAGGGCTTCCTACTTTCGGGAGACGAGTCGGGGCTGCTGCGACCCCTGGGAGAAGCGGGGGACCCTAGGGGTGTTGCCCACATTGCTGGCTTCATTTGCGGCCCTGGCTTGCTCACAGACTCGATGGTCCTTCAAGTGAACGGCCCCAGAAACCCTTCTTGTCTCCCCGGTATGCCCCTCTCTCAATCTCATGCAGGGAGCGCCTCTTGCACAAAACCCCAGGATCTTGAGACCTCTACAACAAAGTCAGTATTGCCGGAGGGCGCCTATGGACTCTGATTTTCCACCAGGATAGGCAATAAACAAACAACCTACGCATCCGAGTAGAGAGCTTGAACCCCTGATTTTCCAAGATACCCCTGACCTTTAGGACTCCCAGCAGATCCTCTGCCCAGCACTACTTTGCAGGTTCAACGTGCAACTTCTCATCTTCTTGGTAGACGAAAGGTTCTTGCTTAGCATGCTGCACGGCTTTCTGCAACACAGATTCCCTTGCTTGTACACTTCGACCTCCATCCAGAAACAACATGACCGGCACCTCTGCACGGAACTTCTGCATCCTGAGGAGATCTAGGGCCCCAAGCGCCGACTCAGGCTCGTTGTGCATGACTCAATCTCCGGCCCAGGCTTCCTCGGGACCAGGGATGAAACTGGGACTCAAGGTGCTGTGTCCTAGCCAGAGCCACAGCAGCCGCCCACGCCGGCAGTACCGTATTCCCAACGCTGTGATTCCAGAACTTTAACCTATCCCAAACCGTCCATTGTGGTCCTTTTCTCTCATTTGACGGCCAGATTCGCAGTATTCTATTAATGCGCGAGCTAACCTACGTTCAGCCGACCTCACGTGAACCTGCAATCGCAATGAACTCTGTTTGGAGTATGTATGGCCCCTACCGGCATACCGTATTACAGTAGGTAGGGTCCTATGTGACGACTTCCTGCTATCTCGACTTTTACTTTTAGCGAAGAAGCTACTAAGACGGTTCGCGCATTCGGCCAAGCTAGGGCGGTCAAGCTCGTGTTGAGGTCATCAGCAGGAGGGGTCGTTCGGTTCCTTTCAAGAAGCCCGCCGCCATGGGGTGTCTGTGCGGGCACGAGGACGAGGAGGGCCACAATGGGGCGCACCCTCCCGCCCCTGCTCCCGCCAAAGATGTGAGCAGCAGCGCTCCCTGCTGTGCAGCTGGGGACCAGCTCGTCCGAATTTTTGGCCAGCTCGGAAATGCTTAGTTCCAGCTAGCTGTGTCTTCTGTGTCTTGACGGGTGTCGGGAGCTCAGGAGCACATTCAGAGTACTGCACGTGCTGGGCGCCACCTTCTTCGAGCAAGATGCCCTGTAATGTCAGAGAACAATACTGCTGCAACCTTCTCACAGGCTTGCTTTATTGGTGCAGGTTTTTGCAGAGAACCGGAAGTGCCGCGACGTCCTGTTCCTCATCCTATTTGTTGCCTTCTGGGTGAGCTGCCACACCGCAACGTCCCACTTCCAGTGCACTCCCGGTCAACTCAAGGCGGCCTTTCCTCTACTCAATGAGCTGTGTGCCGCCGTACTGCCCTCACAGCAAGCTCCGCTGATTGCTGCTGCAGCCTGCGTCTGCCGTGCTCTTCTACATGACAATGTGTGCTACCTGCCATTGCTGTGCGCGCTCACACAGGCTCACTGATGCAGGCGGGCATGTTCTATGTGGGCGGCACTGCTTTCAACAAGGGGGATCCCAACAGGTACTTCTAGCATGGCTCTCTGACCCTTTGTACGGCATGCCACATCAGTGGTGGGACGCGTTCTCGGAGTTGACTGTCATGCCATCATGTGCATCATTGGGATGCCTCGCTCCCTTAGTGCGTGTGATGGGTGGACTGAGCTCAGAAACGGAGAGGTGTGCCAAGACTGCGTGGCAGGATGCCGCCGGTGCTGCCTGGTGCTCACCTAGTGTGGGGCAAGTGCTGTCCTGCCACCCTTGCTCACGCTCCCTCTCCCCCTGCTTGTTGGCTGCGGCAGGATTATCTACGGCCTGGACAGCCAGGGCAACCTGTGTGGCCAGAAGAACGCTGGCGTCAATGGCACCGGCGGCCCCGACCTCAGTAACAAGAAGCGCCTCTACTGGTGCGCCGCACGAGCCAGCCTCAGCCCTGCCCTGCCCTTGCCAGGGTCATCCCGAGCCATCTGCCAATACTGACTTCGACTTCTTCTATCAGACCTCAGAGTGCTGTTGCAAGGCCTGCAATAGACGGGGACTGGGCCCCTCCCCCGTCTCCTTGTATCGTACATACTTGGCCTTGGCACATGGTGCCGTCTGTGGCCCTAACAAACAGCTGCGGGGCACTTGTTTGCAGACCTGGCTGACGGTGCTCCCTCACGGTTGTGCAGGCTGGACTACCGTGACATCGTGGGGGGCAACATCACACGCTCCAAGCGGGTCTGTGTGGCAGACTGCCCTGCCAATGTGAGCGTTGCTGTGCATTCTGTGAACCCCTTCACCAGAAGCTACGTCCTGGGCTGTCAAAGCAATATGAGACCTCAAAACGAAGTCATACGAACTACACAAGGAGAAACCTGAGTGAGTTTCTTCTCTGACACTTGGTTCGCTCCCCCTCCTGCGCAGAGCACCGAATTCGTGTGTGCCTACAACGGTCAGTACGAGACGGACTACTTCAACATGCTCTCCATTGCGGGCAAGCTCAACTCAGCGCTGGGTGAGAACCACCCCCCATGGAAGGCCACTGCTGACCGTTGCATGCCATATGTGAAGCAGGGAATGGCTGCGTGCCTCAGCTGCCAGGTCAACCGAGTCTTCCGCGCACCTGTTGCCTCCTAACGCCGTCGTGCCCCTGCTGTCCGCAGGCTCTGGCCCCTGCTACCCGGTCCTGCTGCCAACGGTGTCGGTTTTGAACAAGTGCTTCCCTCAGGCCCCCCCGGGCCTCACTGCCTTTGTGAACGGCGCTGTCAACGCTTCCGCTGCTGCCCCGTCCAGCACCGTTAGTGCCAATGCAACGGTCGACTTCGAATTCGTGGCATCGATGGCGGCCAACCTGTCCAAGAACAAGCTGCAGGTATGCGCCGCAGGGCCGCCCTGGTGGCACAATGCGCGACGGTCCGCAAGGTGACGCATGTTCTCAACGAGGGAGGCGCACGACTTCCACTGCTGTGGCCCGCCCTCTTGGACCTCTCCAGTCTTCGCTCTTGACCGTCTCGTGTGTCGGCACCGCGTGACGAGTGCTGAGGGTGCGGCGCTGCGTGCAGGCGTACATCAGCGACTTGATCAAGGCGTGGCTGGTGGTGCTGGTGTGCGGCGTGGGCGGCGGCGTGCTGTTCAGCGTGCTGTGGATCGCGGTGCTGCGCTTCTGCGCGGGCGTCATGGCGTGGACGTCCATCCTGCTGGTCAACGCCGCGCTCGTCGGCTGCACGCTCTTCTGCTACGCCAAGGCCGGCAAGCTCAACGGGCAGGCCATCGCGCAGGACCTGGGCCGCGACCTGCCCGCCGCGCTCAATCCCTCCACCGAGGACCGCCACGTGTTCCTCGTGGTGGCCTACGTCATGACGGGCCTGTCGGTGGCGATGCTGGTGATCACGGGCCTGCTGTTCCGGCGCATCCGCATCGCGGTGGCGTGCCTCAAGGTGGGCAGCCAGGCCGTGGCCGCCATGCCGCTGCTCATGCTCTTCCCCGCGCTACCCTTCCTCCTCCTGGTCGCCCTCCTCGCCTACTGGGTCGCCGTCGCCGCCTTCCTCTACAGGTCAGCCCCGCGCCCGCACCCCTCGTTCCAAGCACCAACATGCACGGAAAGTTCCACTCCGTACGGTTACGCAAATTTAACACCGTGATGCCACTTGCATTGCCTGTTTCACTGTCTTTTGTTCTTTGGTCTCTTCGAGCGCGTTCGATGGGGCCGTGCTTGTGGTGCTGTTTGTCCTCGCCTTTCACAAGCCCGCCCCTGAGAGCCGCCGCGTGCCGCCGGTGGTGCAGTGCGGGCGACATCGTGCACGCTGCGGACGGCAGCTACAGCATCGTGTGGGACACCACGCTGCGCTACATGGCGGTGTACCACCTCTTCGGCCTGCTGTGGACGTGGCAGTTCATCGCGGGGCTGGGCTACTGCGTCGTCGCCGGCGCGGTGGCCAGCTTCTACTGGTGCCGCGGCGACCGCAGCCGCGTGCCGCGGTGCCCCATCACACTCGCGGTGAAGCGCACGGCGTGGTACTACCTGGGCTGCGTCGCGCTGGGCAGCCTCATCGTGGCGCTGGTGCAGTTCGTGCGGCTGCTGCTCGAGTGGGTGGACCGCAAGGCGCGCAGCGTCACCGGCGGCGGCGGCTGGCTGGCGTACGTCATGGGCTGCCTGCGGTGCGTGCTGTGGCTGGTGCAGAAGATCGTGCAGTTCATCAACAAGAACGCGTACATCATGGTCGCCGTCAAGGGCACCGGCTACTGCGACTCCGCCGCACGCGCCGTGGCGCTCATCCTCAGGTGAGCACCCGGCCCGGCGCACAGCAGAAGCCGGCGCGGCACGCACGCAAGCATGGACAATGTGACACAAATGACAGTCCCGCCATGGACGCTCCTCAGCAATGAGAAGCGAGACCAAAATCAGGAGCCTTCCATCTGGTACAAAGCTTGGAAACTTTGGAATCAAGATCGATAACCCGGAAGCTGGGTCCGGTGGCTCGACGTCTGCTCAGGAGAATGTTGCTTCCTCCTTTGAATGACTGCTTTTCCGACCTCATTGATTTGAGTTATCTTCAGATTGCTTTGACAAACCAAAATTTCCAAAACCCCCGCCTCATTATCAAATAAGTTCACGAGACGGCCGTCGGTGCGGGTCGCTCTCGCTCCGTCCCCGTCTCTGACCGTGTATTGCGCCCTGTGGCCCTGTTTTGTGGCAGCAACGCGGTGCGCGTGGCTGCGGTGAACACGGTGGGCGCGAGCCTGCTGTGGGTGGGCAAGGTGGCCGTCGCGGCGCTGTGCGGCGGCTTCGCGTTCCTCATGTGCGACCTGCCGCAGTATGCGCAGCCCGACCGGCCGGCGTACCTGTCCAGCCCGCTGTTCCCGGTGCTCTTCTCCGCGGTGTTTGCGTACTTCATCGCGGCGGTGTTCATGAACGTGTACGAGATGGCCATCGACGCCGTGCTGCTCTGCTTCTGCGAGGACTGCGAGCGCCACGACGGCGACCCGCAGTACGCGCCGCCGCTGCTGCTCACCGCGCTCGGCAAGGCCGCGCACAAGGAGACCACCGTCGTGCCCTCCGCCCCGCCCGCCCTCGCCCCTCCCGCGCCCCCGCCCACGGCGTACTCGTACTCGCCCAGCTCGCCGGGCCCGCTGCAGCCGTACCCGCCCGGGGTACCGCCCCCGATGCAGGGGGGCTGGGTGGCCGGCCCGCACGGCAGCATGATGAGCGCGCCGCACCGGGTGCAGGCCGGGCAGGGAGTGTACGGATACACCGGCCGGTGAGGGGATGGACCGGGCGTGGCAAAAAAAGCAACTTCCCCTCGGGCAAGTCAGTGCAACTGGTAAGACCGAACAGACCGCATTTCGCCGGCTCCGAGTGTCCAGAACGATCAGATGGGCGCGGTTGGGCAACTAAAAGGCGCGCATACGCTCCGGAATGGAAAGCCATCAGGCGGAGCGCGCTTAGGTGCGGCCGACGAGATACGGAGCTCTGATGAGTCAAGCAGGAGCCTTAGGAGGAAAAGATAGTCAGACTACTTGCACTGGGCGAGTAACTTGGTGTCGATGGTAGGAAGCGCTGCGTCAAAGGGACCTGTTTTAAGAAGAGTAGACGTTGACATGGTGCACAGAAGAATCAAAACAGAAGAGGGGCTGAGCTGCGGCGGTCTCGCGGTTGGGTGGATGGCGGCAGGTCCGCCGATGCTTGCAGGGCCCCCGGGCTGCTCCGCTGGAGGCCGGTCATGCGGTTGCCATTCCAACCTGAAAACCTGTCACGTATCAAATGGGACGTCCAATCATAAGGGCGTTCCGGATTACATGAAGAAGCCTTGTGACCTGAACAAGGAAAGCCCCACGCAGCTTCCGCTTCCTCCGGGAGCAGCCATAAACAGCTGCAGTGTGTTTAATGGTTGAAGCACGACAGAGGGGCGGCCCGGCCGAAGATGGAACGGTGATTGATCGAGTTAACGAGCTTCAGCCAGCAGCGAACGGTACAGAAACAAATTACGCAATTACTAAGGTTTAGCCTGCGTTATCTAACATCTTTATAAAGTGGTTACATAGTTCGAGTCGCACTTATCATAGGAGGCGGAGGATGAATTGGCGGTAAGCGTGATATAGTCCACGCAATTGAGGCAAATAGAGTGATTGAGCGATGTACTGCTTACACCCTTGCCACATGAGCTGGTGGTCGTGCACTCGGGCTGAGAGTCAGCCGCGCACAGCGGCGGTCGATCGCCGTAAGTTGCTGCACTGAATAATCTCCATGTTGATCAGTAACGAGAATCCTGTTGAACACCTTATCGGTAAGGAAGATCGCTGATTAGGGTTCTTGAGGTCCCCTACTCAGTACGTGCATCCCATCCGCTTCTCACATGTATCATTCTGCTCGGCATGCTAAAATAGATACTAGCGGAAAGGGACATTATGCGTATCTTTCCCGCCACGGGCGCGAGTCCGTAATTACGGTGAGTCCTGGCGCACTGAGTCGCATGCATGTTGCTGTCGACGAGCGATCAGCTTCAAGTGCCAGAGCTCTTCATTGATTGGAAAGTATTGAAGGCCACATTGACAACAAAATGTTTGCATAAACAGGCTCCAAGTTGGCATCTGCACGCATACTAGGTACCGCCGTATCAGAATCGTAGTGATAGAGCTGCGTGTACGATCCGCCGGGACCTAGCTCTGTACATGATAGGTGCAAAGATCGTCATGATCTCGAATTATTAGTGCCGGCCATGCAAGTATAGCCTAGCTGCATGGCATGTATGCCTGTTTGAGGTATATGCACTAAGACTAACTTGCGAATCGAATGTTGTTTATGGGAAGAGGGTCACGTCGACTCCAATGGAATGGACATATATGTCACGTTTGAGTACGTAATGCATGTTGTTCAATCGAATGATGTTTTTTGACACCTTATTATCATCTCGAGTACGCCCGATAATGACGCCAGTTTATTCGTCTTGTGATTGGCCAGAACCCTTACCATTGACGTCGTTGACCATCAAATCACGCTTGTCCAAAGGGCACCCCTCTCTAGATTCGTCAACACAATCAACCGCCGCCGTCGATTTCCATCGAACGGCACAACTCAAGCGGCGGAAAAGACACGCCTTATTACTCTCAAACACAAAGCAATGAAGATTGCTAACCCACAGTCAAACAAGCCCAGTGTCAAGAGTACAAGACCTCCGTGAAATTGGACTCAAGACGGTCCGACGATCCTGAGTCCTGACTCCTGACTCCTGATTCCTGACACGGATTGAGAATCGAGATGCCTGATCGTCAACCCGTAATATTTCTCTTTTGACACCAGACCGAAGTTCCGAGCTGGTTAGCCGGATAACCCGGCACCTCAATTTGGCACGAATGCCGAGTAAGGTGGCCATTCTCTTTCTTGATGGAGGGATGCATGTTCTGGCGGCCATGCGTGATAGATCCTATAGCTAGCGTTATGTGCACTTCCTTCCCGCGGCGGGATGCTCCGGCCATGCGATCATATATAAGCAAAGGAGGCCCCGACACGTTAAGGCCGCTACATATTGACGGTGCTATACGTATATGAGGCCGTAAAGCAGCTTGCTTGTCGCACTCAAATTCACACGAATGTCCGCGGGGCCTGGCACGCCGTCACCGATGCATCGTATATGAGACATATGTATGCATGAGTATGTACTGTGACAACAATACTATATGCGAAAAGAATACGATATGCGAAAAGAAATCATGAGCCAGTATGCCTCCGCTCTCAATCATTGATGACAGCTTACCATATCAATCTGACCCATGAACTCGCATGAACATAATCCAAATGATCAAGTCCGCAGCGACAACTGCGCACGTATTAAGAGAGAGCGGCCGGGCCCTCGACGGGCCATGCCCTCAAGCGGCCGGCCTCCCGGTACCGTTGATTCAGAACAATTACCGGAAATGATGCAAATGGAGCCTCCAGTGAACGCGACAATTGCCAACGCAGCAAACCGCGCGAGGAGAGGCATTATAGAGTACAGACTCAAGGACTATGCGCCTGCTTATATGACGAAGACAGAATCACAATCTTTAGTTGGTTTCGCCGATGCACTGTTTCACAAGCGTCATCAGGCAGCTGCCAGGAAATCTGCCCAGCGAACCCCGTGCAGCGGCAACTTCGCTGAAGGTCCTGACTGCGTCTCCGCTCGGCGGGCCGTCGCCCACGTCCGCCTCTTGCTCCACGCTGGCTGGGGCCGACGTGGTCTGCTCGACAGTGGCGGCGCGCGGCAGGGGAAACGGCGCCATGTCCACTGACACCACCCGTGCTTCGCCCCTGCAAAGGGAAGTGGCACACAACATTACAGTCGGGCGAAGTCAGGATTGACCTCGAGTATGGAGCCGTCGTTCAACTGACCTGTGCTTTTGAGCGGACACGGGGATGCTGAGCACGAGTGAGATTCAGGAACGCGTCCACATCCACAAGCATCACCTGAACAGCCGGCTGGAGGTAGTGCTCGTCAGCAGACCATTCTCCTTGTGACCAGCGCCCTTTGGAAACACATTCGCTTCACAAGTTGAGCCCTGAGAATGGCTCAAGATACGCGCCGTCCGGTCCGCAGCGCTGCGGATCATCCCGACAGATTGACTAAGTCTGCGTGAAAGGATTTACCCCATCGCGGGCTGCTTTCCGTACAGACCCGCTGAACTTCTGAGGGGCAGAAACCTGCGGGTATCTCGATGCATCACCATGTTCCCACGTTCGTTCTGAGCGATGACCAAGCGGATTCGCGTGCGAGCACGGCGCCTCGTTGACACTCGTGCCCTGTTGCCGGGCCCACCAGGGCTGCCTGTGGCCGCACCTGCGCGCAACGAAGTCCGCGAGCGCGCACGCTGTGAGCGGCACCGGCTCATGGCTGTGGTCGCCGTAGTCGACGGGCGTGCTGTGGTCCCCGGTCACGAGCAGCGTGTAGCGCGGCCCGCCCGCCGCCTGCGCGGCCCACAGGCGCGCCGCCAGCTGGCCCACCATGGCGTCCACGGCCTCCAGCAGCGCCACCTTGAGCCCGCCCGCGCGGTCGTGGCCCGCGTCGTCCACCGCCTGCGCGGACCAAGGCACTGCTGCCACCGAGCGGGGGCGAGGGGCGCACGCACCCTGCTGCTCCGTGAATGTTCTCCCACCCTTAAATGCTTGAAACAAGGAGACAAGCAGATAACACCAATGGGCTTCTAGATTTTGCTGAACGGTCTACCCCTCTAGCGTTCGTCAATTTCAGCATGAAGTAGCGCATCAGATGCTGAAACTTCGCTGATGCTTTCGTGGCCGCCTAAGTAGGATTGGAATCTGATCTCGTGGCAAGACGGAAGCGCTTCTAGGCCTGCCGAAGCTCCCGTTGCAAGGCACGTGATTCTGCTCTACAGAGACGCCTCCTCATGTCCAAATAATCCAGATTATTTATGTCTCCTGAGCCAATTCACGCCGCCGGGTGCTCTCTGCGTGGGTGCGTCACCTTGATGTGCAGGAAGCCGAAGTCGTAGCCGGCGGCCTGGCCGGACGGCTGGCTGCCCTCCACTCCGGGCACCTGCACCCGCGGCAGCGGCGCGGCAGGCGCCGCAAGCGCAGCGGCAATGGCGGCGGCCTTGGAAGTCAGCTGCGTGCGGTAGTCGCCCGTCGCACCTGGGGGCGGCAACGTGCAGAATCACGGCCGGGCGGCGGAGGGCCGCGCTCGGAGCAAGAACCGGGCAGGTCTTACGACTCAGCGTAGAGAGGCCGGTGGCAATAATACAGCTCACAACGAGGCTGAACCGACGCAGTGTACAAGTGACAAAGGATGGAACCCAAGATAACAAAAGTAGAAGCCAAGCAGGACGAGGTACGTATCGCCCGGCGACTTTCCGATTGAGGTTCCACACAGTGGACATGGTCAGATGTTCCCGTGTGCCCACCTGGCGCCTCGAGGATGTCCATGCCGAGGGAGAGGCCCAGCCCCGCGATGATCTTGGTGGGCGCCACCATGCACGGCACTACGCCCGCCTGCGCCGCCAGCGACGGCACCTGCAACACCGCGCACGCAGCCGTCAGAGCGGGGGAGAAGCACGCAGAAGAGCCGCTGGAGGGAGGCCGCGCGGAGTGAAAGCAAGCGAAACGGTCCAAGGCCCAGCTTTGGGCGATGAAGATAAGGGAGAGACAGGGTTGAACCAATCACTCGTCCTCCAAGCAGCTGAGCCCGTTGGGTTTGCCGCCAAGCTTCATGGACTGCCTGTATGACCACGTGCTTGCTGCACTCTGCGGCCTCCGTCTGCAGGGCAGTTCCAGCGCCTAGCTGGTTCTTTGCGATAGCGGGTGAGAGCAACAGGCTCATCATATTGCCGTCTTCCCCTGCGGCGCACCTGTATCCTGATGCCGCACCCGCGCAGCAGGACCACGTTGGCCGGGTTCTTGCCCTCCGCAACGCGCTGCGCGTTGATCGGGTGCCCCCGCAGGATGGCGCGAAATGCATCCGACACCGCATTCACAACCTGCACGCGAGCCCGCACTGCACCAGGTGAGGGTCAGCGATCTGCGCAGAGGCAAGCTGGGGAGGTGCACGAACACACAGGTGCACGAGATGGCTGTCATTGGGACAGGCAACTGGTAGACACGTCGAAAGTCGCTGTACTTCTTACTCGCTTTATAATAAGGACGAATCTCTTCTCTCTATAGTGCAGGATGGCAAGCAACCCTGAAAGCAGTGACTTTGATCGCGAAACACTCCAGACCCGCCAGCCTCGTCACCGGCAGACTTTGCAGAGGTCTGACCACCAGCAGGTCCCGCCAACGTGCGGCAGAACACAGGCAAGCGCCAAAACCTGTAACACCCACACTACCCAGAGACATGGCAACTTTGTACGTGGATTCGTCCTTGCAGTTCTGTGGAGACATTTCGGAATGATATGAAGCCCCAGCTCCACGAACAAACGTATGAGCAATCTTTACGGGTTTCCCACACAATCCTGCCGGCTTCCAATACTTGTTCGGGAGCTGACGAAAAGAGCCATCGCTCCCTCTACTTGATCCTGCAGACTGAGCGCCCCAAGCTATGCTGAAAGAGCCAGTATTTACGCTCCAATCCGGCTTGCACTCGATAGGCTCTCAACAGATAGAAAGGTTACTAACAAAAGACACCCCGAACAATAGTGAGACGAGGCAGTGTGTCCGAACAGATCACTCCGCCAGCTTGGACACATGTCGGAGGTAAACCACCATAATCTGTATTGAAACTCTGCAACGAGATGAGCCTTCTATGAGGTCGAGAAACCTTTCAAGGATCCTCAATTCAGCCCTGCCGGCCGAATTCCAAAATAAAAACTCAAGTTACAAAGTACATGACCATCTGGACATGGATACCCGCCTCATCATTCTCACAGGCCGAGTCATGCACGCCTCGCCTCACCCGTGCGGTGTGCTCGGCTTCGGGTGTGCCGTCCAGCCCCTCCACTGTGCGCAGCGGCAGGTTGTCCTTGAGAGGGTCCGTCCCGGAGATGTTGCCGCTCAGGCCGGGCCCCCGCACGACCACGCCGCAGCGGTGCTCCGTGGCGTAGCGCACGTTGACCTGGTAGTCGGGGAAGGCGTGCAGGCGGCACCCGTCCAGCGCAGCGCACAGCACGGGGCCCAGCGCCTCAAAGTGGCGGTCCGCGCGCCGCGACGTCACAATGCCGCTCTCCTCGTCCACCGTTGCGAAGTTGCTCTGCAAAGGGGGAATGGGGCGCGCAACATCGTGAAATAGAGGCAGGGGAGCCTGTAAACGAGCAGGAGGATACTCCATTTCGCTTCGCGCAGACAATGATGAAAGAAACTGATATGAACGGAGGTATTCCTTGTAAGGGCCTGGAAATGTACTCTGAAGGAATCAAAACCTAGTGAAGGGGTGCAATTCAATGAACTGGAGGGTCGTAGTGGGGCCAAAGAGCAATTTTGGTACCTTATTGTTGCAATCATGAGATGGCATGCCATCCAACCTGTCAAAAAGGGGCGGAACTGTATGCACGTCTGATGCAAGGGTGCCCCCTGTCAACTAATAACGAACTCCGCCTGTGTCCAGTCTGCGTCAGCCACCGGGTGGGGCGTTGTTGCTGGGGCTGGGCGTACTTTGAACGCGATGTCCCCCGGCGCCATGGGCAGGCCCGCCCCCATGGACTCAAACGCGCCGCGGCCTCGGTAGTAGACGCGCGGGTTGTAGCCCAGCAGGGAGAGGTGCGCGGTGTCGCTGCCGCAGGCCAGCCCCGGCTCCACCGGGTCCATGAGCCCATTCACACCAGCGGCTGCCAGTGCGTCCAGGTTGGGCAGGCGAGCAGCCTGCGCACAGACGCGGCGCCCTGTGAGACACTCACTCGCTGGACCAGTCAGCAGCTCAGACTGGCCCGTCTGCTCTGTCAATGCAGGTTACGGGCCCGGCAAGCGAAGTACACAACGCTGTCAGTCTGAAAAAAGACTCGCTAGAGCGCAAGCACTGCAAGGAGACAGAATGAGAGGATGTCTGACACCATAAGCGATTCCTTTTATCCCTGCCTTGGGCAAAGCCTGAGGGACCCTTCGATGACCATAAAGGCAGCGGGCAATTTATGGCTGGCCCACAGCTTGGCATGTGTTCAGCTTCGTGCAGGAAAGAGCGGCGCCCTTGGTGATACCCCTCCACTGCTGCTCACCTCCAGTGGGGTCCTGAACCCCAGCGATGGCAGAGCCAGATCGCCAATCCCATCCACCAACACCAAGGCCACACGGTGCGCGCTGGGCATCCTCCCAGCAAGCGCCACCGCCGCTAGCTCCGGGCTGGTGTTGATGGTCTGGATGCCCAGCGCAGAGCACGAGCGGAGTGGACCCAGCCGGCTTCCTGGCAGTGGCAGAGGTCGTGATGTGGGGTATGGCAGCTCGTCAAGCTCGTCAAGCTCGGCAACTGACTAATGCTAGCAATGCCACAGGGTACATTGGGAGTGCTAGCGGAAGGACAAACCCTAGACTCAGAGTTGCTGTGTGACCCGAGACGAGCCACTCTTGTTCAACCTGACCCCGCCACAAAAATGTTAATAAGCTTGAAGAGCCGGTTCTCGTGTCCGCCCACTTTGCCGTTTCCCGGTACAACGGATGCAAACCCTGCGAAATGTTTTCGTGTTGACCGGGTGCGTATCAACAACCGGCAGCTGAGTTGACGGCTCAGTCTCGTATTATAACATACACAGATCGATGGACATAGGACCTAGGTTTAAGCTGACGATAACTATCCAAACCCAGCTTCCACTTCTGTCCAGCTATAGATAATAATTTATATACTAATAAAATAGAGCATTGTTCGGCGGTCTGCAGCTCAACCGTCTTCCCCACACGGCACCGTCCAACCTTCGCCTTGAAGCGTTCACTCTTGTGGGCTAGGGCAACAGTGAACCCTGTACAGTGTAAGTCCTTGAAGTTCAGCCTACAGGCCAGCTCAGAACTGATTGCCCCGGAGGATTCAGAAGATGCGCAGCACCACTATGCTTGGCTGCTCTGATGGAGCCTACCTTAGGCGCACTAACGATGCACAACTGTCGGTATAGACTGGAGGCGTGTCCGCGAGGGACCTGTAGAAGGGTGCATTGATTGACACACATTGGCGGGGCTCCAGCATGCCCGGTGCGAACAGCGTCATCGAGATCACTGAGCTGCCCTTGCCCCTCCCCCGCCCCCTCAGCCCAGCACGCAGCGCGCCCGCCAAGCGATGGCCCCGTCTCCTGGGCTTGCTCTTCTTGGCGTTTGCAGCGTTTGCACTCATCACCACCGGCGCCAGCACCGCCGCAGTGCACTACGGAGTGGATGTCAATGATCTGGGCAAGAGACAGATCCTGCCAGGCCTGCTCAGGGCGCTCTTCATTGACGGCTGCCTCTTGTCAGCAGCAGGTTGCAGGGCAGACAACCGGGACAGGCGACCACAGTCCAGCGGAATCACGGAGGGGACAGAGCAGGCCGCGCAGCTGGCCAGCGCCCTCAAGTTTAAGCCCAAGGAGGTCCCTGGCGTACACGAGGAAGCGGCAGCTGACCAGGTGCTGAAGGAGCTCAGCGGAGCAGAAGCCAGTCAGGTGTGGCACACAATGAACGACACGCAGCTGTTTGCCGCTGCGCTGGCAGCTGCAGAGGGGGCAGCCGAGCCTGCTGCCGGGGCTGCCAAGGTGGCCTTCATGTTCCTGACCAGGGGGGAGCTGCCGCTGGCGCCACTCTGGACCCGCTTCCTCAGAGTAAGTGCAGCCAGTGGCGCTTATCATGGTGTCCAACAGGGGTTCTGCATCTATGGAGTCAGGCGGTGGCACCCATGTGAGTCTTCTGTGCTCCCAAGAAGAAGTACAAAGTGAAATCCTGCTGAAATTGGCCAGAAAACCAATCAGTTGGTGAGCTGCAAACACAGAGTACATTATCTACATCGGAGGTCGCCTTGTGTTCACAGGGGAAGGAAGGGCGGTACTCCATCTACGTGCATGCGCACCCTGACTACACTTTCGGTGTTGGCCCCGACCTGTTCCGCAAGGGGCGCATCCCCAGCCAGCCGGTGAGCCAGCATGCCCTCAGGCCTGCCCACCCGTACCCACCCTGCTCTGCACCCTTGTTCGTGGTGACTGCAATGGTAGTGCCGGTGTAGAGCAAAAGTCATTGGCACGTCTACAAAGGGTCTGGTCAGCTGCCTGTGTACGCTCCGGCCCGCATCTTTTGTTTTGCTGTGCGCAGGTGAGCTGGGGCAGCATGGCCATGGTGGACGCGGAGCGGCGGCTGCTGGCCAACGCACTGCTGGACCGCGCCAACGCCGCCTTCATCCTGCTCTCCGAGTCATGCGCGCCCATCGCCGCCTTTGATGACATCTATACCTACCTCACCAGCACGCATCTCAGCTTCATTGAAGCGTGAGCATCCCCAGTGCTCCTCGCTCAACAGTTCTTACCTGTTATTTCTGCTTGCCCTTTGATGTTGCCTCGATATTGCCCATAAACCTCAAGAACGGACTCTTCTGCTCCAGCATGATTCTTGCTGAGGAGCTGTAGCGCTTTCTAGGTTGTTCATCTCTATAACTTGTGCATACACCCGATGGAATCTGGAGCAGGACTTTTCAAAAGTTATGGCCATCTTTCCTACTCGTGTTGCTGTTCACCTGTACCCATTGGCAGGCCTGTCCCCATACACCCGCAGGTTCGACGACCCGAGCCCGCAGGCGCGTGGCCGTTACCACCCCGGCATGCAGCCAGAGATCAGCATGGAGCAGTGGCGCAAGGGGCGCCAGGTCAGCACACGCGCACCGCCCGCGCCTCAGTCTAGGCTCTCTCAGGCTCGGCGGTGCACCCAAGTGCCTGCTTCCGTTCTTAACGGCGAAAAACGACGAGGAGATGGACATGAGAGTGGGCTTGCCGTCTAGCTCGATCTTCGAAGTGGGTCATCCTCTCGAAGCTGAGTTTGATGGCCGAGTGCCATCCGTGCAGCCCGCTGAAGCGTGTCCCTTGATGTTGGCAGTGGTTTGAGGTGACGCGGGAGCATGCTGCGGCCATCGTTGGCGACACGGTGTACTACCCCAAGTTCCGGGACTTCTGCACGGTGAGCCCCCGCATCAAGTCTCGTCCTCCTGAGAAGGACGTCAGGGAGAGAGCACGCTCTTCCGGTGCACAGCTCGTGTGAATGGACATTCTCTGGGCAGAAGGGTGGGGACAGTGGCTCACATTCTCATGCAATAATACAAGTGTGACATCGTCCCCTGCCTTTTGATTGTGTGGTGCTTTCGATTACCGTCTATTGCTGTGTTGCCAAGTCGGCTGGAGCCGTAATCTCGCCTTCCTGTTTTTATCCAGGGCGACCGCAACTGTTACTCTGATGAGCACTACATACAAACGCTTGCTTACGTGAGGTCCTTACTCTTTGCTCCGTCGTTATCTTCAAAGTCCACCCGCGGCGCCAGTCCCACTTGCACGTCACGTGTCTCTTTCAGGGCGATGCCGAGCACCAGTTCTGCTATCCTGACGAGCACTACTTGCAGACGTTCGCCTACGTGAGTCTAGACACTGCTAGCCCGCCTGCCGCCCTCACGCCCCCATCTCACTCCCACTGTCTGCATAGTCTGCGATAAGCGGCTTGTTGCCGCTGCTCTTCGTGTGCTGGCTGTTGCTGGGGCTCTGGTGCCACGTCAGATACTCCCACGTCTCCGCATGCCTGTATCGATACGGTGCCCTGATCGTTTGAGAGCTCGCTGAGCCTGCGGTGTGCTGCGCGGCTGCCAGATCACGCTGCGGCACGAGATAGCCAACCGCAGCCTGACGTACGTTGACTGGTCGCGCGGGGGCTGGCACCCCGCCACCTTCGGCTTCTGGGAGGCCACCGAGGAATGGCTCCGCGCGATCAAGGTCAGCCCAGCCACTGCCACACTGTTGCCGGACACGAGGAGGAGCACACCACGGACTGACGCTGGTATCGCCGATGTGATTCCCAATCACCGGCTTTGTGTGGCCCTGTCCGCAACCTTGTTCAGAAGTTGGCTTGTTACAATTGCCACAGCTCTTGAATGTTATTTTGGGATTTATGTGCCGAAGGAACAACCTCTGTGCGGTTTGACTGATGCTGGTGTCGGTGGTGTGGGTGCAGGCTCGAGGGGAGTGCGACTGGAGTGGGCGACCGGGGCAATGCTTCTTGTTTGTTAGGAAGGTCGACCGCACCGCGCTCAGACCCTTGATGCAGATGAGCGATGATGTGCTTGGCTATCGATAACCCCCGTTGCTTGGGTTCGCATCTGTCCTCTTTTAAATGCAACTTCTGATTTTGACACACTGCAATTCTCATCAGTGGATTCGTGGATCATCTTTAGTACTTTCTCGCCGTTGCTTCTCCTTTTTTCTCCCCCAATGCTTCCTCTGGGCTCGGAATTTGTACGTCGCATTGCTCGTGCATTGCTCAGTTCATTGGCTCCTTTCAGGCCCCAATGTGCCATACATAAGCTTAATTTTGGCGTCGCATTTGCAAATTCGTCCAATTCGTGGGTCCCAGCTAGCCATACCAGTGTCGTGCCGTGATGAGTCGAGGCTGTGCCGTGTCGGGTGCGCTCAACATATGCAGTCGAAGCGAAAAAGCATGACATCCGTTCTACGGACGTCTACAGCACACCTTGTGGTCGAGGGTTCGAGCCCCTCCTCCGGCGGATTTATGCTTTTCCCATTCGATCCAGATCCGGTGCTGTCCCACGTGCAGCTAGCTGCCGCCACATATTAGACCTAGCTCAACATCACGGTCGCCTACGTATATTGCACGCCTGGCCGGCCTACTAATTTGTGCAGCGACGGTATAGCATGCAGGCTAGTCGGGCTTGATTTCTGTGGTGTCGGAAGCCTGCTCATTGTATCAGACCGGCCGGCATGAAACGCGTGGCGTCATGTATAAATTGTACAATGAAATATGAATTGTACGTATAAATCTTGCTCAGTCCGACTCCTCTGTGTTCGAGATCTCCTAGCTCTCAGTACGTCCAGCTTGGCAAATCGCAATCTCCGATATATATGCGAAGGAGACTCGAGAACATCATCCTATGATAGCAGATTAGTAGATTAGCAGATACATATATAAAGCTAGGTTAGAGAGCTCCCCGGCCGGCGAGCGCACAGCGTTCGTACGTCATATCATGCAGTAGCTTCCCTCAGACCCGGCCCGGCCCGGTATAGTAGAAGGGTACCGTACGGCCGCATTCAAGAAGGAAAACAGGCCGATCGAACCGAGGGCAACGACAAGTTAGTGACACGTGCACTGGCAGTGCACATCATGTTCGTTTATGTATGCCATGAGAAGGCCCGCGATGGCCCAGCCTGGTGGCCGGTCGGCTATGGCGTTCAAAAGAGATACAGGCTTATGTAAGTAATTTAATTTAGGCTCGCCGAATAATTCAAACGACAATCTAAATAAGATGCTGCTGCCATGGCCAGCCGGCCACCTGCAGCCTGTAGCTTATGGCAGTCCATCGTACGTCATTATGGCATCAGGAGATCGTTGTTCAATTGGTGCTTAGAAAAGAGGCCCGTACCAGAAAGCATTGACGCGTAGCTCACAGAGGTTAAGTGCTGTTATCACTGACGGTGGCGAGCTTTGATGAAAAGACGAGCAATCTGCATGAATCAGGTCGTTGCCGTTAAAGCATCGCTGACCATCGATCTGAACTGCCACGTTCAGCGATTGCGCCTCGAACTCTCTGACACGTCTTTTCTGCCTTTACCAGGACCTTCCTCGCCGTGACTCCTGTCATAGTCCCGCCGTTCTTTTCCGTGCCCGCTGCGCCCATTCCGCTCTCTGTCCGGACTGTCTCGGCTGTATCTCCTGTTCGTGCTGTCCCTTCCGCTGCTCCTCTCGTGGTCCACGCCAGTGCTCTCGCTTGGCCTGTCATCACGCCCCCTCCTATTCCCCTCGCCAGCCTGTCTCTGGCTCCGGCCGTCACCCTCCCGGTCTGCCTTGCTGGTTTGCTGTCTTCCCCGCTCCCTGTCTCCAGCCCTTGCGCTGTTCATCTCCTCCCCACGTGGACCAGCGCCCGTGTTTTCCTCTGCAGCATGCCTCTCCCTGTCCCCCCGGTGCCTCTTTGGCGAGCGCCCCCGGTCGTCCTCCCGCCCCCCTGCTCCGTCTCCCCTTCGCTTCTCATGCCGATGTCCTTCCCCGTCCTTTTGCCCCTTGTCCTCCTTTCTCGATCTTTTCACGTCTACATTATCTGCCAGCATAGAGAACAGCCCCCCTTCCCAAGGCAAGGCCGCCCCTCCTCCCCCCGTTCTCATACGCGGGGCTTCCTCCTGCGGTGTGCCCCCCGGTGGGGCCCGCGGAGGCCCCATGCTCCCCTTCATAGGAGGTGCCTCGTCCTTTCGAAACCCATACCCTGGCGTCTGGCCGTTCTCCGCCCTTGGCGCATTACCCGGATGCTTGTCGCTGCGCCAAGTCGACTTCGACTCCAGCTCTTCCTTGGGTCCCCACGTCTTGGAATTTCGCTGCACCAGGACACAGAGCCTTTGGTTCCTCGGACTTGGTGACCTTCCCCACAATGAGCACCCTTGAAAGAGCAGGAAAATGGAAGATCGAACAGGTTTTGTCATCCTCACTGGCTCTTCTCAATCTCGAGATCCTTGGCATCCTTGAGGGAGCCAGGGCCAGCTTTATCCGCAGCCGCTGCTATGTGCGCAGTACAATCCGCTTGACGAGCACAGGAACAACGGCGCAGGCTGCCTGACCACGGTGCGTCACCTGTTCGTCATGCGAGAAGCGGCAGGCGCTGCCGCGGGTGCACTCGCCCCTCTGGAACGCATAGCACACCTGGAGGAAGCAAGGGAAGTCGCGTTAGCATGTATGCACTCTTGACTTGACCAACCAGATACAAAAATGGACATCATTGGCACAAGGTATGAGCAACGAGTGCAGCAAATGTTTGGATACAATTTGATGGCTTCATGTTTTGAAAAGTCTGGCAGAGGTTGTTCCGAACAAGTCGAAACAACTGAACAAGCACATAAGTGAAGGACTTTCTGAACTTCAAACATCAGTTTTGACCAATCCATGCCATGTCAGCAACCTGTCAAGATCAGACTATCAAATTTTATAAAGAGATACTAGCACAGCATGAACTCATCCCCAATGAAAAAAAACAACTTCCGCTCCCTACATCTCGAAGAGATTGGCTGCTTGTTTACCATTACTTAAAAGGCATCAGCTGTTGTCCAACACTTGATCAGTTGACAAGCATAGCTCACCCCCCTCTCCTCCCGCGCCGCGTTCCTCTCGTCCTCGTCCTCCTCCTTCTTGCGCTTGTAGTTTGCGACGTGGTCCACGCGCACGATGCGCCCCGCCACACGTGCTCCATTCAGGTTGTCTGCACGCACCGCATCAACCAGTGACGCGATTGGAGGGCAGTGGCCAGAAATGCAGCAGCCAATAGACACTTGGCCAGTTGAAGAACCAAAGCAAAGGCAGCGTAGTTTTGAAGTTGCAACTGAAACTGAAAGGTTGAGAAGATCCTCATGAACAACAGTGCCAGAGGGCGTCTGCAGAGTGTGCCAGCGGGTGGACATAGCTTGATGAAGGAGGGATGACAGGCAGACCAACCTACAGCCAGCACCGTGCTCCGCTGATCCTCGTATGCAAGAAAGGCAAAACCTTTGGACTTGCCGGAGTCCAAATCACGAACAAGGTTGACATCCATGATCTCCCCATACCTGCACATGTGAAACAGTACACAAGTGCGTTTGCTTCGGTCAGAGATTCCGCAGCTTTTGTGGGGGCTCGAGTGGACCGGTAGTACACCCCGCGGGGTACCCTCATTTTCCAAGGCTGCACGACGCAGTTTCCGCTAACGCAAGAAAAACCCAGGGGGCGAGACAGTCTGCAGCTTAAGGACGGCTTGGAGAAGAAGTGTCCACTCACTGTGCGAAGACGGCTAAGAGGTCCCCCTCCGTTAACTCATAGCCCAGACCTCCGGCGAACACATACGCTGAGTCCTTATACTTGGCATGCCAGGACGCATTGTCAGACAGGCCTGCGGCGACTTCCTGGGCACTGATTTTCTGGGTGTTCTTTATCTGGGTCAACGGATTCATGTTTGGGTCTGCATAAATCAAACTAGTGCTTCTCGAGAGATAAACCACACTGGCACTTTTGACGGGCTGCTTGTCGTCCTTGAAAAGATCCTAATCCTCAGTTGATGTATCCGAAGAGCCAGTCCTTTATGATCGGGTTCTGTCAACAATGACAAGGAGCTTTAGTTGCTTCGTAGAAACTTGAGGATTACTATGGAAACAAACGAACTTCAACTCTGTAGCCGTGATCTGTCCAGTCAGCAACCTTCTTGAAGAAAAAGCTTCACCCTCAAGCGTCGTTGTAAACTTAAATACCAATAATCTGCCAGCACCCGCACTGGTCTGGCGTGTGAGTAGGGGTGAGGAACACTGGCAGTACGAAAGCTCTGCTCAGCTGTGGCAAACGGCGCACGAGCTGCCTTTGAAAGCGCTGCCAACCATTGGCATTGGCATCATGGTGCTCTAGTTAACAATATTGAAATGAGCTAGAGAAGATGCATGTGGCTGCTACCTGCATATGCCCCATGGTGCCTACTGGGTACCTGGTTTAGAGTGTCGGTTAGCTCTTACCCTAGAGGAAACCGTTTCGGATGTTCCGGAACCCCGTAAGTCTGAACTCTACAATCTTGTTCTGAGAGACTGGGACAGGCTTTAACCTACCGTATTTACTAACCATATACAGCTTCTTCCGAGCAACCTGCTAGTTTTAGTGTCATCTAATCTAGACTAATTTCACTCACAAACAGACCGACTAAGTTACACTTATATTTTCACTAAAACTAGCAGGTTGCTCGGAACTAGCTGTATCCTACCGTAGGTTAAGAATTAGAAAATTTAACGAGCCCTTGCAGGTGCCAGTGGTTCCATGCAAATTCACATTTGCATGATTTGGCAAGCCAAGTTCTGGCTTTCGCTCAGGCCCTGGCCCTGGGCCCGGGGCCTTTCAAGTTTCAGTTCCACTGTTCCAGAATCAAATGCTTTCAAATGCTGAAGTTGGAAGCAGTGCACAGGTATAACCCGTCTGAGCAGCTTGGCAGCTTGCTGATGCAGCAGGATGGCGCACTCAGCAATGCATACCTTGTCCGGAGCAGGGCAGCTGGTGACCACTACTCATCGCTGGGGGGCATTGCAAAGTGGCTTCACTGGCAGTGAGAGGCTTGGAGGTAAGAAAGCCTCAGCTCGAGAAAAATTCTGCTCGCTCGCCACGTCGACCAACTATGAGAGCGGCTAGTCTTCAATGGACTGCCAGTAGCTTTCAGAGGACACATTTGTTCGATCCTAGCACCTTTTCACCGTGTGTGAGCCCCTCAGGCCAGACTGCATGCAAGCAGACTGCCAGGGGTAAGCTGTATTGCATTCAACTGCCTTTGTCTCGCCAGGCATATCGACAACTTGCCCATTCAATCCTTTCACCGGCAGAATCATGCCATCATTTGAGCATGTGCCGCTTCAATTGTGGCCTACTTAGAGGAGTGCCTACTTAGAGGAGTGGTCCACTTAGAGGATGTTAGTTCTGAGGGGCCAGTGTGATGGGCTTAATTCAATTGCAGAGTTGAGCCGGGGCAGGACTGGCCCCAGGTCTTTGAAAAGGCTTACACCCTTGTATCAATGAAGCATGGTCTTTCTGTAAATGAGCTGCATCAGAGTCTTCCCATAGGGGGTCAAGGTGTGCAATGCTGCCACTAGATGAACTTGAGAAGGTTCTTTTGTTAGTTGATTGACTTTTGGAGATGTCCATGATTGGTGAGCCGTCCCCTGCAAGGTACACCATTCCTCTGCCGGACACAGAGACGAAGCTTGTCACGGGCCAGGCATTGGTTTCCTTGTCGGGCGTCTGCTTCGGAAGTGGAGCATGGTGCCCTCCCGGTGGGGCGGCGACTAGTGTCGACCGGAGCGCTTTTTGCAGCCCTGGCAGGTAAACACCCCTGTTGGTGCAAGCATTCCATAACGTTAGCGGGCGCCTATGCAACTAGGCCATCTACAAGCGCCTGTTCTGTTTGTGCATGTGGAGGTGCCCCGCTGCCATCCTTTCTGACCGCGGCGAGTTACTTATCTACGATGTCGGCTGCCAGGTGCATCTATTGGGGCCCAGCCCGCATCAGCAGCATCTAGAGCCAGGGCCGCGGTGAGCATTGGTCACTAACCGAGAAAGTTCAAGTGCTCTCAGAATGTGGGCCTGTCAGTGAAGGAGTTGAGGGCATACAAAGCAGGACCTTCCATGTGCCAGCCACTGGTTTTAAAGGTAGTACAAGGTGTTGTCTTCATCATCCAATCAAGACTGATTACTGCAGGTCTGTTTACAACATGCTATTTCTGACAGGCCATACTTGAAGTGGTTGTATGTATGTGTCTTTTTATATGTTTGAATTCAAGTATACCTGTGTTTGCAGAGAAACGTCAAAGTGCCCGAGGACCAGTATACAACTCTCCCAAATGGCTTGAAGTGAGGTGTTCTTTGTCTCCGTTTCTGCTTTCTTCATTCTCTGAGTAGGACTATAGAACTTCTGTCAAGAACCGTTAGGCCTGGCTTTGACCAAAGATTCGAGTGTGCTTCCTAGGGAGGTTCTATTTCCGCGGCACTTTAGCAAGCTCTCTTGGTTTAGTTTTGGCAAGTGTAATAGTTTATTGGAGGTCTGTGTTCCGCACAGTCTATCGGTCGGCTTGGTGGCGAATGTAAGCCTTCTGGACATTCCTTGCAGAATTTTTGATGTAACGGTCGGTTCTGGAGCAACCGCAACGAAGGGAGAACGGGTGGCAGTGCACTACGATGTCAAGTGGAAGGGGGTCACCTTTTCAACGAGCCGCATGGGGCAGGGAGTAACAGGTGGCACGCCTTATGGGTTTGACGTAGGGGCTTCTGAAACCGGACTGGTGTTGAAAGGTCTAGACTACGGGGTTGAAGGTATGCGAGTTGGAGGTCAGAGGAAGCTCCTCATCCCCCCAGAGTTGGCATATGGCAAGAGAGGAGTCCAAGAGATTCCACCTGATGCAACCTTGGAGGTTGACGTTGAGTTGCTGAGCATCAAGAAGAACGCCTTTGGGTGAGTAACTCGGTTCCTCCTTGTTTTTTGGATCCTCTGCACTTGCAAGGCTCGAGACATCTATTCGACTAGCTATAAATGCTCCGGATTCAGCCCTTGGCATCATACAACATCTTCAATCCATTTATGACTCCTAGGATGGTTTTGTTGACGTTCAACATCTTTATGATTCTGTTGTTTGAGAATCTTGATGTTACCATAAGTTCTCAAACTTTTCCAGGTTTTGCCCATTGGTGACAAATAGAGATTCGGTTATCGAGCCTTTTCTTGAAAATTGCATTTCTTGAGCTTTTAAGTTTTGCCACATGCAGGACGCAAGTGAAACTTGTGGAAGGGTAGGCGAAACAGTTCTTATGCGGGACTGAGTCATTGTGCAAGGGTTGCCATAAAAGGTTCCTGCTGCTCCAGATGTACATCCAACCCAAACAAAACCTTGAGATGTTGCCTTTGAAAGCGTCGTTGTTTTGGTGTTCCAAAAAATCTACAGTTTGAAACCATTCCGAATCTTGTTACTCCTCTTTATATCACCCTATCAAGCTTGAAGGGGAGCTTGATGAGTCGTGGAACTTCATGCGTATGCCAATATGCGGCTTTGGATGCTAGCCAACCCCTCACAGGTGATCTTCTCATGACATGTACCGGCCGGTGGTTGAAGTCGAAGGTTTCGCACATGTTCACATGTGCCATTTGGTGATCGTGTTGCCTAATGGATGTTATATCATGTTACTCTGTGCACGTTGCAAGATGTCGTAATCAAAATTCATGAGCATTGTAATGTGTAGCGTCGTGCTGGCCTAACGTCATGCCAAGAAGTGAACTATTTATCTGCATAAGCAAATCGTGCACCCTCGCGGCCACGATGATCTCTTTTCGTACTCGACGATGCGGCCCCCGCCTTCTCGAGTGGAATGTCGGGTGGCCGCCATGAATCTTGGTAGCCAAAGTCTGAGTCGATCGTCGATTTAAGGAGACCCTCATCCGACGGCCCAGGCGGAATCTACTACCCGGTATCACTTGATTGCAGCATCGACCGTCCACATACTTCTCGGTTTCTGGTTGACTTCGGGCATGTTAACTAAGGACTGTGCTCGGAGGGAAAACAAAATTACAAATTTTAACCCTAGAAATGACAGGCTCGGCACCCGTACCCACCCTAACCACCAAACGACCAAACCAACCCCACCCGTACCCCGGGCCCCTTCCTTAATCAAGTGGCCCAGCCAATTTTCGCGTCCACGTGTAGTGGCTCGATCTTTCACACCAGACTTTATATTCTCTTGCTTTGGTGTAGTTTCTGGGTAAGACGTGCCTGGTGAAGCTTGTTTTGGGGCATTTAACCAGGCACTACGGTAACCAGGTTCTGAATATTTAATATGGAAACACACAAATCCACCTTGGCATGGTGTTAAAACGTCGTGCTGCTTCACAAACTGGCGGGAAATTTGAATTTGAATATTTGCTTTTTATCTGTAGACTCTACTGTAGAGTTGCATGGAGTCTGGCCCATCTCCACGTGACTCAGGATGAAGTCGGAGTGACGATGATGCATGAGACTCCTTAGGGCGGCAATTTGAGTTGGGCAGTGCCAAGCATTGAGCAAATGCTGGGAGCAATGCTTTTGAAGACAATTGCTGGACACCATGCTCCAACCTGCAGACCACCGGTACCTTTGAAACTGCCTGATTGATCGACTGGGGAAACCTCAGACATAGAAGGGCAGGCGCCAGGAGGCAATCCTTTGCGGACACAGCTGCTCTGGGTCATTCAGTTCATTTTGACCAGGGCAAAGAGCCACATTCCTGTGTTGAATCGAGGTTGATGCACAACACCAACAGTTGACTTGGTGAGAGAGCAGGCAGAATACTGCATGTGCTGAGGTTTCTATGTTGAAAAGCGAGACTTGCTGAAAATACCTGCAAGACTGGGGCACAATGAAAGAAGCAGCAGATGGGGATAATTCTGCTGTAACGACGAAAAAGCGAGTACTGGAGGACATTGATGGAGCAACCCAACTACTGAAACGCGGGCCCGGTGGTAGCAGCTTCATGACTTGGTAAACTCCTTGTACTTACCGAAAAAAATTAGGCTTTGGCAATCTGTCAAGCCGTAATAGCTGAGCGATTTTCATAGAAAACCTTTCTACGCTCTGCCAGTTAAGTGAAGATTGCATCGAGAAGAATTCTTTAGCAACAGTATGTTGCCGCAAAGCATGTGCCAGTGTTTGACCACCAGTGCAGCGCAATTGTGGCGCAGAACCAACTATACCTAACCCAGTGGATGCCTGCATGATTTGAACTTTGTTTTTACTGATCCTGAGGGGTTGAATAGCGCTTGCAGCTGGCAGGAGACCTTGTGTAGCCAGATAGTTGATATGCTGCCTTTGTTCAGGCTTGCGCTGCTAACCTACTTACTGTTGGTCATGCTTTCAGCGACAATTGCCAGAAGAATATTGCATGTGCAATCTTTGATCTTCATCGATGCGGTGATGCAAAGCTCAGAGAGGAGCAGATTGGTAAGTACCTGCTTGACAGTAAACCAGGTGTTACAATCTGATCACTGCAGTTCACAACATCCCCGTATCCTGCTGCTCACAAAGATTGAGGGTAGCAAAACTGCAGTTCACAACATCCCCGTATCCTGTTGCTCACAAAGAGTGAGGTTGGCGAAAAGCAGAAATGTGCAATGGTGCTGCTGAAAGGGATCCCCCTCCAGTCATTCGTTGCTGGATACGTTCTACACGGATATGCTCACGGCTGTCTTCCCTGACCTGAAGCCCTCTGACAGGTTCTTTTCTTTCTTCAGCGCGGTGGGCCAAAGCTGATATGGAACACAAGAAGAGAATCCTAGAGTAAGTGGCGCTGGAGATATCGTCTGAGGCTCAACAGCTATGCTGAAGTCATCCCGCTGCTTTCTATAAGGGGAGTTGCTGCATAAATCATTTGCTCCTCACTAGCAACAGAATGGAGATTTCAAGCTGAACTTTTGTGTACCTGCAGAGAACAAAAACGGCTCAAGGACAGCAATGGGAAAGCTGACAAGCAGCGCAAGGTCCCTGAGAAAGAGTCCAAGAAACTCGCAAAGAAAGAGAAGGAGGCCCGAGATCCAAACCTGCCGAAGAAGCCACCATCGAGCTACATGTTGTTCATGTGAGCAACTTGCTCATATTCACAGTTTTCCCGTTATTGAGCTGGTCACCGAGGGGATCAAGATGTGCAGCGAGTCCGCATACTGTACTGCACGCGGCATGGTATGTCTGGCTACGCGGGGCACCGCAAAGAAAACTGTACGAACGTGAACTTAGACAGGTCATGGGCCGAAACCTGCGACGCTTGTGGTTTTGGGGAGATATAACGTCTGATTTCACCATGGCATGCAGGAACGACTTCAGGCCAAGATTTAAGGAGGAGAATCCAGATGTTCGGGGCGTAACAGAGGTTAGTTGAGCTTTGGATGTTGAATCTTTCATGAATTGCGCACGTTACAGCTCTAGCACTCGAGTTTCTAGAAAACTGGCAGCTTCTTCCGTCTGTTGGGTTCCTTTCTTGGAAGCATGCCTTTTGGGGAACGTCCATTTCAATGCAGGACCAGGTTGAAGCCAGTAACCACAAGTGAGATCAACTGATTGCACGATCTTCTTCTCTCTTATTCCTTTCTTCGTACTCTCTATCTCCTCCCCTTCTTCATCCCCGGCTGCTCAGTTCCTATCTGGCTGTTGAGCTTGCAAGTTCATGACAAATCAAAGCCTCAGTTTGAAACTTGAAGCAGTGTGCCATAGTTCTTCAGTAGACTGCCTTACTTTGGGCAGAGACAGGCTGCCGTTTGCAAGAAGAATTCGTCAGCAATTCAGGTCAGCTTTTCTTGGAGTTCGCTAGTGCGTCGGAAACAAAGACATGATGGACCTCACTGTGGGACGTGCCTGACCAGACTTTCTGGCCTGATTTTGAACGGGGAGCCTGTAATTTGCAGGGAGCAAAAGCTGGTGGGGCAAGGTGGAAAAGTATGTCAGAGGAGGAGAAGAAGCCCTACATGGAGGAAGCAGCCAAACTGAAGGCTGCATATGCAGAGCAAATACGACTCTTCAAAACGTCTAAGGTGAGCCGGCAACCTCAAGAAATCTGAGCCGATTGATCATCCTAAAGCGGGTATCAAGAGTTGTTTTTAAGCAGCTGCACAAAGAAGTTGATTGGTTGGACTAAGCAGCCTTGGCCGAAACTCATTGTTCAAGCATGCTGAATATGCAACAGGTCCGTACTAGAGGATACTCACCGTCAAAAAGCAATAACTTTTCTTTGTTTGACTATTTGATCTACCATCGATCAACACAAAACCTCTCTTGTCATGTCAGGGCTTGCCAGCTCCTGAGGACGAGAAGGAAAATGCAACTCCCGAGCCTGCCCTGGAGGACAGGGACGAGCAGGAGCCAGTGGCCGAAGCGTAGTCGAAGTTGTGAGCTTGGTGGGTACGCTTCCATCATACTCTCTCCAGGCCGTTGTGCGGGTGCTTTACCTCGGTCAGTTCTCAACGTTATATGTTACGTTACAAATCGAACGCTGTGTTGGAATTTCTGACGCCTATGGGCTCTCGACAGCGGGTGAGTTGTGCTTTGCAGGTCGAATATTGCACTCGCTGAATTCTCGACGTTTTGGCCATAAGCCGTTTGTCTCTGCTTTTGAGGACTTACCAACAAAAAGGTGACACGTTAGCGGTGCCACTTAGCTTGATGTCTTTCGGCAGATTCCAGCCCTCATTGGAACACAAAATTGACACCGTATATAGCCCGTTCCTAGCAGGTATACACGACAGTTTGTGCATGGCTTCTTGCACATCACGATGTGATCGGACAGGGTCCTGTCACTACTTGTAGCTATCAGCCTCTCAAACGGCTGTGATGTAAAAGATGTAAAAGAGCTTTACTCCAATTGCGATGAAAAGGCTGTGCGTGGCCAAGCAAGTGGGTGCGCTGCACAGCTTTCCATGAATATCAAGTGGCACATTGAAATGCCAAGGAGCGGATTCAATTCGTGCAAATGGAACATACGTAACATGCATTTATTATGTGCGTGACCGAAACAATCCCCCTTCGGAGTACGACCGGCGAGTAAAACCCAAAACCATATTATGTAGCTCCAAGCTGAGTATGACATGCGTACGTAGATTGCTTCACACAAGTTGAAAAAGCCGCAGATGAGAGATTGGTACTTGTAACGTATGCAATATATATGCACGCACGGGTCGCACTGACGGCTATGCCAGTATATATTATGATTCCGCTAGCTGCATGACAGAAGTTTAAGCTTGTTACAGTGTTAGCTAGTTGCAGTTCACGCGCTGACGGGTTAGTATAGCCATATTAGTAACCATATTGCATGCAGTCACTGGTCATCATAGATCACGCATCTCAACTTACAAGATTTAAAGCGAATGGCCTTATAAGCATGCATTTGAGCAGATTAAGCTGAGTGCAACGTACGCGTGACTTTATGTATAATAAGCAAAAACTAAAAAGAACTCAAGCACTGAAATATATTACCGGCCTCTTTGTAAACCTCAACGTGATCATCTTGATTGTTCCCTTTCCTGTACATCATTGTACTGAGAATCATGTCCCATGCTCATATGAACTAGATCCGGAGTCGTTATATACACACAAGATTCGACCGACATGTTTGCGCCTAGGTCGCTATATGTCGCTCAATCTCTAGGTCGACTTGCAATAGCGACTGAGATCGGACCTTTCATGAGGCGATCTCCATTTTGTTTTGATGAATTAGGTTTGCAGATGCCGCCCACTGAACCTCGCCGTTGTATATGCTTACAGACACCCGCACATGCCGAAGTGAACGAGCTCCACCACGCATTCTCCAAGTCAGAGCAACGCAGTGATTGTCACCAAAAGCAAAAACCTTCCGTCGTATCTTTCTTCCAAGTTCAGTCACTGGGCTAGCATTCAAGGCGCGCCACAAAACATGTGAATCCTCCAATTTGCACGGCAAAAATTCTCTAAAGCTGCACTCAACCTGCTGCAACTTCATCAAACTCAATGAAAGGAGCGACACCAAACGACATCCTCAACTCGAGGTGCTTGACGCAGTCCCAGATGATTTCGAGAAGAGACCCTTGATCTTGTCCACCACGTTCGTGAGCTCCTCCTTGGGAGGAATCTGCATGGCCAGGATAGAAGCAGCGGTAATAAGCATCCCCTCAGGAGGTTACCCGGACGATCTGGCTGGATGAGCAACGAAACGATAAAGCTTCAACCATCCATAGCATGAAAAGTGAAGCGGCTTAGAAGCAACCGCTGGCTTGCGGACCGAGAACTAACCGACCGCTCTCTCAATGAAGCCAACGACAGTTCTCGTCCAGACAGAGTCTTTTGCTCAAGAGAGCCGTTTGTCTTTTTTTCCGAAATACTGCAACTTCAATCTTGCTAAGTGACGGAATTAGCAAGGTGCTTACTCTTGTAACGCCAACCCCCATCATTGACTCTCGCGGCTTGTCCTTATCCTGAAAGGACGAAGAATGTAAGCTATCGTATTTTGGATCAAATTCGGAGTCTCTTATATGACAATGAAACAAGGACGAATCCAGGAGTAGATTGGATGACTTTTAGGGCGAGCCGGTCCATGCCAGGAAGTACGAGCTCAGTTGCGCCTTGCTCATAGTCCATCTGACAGCCCACTGACACCTCAGGAAGCCCAGTCAGAGCTGGCTACCAGACCCTCCCTCCTTTAAGAACTTCTATGTCACTGATAACTCAAGCTCTCTACTCGACCAAAGTTAAGCACGGTGCTTCTTATGATCGACATAGAGCAGAGTCTACAAACTCCGTGAGGGCGGGTAACAGTGGGTTCGGAGACACTTACAGCAACTTTGTAGGCAAACTCGTAGCCTTTAGCCTCTTTTAGAATGGGGTACTGCCGAACGGCGGCTTTGATTACTTCTTTTGGGTCCTGGCAAAAGAGACAACAACCATCATCTGACATGCTGCTGTTAGAAACTGGTAACAACATCAAGTTGATCTTTTGCGAAAGACCAAGATCGGGCAAGCCTTCACAAGGGATTGAGAAACACAGAGTAATGAGCAAAATGCAGAAAGCAGTGTAAGCCCATCAAGGAACCGCGGAGACTTCCTAGGCTGCTTCTCGCTCTTGTTTAGCTGCAACTGGAGCCTCTCTGTTTGCTGGGTATGGACTTACGCCTTTGTAGATGGCTCCGGCGATGTTCCGTGTGAGCGTGTTCTGGAAGATCTTTTTGCCAAAGTCGCTTTTCATTTGTGATAGCATGCCCTGCGCTTGCGTCCCCCCATCGATGATGCTCAGGGGGAACCACTCGGGAATCTGCCAAGGAGCCATGGCAGATATTCTCACTTTCTTTACTTGACCCCGCACTTGAGTGGCCGCATCAAATATTGTCCAGAATACTTGCTGGTGACACTACACAACAGGAGAGTATCCAAAAGTGGCGATGAGGCGATGCATAAGGTCGTAAGCTCCAAAGGTCAACAAGAAGATGCCCAATGAAGTGCATTGTTGACATGCTTTGTAAGTCATGACTCACACGTTTCCTGCATGAGTTGCACGCATCTCCGGTGTTTTAAAACTGCGCCAAAAGCCGTTGACCTTTACATGCTGGAATGCCTTTTCTGTCTGGCTGGGCTAAGTACAGGTGTGTATATGACCGAGTGCTTGATAGACTGTCCAGCAGAACCTCCCCTTCCTGAAAGCTTTGACACCTTCACACAGTCAAAAACGTCGCTGAAAACACCATCATTGACTACCAAGCAAGTAGTTGCCAACTTGCACCGGATGGAACCGCGAGCTACGGCATTGCTTAGAAGCGCCAATGGAGGCCACATTGCAGAGACAAGATGAATGACAGAAAATGGGCAGGGTATGCATAGATGCCAGCGGGATTCTTACCGCTCCTCCCGTGGCCCTGACAAACAAGATGAACTTGGGGTTGTCGTCGGCGCCAAAGTCGATGGGTGGTGGCCCTTGCTGGGCAGTCCCTCCCGGCCCTCTGCCCCCGTTGTTGAATCGGCTCCGCTTGGCGGCTCTCACCTGCAACTGTCCAACGCACGGGCAAGCGGCATCTGGGCTGGAAGGGGGGCCAAAAGCAGTGTGCAGAGGAGACTGGACGCGCAGGGCTGGACGACCCACAAACGAAGAGGAGACCAGACCTGGGCGGGCCGCCACATGAGATTGCTGAGCGCCTGCAAAGGAAGCGGCGGCTAGAACGTGGCCCGTGACAGGAGCCGCACAAGTGCTGGCCATCGTCGGTTGTATCGTGCTCGATCCGACAAGCACTTACAGCATTCAAACGTTGCAGGCTCCTGGCTCTAGGACTGTACAGACGGCGCCCCTGGGCACGAGGCAGAGGCGTTTTCCGGAGGCGAAGTTGTTTCCCAGCTGAGGAGTAGACTGTAGAACACGTGGCAGCATGTCAACCAGCTGTGGTCCCGGGTGGGTCGCCCCCAGCTTCAAAGTGCACGGGCTACGGTAGGCATACCGTCCAGCGCTAAAAGGTGACCGCGGAGGGGAGAACTCAACAACTAGCTAGGCATGTCTTGTAAGTTGTAGTAGTACACGCACTCGTCTTCTCTGAAACTCTGAAAGGAGAGACCGCGCAGCAGATTGCGATCGGACGCTGTGCTCTTCTGCTTTATCATGTATGGCAATGCCATCGCCACTCGTGGGCTGCCATGATGGGCACCATACCGAGCGCTCTCTCAAAGATGCTCTCAACGAGCCTTGAGGCCTGAGTAGTGAATGAAGCAGCGTTGAACTTTGAAGATGATTGTGTGTGCTAAGGGGCTATTGAAACCTTTTCAACGCTGCTTTGCAGCCGATGAGATTGCTTCTGTCAAGCTGCAAGTAAAGCACACATAGTCTCATGTGCACTTCCAACATCTTCAAGTTCTCTGGGGCTACATTCAATCAAGCACTGTAGCACATGGTTTCAAATTTCATGTTGCATTTTTGAAAGTATTGGCTGGTTAGATAAGAATGCTAGCAGCCACGTCCTTGCGAATCCTGGGTCTCAGGAAAGGATCTGGCGGCTGTGTAAAGTTGAACGCAATGATCACTACACCGGCGATGCTTTCTGGGCAACAGTTGTTAATCCCAGTGGGTGCAACAGTGGCCCAAGCAAAATTGGGTTCCTTGATTGGTGCTCCTCCCCAATCTTATGCACCACCCTCAAGGATGGTCTCCATTGAGGCCCAACTGATCCAACTGAGCGTCGTTCTTTCCAAGACGGGACGTCGATCAAGCATTTTGGATTCAATGCCTACCCTCCACCCTCGTTCATACCTGTGTCAGGCCACGGTGGTTGACTCAGCTGCTGAAGAGCAGGTGATGGAGGACGCGTCCGGAACGGGCTGTGGTGGTGGTGGCACAGCAGTGCCAAGAAAAAAGCAGAGAGCAAAGGGCAGAGCCGATGACGGTGAGCTTCAAATGCAGGGGGCGCTTGCTTTGCCCCATGTTATGAGGCAGGTATGCAGGTGCAGGTATGAAAACATACATCTTTCGCAACTGTCCTGAGGTTTGATGTTCCTTGTGCCGCAAGGTCTCTGAACTGCATTCCTCGTCATGACACTGGAGCAAGACTATGACATAGCCTGTTATGGGGGACATCTAAGGTTGTCATTTTTGGAATCTGCAGCAGTATCTGCTAAAAGACCTGGAAGAAAGGTCAAAGAGAAGCCTGCCGCTTTGCCAGCCCACGACTCTGGGGTGAGCCCCTTACGTCCCAAAATCGTGTGTACATATCAAGCGCAGGCAGCAATCCCAGCTGACCACGCTGTAGGGTACGCAATAGCCAAAAGGTCTGCTTCTTCAAAGATTGTATTTGAAAGCAGCGAGATTGTTGAAATCGCTCCTGAAGCTCAACGTTCAAGCTCTGCTTCTTGTTTGTATGCTGGCCATATAGAGGCATGCTATCTTTGTGTAGCAGAGAAATCAGAAGCCACCTTCCGTTTCCTGATGGAGAGCTTTTGTTGCGCAAATGGTGCTTCCATGACTGGTGGCCTTGGTTTGCAGGCAGGAGATGAAGTGAACGAGGAGCTAGACTCGTTCCTCATTCCAAATACTTCTCCCGCTCCTGTGGTCTTTGGTCCTGCGTCCATGGTCCTGGGAGTAGACCCTGACATTGGCGGGGCGCTGGCAGTGCTCCGCGGATCAGTGGAGGAAACGCACGCCCAAGTGAGACAAGCCAGCCTCAACTGCAGTTGAGGCAAAGCCCGCATTGTTGGCAAAGCCCGCATCAACTGACTTCGAGCTTGTATTTTCCTGACGCTTTTGAGAATCCTTAACCCTTTGAGCTGCTCCGTGATGGAAATGAACCTACCACCATGTTTGACTCCTTCAAGAGAGCAAAGCAGTCTGAGTCAGCGCCAACCTGTGCTATGTCAGGTTTTGGACGTCCCAATCCTTCATGTCAAGATTGGAGCCACCATGCGGCGGCGGCATGACCCTGGCGCCATGGCAGCGATGGTCAGGGAACTGCAGCCGCCACCAGAAACGGTGGTGTACATCGAGCAGCCACGGCCCTTCCCGCTGGATGGGAAGCAGGTGAGAGGACGTCCAGAAGCGGGTCTCAAGAAGCTTGGTTGTCAAAGTATTCTCACGAAAGACGTCACCTTTGATGCTCTTGCCTGCTCAACCAACATTCAGCAGCATCGCGCACACTGAAGACCCTTGATTCTCTCTATTCCGTGTGTATCCGTTGGGCTCCTGTCCTGTACGATTCACTTGGTCATCAAGGCAACTAGTGTCTTGTTCTTGTACGGCTCGGTTGATTTCGTCGAAGAGCGAAGATATTTAACCATCCGCTGATTGCACGTCAGTACTTGGAGAAGTCTACTTTGGATCTACTTTGAATTAGATTTGCAATGTTAATGAGTCCTTACGGACGGACCCTTTTCCTCCAAACCTTTGTCTTAAGGATCCTCCCTTTTGATCTGATTCGTGCTCTTCACCACGAGCGCTTCGTGTTAAAAGTTGGGGTCAGCATGCTCTGACGAAGCCCTGCTGGAATACATACACATGTGTGCTACTCAAAACGGTCGTCGGATGGTCGTCCGTGCTCTCCTCCCCCTGCATCGCCCCCCGTCCTTGCGTCGCAGGGCTGGTACAGTGCGGGGTACGGCTTCGGCGTGTGGATGGGCGTGCTGCACGCGCTGCAGCTGCAGGTGGTCCCCGTGCACCCCGCCAACTGGAAGCGCGCGCTGGGCCTCGCAGGCAGGGGGGTCACCAAAGATGACAGCCGGGAGCTGGCCGTCAGGACTTTTCCCTCCTTGCTCAAGGAGCTCAAACGGAAAAAGGATCACGGTGAGGACTACGCGATGCACCCCTGCGTGGTTTTCTAGAAATCCTTCTAGCTTGCGGCTGTTGAGAGCACTCAAGGAGGTGTGAAGGTCGCATCACCGCTTCTGTCGTCAGCATGCGAAACGCTTCGTACGTTGTCTACCCACCGTTCTTGGTATGCGCTGTGATCCTTAAGATTTTGCTGCTGAGGTATTCGGAGGCTCTTTGCAACATTGCCACTGTTCTTTCCTCCCTGCTCGTCAAGGAGTAGAGTGGCTTTGCAAAAATCCAGTCATACTTTTTCTGGGTCGTTTTTCAGGTCGCGCCGAAGCGCTACTCATTGCCCAGCATGGGCGAATGCTTGCTGCCAATCTGAAACCCCTCCAACGCGTCCCCCCTGACACTGACAGTGCACCCGCCGAAGATAAAGCACTGATCTTAGCCTAACCAGATTGGGTCTTTGCAATTATGCGAGGGGTCGGAAGGTCGTCGATTTTGACATGCGTACGTTAGCTGTCGGAGGATCTGTTGCTGCCATCCCAGTCTATATTAAGCAGAAATATGGACGATCCCTATTGCGGGTCAGCATGCGGAAGCGCTGGATGCCGACCTGATTCGAAATAAACAGAGCAGGTACGTGACAGATGCTTTCTCCGTACATCTCAGCATTTTATGAGCTGGCAACCCGGCAATCATGTTCGCAGTCTCTTTTGAGCGAACATGCAACACACGATCATTGCTCTTTGATCGATGATCGCCAGCGCTCGCTAGCTCATGCATGCTACAGAATTAAAGCAAGTGGCTTATTACTAAGTGGTGCCAATTACAGCAATGGTACAATTTCTGATCGCGCATCGCGCGTGCAGGCTGCAACTGAACTAGCGGCCGGCCATGTACGCGCACAGTACAGAAGGAACCTATCACTGTGCATGCACTTTATCCCTATATGAAACGACATGGGGTCCAATCAGATGCCGGCCGGGACGGTCTTCTATATATACACTCATATGTTCGAGGATTTATCTCTAGGGCAACTTGCAAGGGCCGTACTTTGCAGCTCGCTAATTCGGATCACGTCGGGCCTGGGGTGCATGCCGCAATGATATTCTCAAGGCACATTCTATGTAGCCATCTCGAATCTTGTCATTAGGAGGATCACAACCAAATATTCTCATGTGCCAAACCCCTATGACAGATCAGCGCGGTGTACAAACAAAGCACATCGGCATGATGCACGCCATGCATGGGAATGGATTGCATGCATATCACGGATTGTGTAGGCGCCCCATGAGGACATTTTGGCAGCTCATCCACAACCACCGAGTCCCCTAGGCCGTGTTCTTTTTTGCACAATTCTGCAGCCGTCCTTCAACGCAAGACATGTCGTTCTTTTCGGTGTACGCTCTCCTCGAGAAGATGAACCTACACGGACCGAGATAAGAGGTAAGCACGAGATCGAGGCAGGTTCAGGATGCGGTCCAATGCTATGGTGGTGCAAAGGCCAAACTTGTTTGCGGTTCGAAAGGCCCTGACGAGGGCCGTGTCAGCGATAACGCCGTTCAACCAAGCGCCTCGATGCCAGTGCGGCATTGCTGCCAGTCACATCTGCAACTTTTGGACTTTGGGGCGGCGTACTCGATGTCTAGCCGTGCTAGGGAAACGGTCTGCTGGACTTTCAAGGACGTGTTGCGATCGAGTCAAAGAGCAGCGGCTTAAGGGAATGACGGAATTTGCATATCCTCGTTGCAATTCATCGGATGAACCGAGCGCTTGGCCAGAAGTAGCTGGCCAGACAGACCGCTCCCCTTGGGGGCCCCTCTCGGTGGGCTCGCCCGCCAGTGCCCCCCCGCCTCACCTTGTCCATCATGCCCGTGATGACGCCCGTCGACCGCTCCACGGCCTGCTTCAGCCGGTGCATCTGGGCGTCCGGCACGGGCGGCGTTCGGTGCGGTCCTGCCGGCCCCGCCCCCCGCGCCCGCGCCAGCTTCTGGGCGCGCTCCGCCAGCTCTGCCAGGGTGCCGCCCAGCAGCGGCAGGTCCGCCTCCAGGCCCACTGCACACAGGCACAACGGTCGGGGCCTCTTTGAATAACGGCGTACTTCTGACAAGAGACAGCTTGAAGCAGAATTAGGCGTCAGGAAAGCACCCCAACGCGAAAGCGGGATGCATGTAGCCGAGTCCGTCCCTGGCGGGCTGCAGCGGGCTGGCCTTCTCTGTACATCATGAGCGGTACAGGGTGCCAAGCCTCTTCCAAAAAGGAGGCGAGAAGCGGAAGCAGGACCAGCAGCGAATCTCCCGACTCTTAGAAATCTCGTGACAATTAACGGGACTTAAGATAGGCGTCCGGAAGAGGGGTGGGGTGGGTAAGGTGGTTAGGGTGAGTTGGGTTGCGGAGCGCGTGTTGATTTTGCTTAAGGATTTTAGTTTGTGTGCCCGGGTAGCTTGAATGTTGAGTCACACGCCCGTTAGGTCACATTAGAGTTGCCAGTATAATTTCCCGCCCCATACAGCGGACGATACAGGTTGGAGGGAAACGAGAGCGAGGAGGAGATGCAAGAGACATGAAACATTACTCCAAAGATGGATCGCATATCTGAGTGATTGACAAGGTGAGAACAAAAGAGGTGCGGCACCTACCCAGCTCGCTTCTGTAGGCGCGCTCCGCTGCAGTCAAAGGCGTCCGGCTAACGATTGGCAGCTTGCTGTAACGTTGAAGCCGCCGCTCACTGCAGGCCACGGACGGATGTTAGCAGGAGTGGTACTTTGATGTCAAAGTGTGAGAGAGCAGCATCGTGCTCTGGCGATCAAGGAGAAAAGATGTGCCCCTTACACAGCTACCTCGCCTTGAAGTTCTTCCTCGATTCTGTTAGGCACTAGAAATATCGAGAAAGTTTAGACTCTGGCACCATTGGCCAGGGAGAGTGCAGGCCGAGATAGTCTGTAAACAAGCTGACAATCCATTAACAGCTGCGTTCTGACAAGAATCAAGGCTAGGCCAAGCGCAACCGCTGCGGACTACTACCCCTTCAGGACGTTCGAAGCACAGCCTTATGGGCAGAACTTCGTTCCTGCTCCGCTGCATGCGTTTCGTGCACACCGCCCAAACAACCGCTTCAGAGTTGACACTTCCCGCCACGAGGAGGAGGACGTAGGGAGAGCGCTCAAGAAAAGGGACAGAGCGAACGCCTCACAGCTCGGCGTGCTTGGCCAATGCTGCCGCCAGCCTGCCCTCGAAGCCGTCTGCTGTGGTGGCCGCCTTCTCCAGGCCTCGCTGCGCTCTCGTCGCCTGTGCACGCTGCTCCTGCGCAATCTCCGCGAGGCGCGCCACCCGCGCCGTGAGCTCGACATGGGCGCGATGCGCGTACTCGATGTACACCTCGCGCAGCGCCTTGGCCCGCGCGTGCAGCAGCAGCCGCCCCTCGTGGCTCGACGCGGCCACAGGGGGGCCCCGGGGCGCCTGCACGCAGCACGCCGTGCGGTTATGGAGTGGCCGAAACGACGCCGTGGATGTTGATTAGTAAGGTTCCGCCCTCTTTGTAGCATGGAAGAAAGCGTCGTAACAACAAACCATAACCCAGTTAGATGCAAAAAAATGTGCATGATGCGCTGAGCTTGTGCCAGGTCGTCGTGTGCCTGCCGGGAATTGTACGACCCTTGGTAGACCACGGCGTCGCTTGTGGCCCCGGCGCCTGGGACCGAATCTGCTCGGGAACGGCACCCAAAGCATCGACTCCACGCACACTGACGCCCAGTAGCACGGGCCAGTGCGACAACCGAGAGCAGCGACCTAAGAGCGACTCAGTATTGCGCAAGGTATCCCGGCTGACCTTGGGGATAAGCCCCTTCTTGGGCCCTTGCAAGAGCTCCGGGCTTATGGCGGGCGTCTCGGCCCCCTCCCCCTCGGGGCCCGGCAGCAGCAGTGCCGGCAGCATGGCGGGCGTCTCACTCCGCACCGAGATGACCACACAGTCGCCCCCAACGGGAGAGGCGACCAGCCACGTCTCCCCTGCCGAGTCCGACACCACGGCCAAGCCCATCAGGGGCCGAGCCTCCTGCTCATCCCCCCCGCTGACGTCCAGAAGAGAATACACGTCCGGAGGAGGAATTTTCGCCAAGTCGCGGTCGCCCCCGGCAAGGTCCGAGAAGGGCAGCCAGCGGAGCGTGATGGAGTCGACCCCCCTGCCGTGTCTGCAGAAGATGCGCTCCGGAACGAGGGGGTCCGCCGTCAAGCTCAGGGGGGCACGGAACCGGACGTCCGCAGAGAGGGCCAGGTCCGCGCTGGCCAGCAGAAGAAGGGGCGGAGCGCTCGGCGGGTCCGGAGCTGCCACGTCAGTTGCTTGAGCGACCATGGTGGCACGAGTAAGGCGGCCGTCGGGGTCGTGGGACGTCTGCGGGACGTGGTCGTAGCTCCAGGCCGGCAGGACCTCTTCCGTGAGCACGCTGACGTGGACCAGGCCGTCCGTCTGGCTCCACGCCAGCAGGCAGTCCTTGCCGGACGGGGAGCACACCAGGTGGGCCGCGCTCACGCCCTTGCGCAGGGGGGGGGCGCCAGGGCCCACAAGGGGGAGGGGGCCCTGCAGCCAGGGACGTTCTCGGTACAAGCACGCCAAAAGGACCTTTTCGCTTGGACAGATGTGTATTTTCAGCTGGGGCCCGCTCTCTGGCGTCGCGACATCAGAATAATGCTCAGAGCTTTGCGTAGCCGTGAGGTATGTTAGAGTTCAAGGGCACATTCGTTACCCTTTGAAGAAAACAAGCTATTGCCATGCACTGCTTGCAGCATTGTGAGCGACCAGCCACTCTCACCTGGGTGAAGCATCTTGAACGACGACGTTTAGTGCTCCGGCGGATACTTTACTGGTTCAACGTTCAGTTCGACAGGTCCACCTGTCACTACAACCGGTCACAAGCGGATTTTGAGAAGCAAAAGCGAAGTACATCAGTGCGGACTCCAACCGCTGATCCCTCACTATCGACCCCCCACCTGCAAGGCTGGCGAGCACTCGTAGGGCACGTGTGCCCTTGCTGCAATCACCATCCCGGTGGCTGCCCTGACGGCTTCAGAGCGGGCCGGCGATGCTGACGTGGCACGCCGTTCAGAAAGGGGGAAGGTCTCGTGGAGCCAGGCCAGAGTGGCCTCCGTGAAGGGGGTCCCCTGCGAGGCACACTGCTCCATGTCGCGCACCAGGGACAGGATGCTCTCGTGGGAGAAGAGGCTGCAAGGTGACAGGGGGACTGTGAGGGAGGCAGGAGAAAGTTCGGGAGGGTGGGCATACACGTGGCGGTGTGAAGGCGGGAGCAGCCTCATTACAATGCCATCCCTGCAATCGAGCAGGCCTGGGAGGCACAGCGGAGGATCGGCAGCCACTTGCAACACCACTCCTTCACACAGTCCGCTTCAAATTGCAATGAGGACGACAGGAAGCTGGAATACTGAAAGGACACATCAATACATAGATCAATACACTATGCTCACGACATGGATGAGACCGAAAGGTCGATGCTCAAGAGCGGCATGGTCGGTGCGAACCACTTGCTATTGTGCGCACCCTTTGCCTCGCTCACCTTCCAAAGGGGACCACGGGACACAGAGGCAGGATGGCCCCGTCGCTCCACAGGAAAAAGACCTGCAAACAACCACGAGAATTGCTGTCAACCAAGAGATTCACCGCCACGCTAAAGTGAGTCAGCCGGCCATCTGCTCTCCTTACAGAGGAGGTCCAGAGGAGGTCCAGGTGCGCCGCAGACACAAGCTGTCAAACTTTTCGCGACCTTACTTCCAGCCAGTCCCAGGTCACTTCAAATTGCAACGAAACACTTGAGACTAGACAGTAGACAGCTGCAGTGGTTTGCTCACGGTGAACTTTTCCCAGAGATGCTCCCCCCCAAAGACAAGGTCGACTGGGCGCGCAAAGCCACGGGGTGGGGCGTGGGCCCTTTGGAGATAGTACTCCTGCTCCGGGGAGTCCTTATCCTGGGACAGGTCGAACAGGCTGCACCACCACAGCAGGAGAGTCACGGCTCCCAGCACGTACCGGAGCAAAGCTCCATCAATGGTTTAGAGTGCGTGCACATCCCATTGAGGATACTCGGCAAGAAGGGTGACTTCAAGTCGGGCAGTGCAAAGCATCAGCTGAAAGAACCTTCTGGTCTCCAATCAAAGCAGCTTTATCGTGACTGGGTTGAAGACGGACAAGTAGCAGCCTACTAAAGGTTGCAAGAGGTTTGAATGCTGCAGAGGAACTTACCGGAAAACTCCGTCTGAGGAGAGGATTCCCAGGTGCGTATCACTGCTGGGATGCCACGCCACCCTCAGGAGCGCCGGGCCCGCTTCGCCCCCAGGGAAGATGGCCCCCGCAATGGAGTGGACGCTGCACCACAGATCCAAGCATACAAAGTCAGCAGTCTTTACGAACCGCGGAGAGCAGCGCAGTCAGTCGGCTTTTAATGCGATGCCGCGGTGCACATTCTTCCACCAATCCTGAACTTTCCTGGCTTCTGCTACCCAGCTTTTTAGAAAGCGTTGTCAGGCCGCTTCCTTAGGGGGTCAGGCTGAGCATTTGAAAGATGCCTTTCAGTCGGTGAAATGGCTCTGGCGTACTCACGAGCATGACGCCACTTCTGGAGAGTCTGTGCCCTTGGAACTCTGTGCATCAAGCACGGCCAGAGCGGACTCCCCCACCAACGCGACGTAGCGCCCGCTGCGACTCACAGTGATGGAGACGATGGGGAAGTCAAGGGCGGTGGTGGGGACCAGCGTCTGCACAGTAAACAGGGGCAGGGGGGACCGGTTCTGCCTTATGCATTGCAAGTGCTGATGTGTTCTGGGGACCAGGGGAGCTTTCAAGAGGCTGTTTCAAACAGCTACATAGAGTCAGGTTCTTTTGGTTTCACCAAATCAGAATGGGAAAAAGCTGGGCGACGATTGTACCACCACCCGGAAACATACTTTGCTGACATTAGCTGCACAGTGAAATCCAGAGAACCCAATCAAGGCTAAAGAATTAGCAGAACCCAAGCTCTGAAACCCCTCTCCTTTCAAGAGGATTTCTCGAGTGACTTACATGTTCACCTGTCCTAAGTGCACTGGCCAGCGGTGCTACTTACATCGAAAGGGGAGTCATGGCTGGACGACTGTAGGGTGGCCAGGCTGCCCGAGCCCGCGTCCCGATCAACGCTAACGTAATGGAGCACACCACCTTCAGGATTCCACACGTACAAGCGCCCCGCATGGTCATATGCTGACAAGGATGGTTGCGCCACATTGTTGGCAAGCTCCCAGGCGGCATCGCTGTCAAAAGCCTCAGAGAACACCAGGTTCTCCTCGAGCTGCGGCTGCTGCCGCCCCGGCTGTGTCATTCTTGCGCTACCTTAGACCCCGTTAGAGCCTGCTCGCTGGTCGCAGCAGAGCTGCACGCAGCATAGATCAAGCAATGGCCACAAAGCTCAAACTTCAAAATTTTCCAGCTGGCCCAGCTGGGCCACCTGGTTTTCATGTTTTAGGGTTTCCTTTTCCAAGTTTGCCGTTTCTGCCACAACTTCAAGAAAGACGAGTGGCACAGCGGAAGCTTTCACTGTCAGAGCTGCAGCTAGGCGTTTCGGTTATCGCCATTGGCATTCTCACCCGTGGTCCTGGACAAATTTGAAGGCCGGCAGCCGGTTGGCGGCAGGTTTGCCGATTATGGGGCGGAAGCGGGACCGCAAGCAGTCTAACGCGGTGTTGGGCGGAGGCGCCGGTGGTCGTCGAGTGAAACTCGACCTTTGGACGCCTGACCCAATTGCGGAAGCAAGGAAGGCCCGAGAAGCAGCTTCTGCGGCAGCCCCTGCAGAAGCACAAGGTGCGGAGCCACAAGATGCCGCAGTGGTCAAGCATTCGCGATGATTCACGTCTCTTTGCTTCTCATGTCTATAGGATGAAATGTGAAGAGCCGGTATTTGACATGCTTTTTGTAATTGACTATTTGCAGAAGCTGCTGCTGAGGACAGGGCCCCGCTTGGAGCCCCATCTGACAATGGAGAGGCCACGACGGGAGGGCCCAAACTTGCAGAAACAGGTGGGTACAGCGGGACCCCTGAGCCCCTGTTAACCCAGTCTACTCCCTGGTCTTGCGATACCCTGCTAACAAGTGCCCTGCGCTGCGCTTCTCCTTTGCTGCGCCGCGGCAAGAGGCCGTACGCAGGCTGTGGTTCCATGCAATTGGGGCCACATCCGGCAACAGGGAGGGCTGCGACCACTGCGTCCCAAATCGGGCTGGTGGTTACGGTGGAGCGGATGCAAGTTCGCAACGGGGCAGGGTAACGTATCCCTCTCTACACCACACTGGAAATGAAGCAGTTGCTGAAAGTCCTGACAATTGTCGTGCACTGTCAAAATACTTTACGTGTTGAATGTTGTCTGCTTGACGCAACTGAAATCCCAGGTTCTCGCATCAGTGCCTCGTTGGCAGGATTGTGAGCGATTGAGAGAGGAAGTCGTTCAGAAACGGAGGATTCTCAGCAGACAAATTGGAGATCATCTTGAACGTTTTTGCCTCTGGTCTTGGGAGCTCGCTGCCACCCTTTCAAGATGGGCATCGTGTCACTTTCTATATGTTGGAATCAAAAAGAGTTATGCAGGAAAGGAACTCTGTCAGATGAGTGCGGATCAAACCTAAAAAAGCCAGGCATGGGTAGAAAGTGCTTCGTCCTGCTTTAAGTATTCATGTTCTCTTGAAGTTGATATGGCAGTCTATACTGTCTGCATGAAACAGAAAGTGGAGAGCCAGCTGCCCTTGACAAAAGATGGACAGCTATGATGTCCGCGGTGCTGCCTCAGTGACGTACTTCTGTGTATCCTCACATTGCCTCATGTATCTTCTTTGCAGCTCCCTCCGGTCTGCGCCACCTGATTGGTGCTTACAGTGAGGATGAAGAGGATGAGGCATCTCCCCAGGAAGAGGCAGCAGCGCCAGCTGGAGCACCAGGAGAAGACGTGGATGACAAGGTGACCCACAGCGGCAGCGGACTTTTGCTTTCTCAGTGGGAAATATGCGCTAAAGTGTGGCACGGCTGGTGCTGAAGAAAGTCCGTCTGTCGAAAGGGTTGCCTGGCTCAGACTGGCGCAAAAAGACTGGCTGTTTGAGTGGACGTTTAAAAATAAGGCAGCGTGTAGCTGTAAGAAGCCTTTGAAATGGATTCTTTCGTCAGTCTCCCTTTCGTTCTTTGCTCTTTCAGGTCAAGAGCTTTCTGGCGGAGCTTGAGACGGACGGGCTTCTGGAAGAAGGCGAAGAAGCGGCTGTGGAGGAGGACCAACAACCGACAGAAACGGGCGGTGTAACGTCAGACCATGATTCAGGGGCGGTGGCTCTTGGACACGAGGTGCAGAGAGCGGGGGGCGCTGGCGCAGGAGAGAGCGAACGTGATGATGGGGAGGGGGAGGACGAGTTTGTGGAGGAGGGCTGGCAGGCCATCCTGGACCCGGGGAGCGGAGAGCACTACTACTGGAACACGCTGACGCTAGAAACGACCTGGGACAAGCCCAGGACGATCAAGCGCAGGCGCGGGGGTGACCCGGCACTGGCCCCGCAGGATGAGGCGGGGGACGGCAGCGGAGTCGCTGCAAGTGTCGAGCCAGGGGAAGCCGGACAGGGGGGCCAAGTGGAGGAGCAGGAGCAGGGTGGGGAGACGCAGCCTGAAGGCCCTTCCGTACTAGAGACGGGCAGGGAGGAAGGCAGTGAGGGTGGGCTGAACACTGGTGAGAAGAAAGGACGGCTCTTGGAAGGAATCACTGCAGAAGGTTTGGGTGCGGACAGGGAGGAAGGGGACGCTGCTGGCCCTCTGCCATCGAAAGAGGATGTTCTCGAAAGTGTGCCCAGCACCGCAGAAACAGATGGTGCCGTGACACAAGGAAGGGTCTTGGACGACGAAGCGCTCCCTGCGGTCCAGAGAAAGGTCGTAGAAGTTGGGGCCACTTCTGATGAAGCCATCGATTCTGGGGATACCTCAGAAGCATCCGACAGCGAGGATCAAGTGGACGAAGATGGTCATGCAGCGGATGCTAGAGAGGCAGGGCCTCAGGCGAGGGGACAGGGGAGCACAGGGGAGCGCGAGCGGGTCCCTGGGAGTGTGGTTCGGGATGACGAGAAGACGAGGAGCGAACAGGAGGAGCTGGTCAGCGGTCTTCTGCAAGAAGGGGCGGCACTGGTGCGGCGCCTGCAAGAGCGAGCAGGGTAAGTGGCGACTGAAAGATTCTGCCTTTCTATGTGATGACAAAATTGAAGTAGAATTGTTTGCCAGAAGTTTCTCCTACTTGTGATAACGGTTGGCCGCTTCTGTGGCAATTGGTCTGTGGGCTCTTTGGACCTTACTAGTTTGTTTAGGACGGAAATATCTCTTTCCTTACCAAAGCCTGCACTCGTGGGTCTCGAGTCACTGGCAACTCAGGACCTCTCTCTGAAGGCAGGGATATGCCACTCTCCAGGAGCTGCCTCCTTGTGGATTTAAGCTCTGTCCGTTTGTTGTCTTTCTCCAAACACTCCACCCCGAATCGAGAACTGATATTATACTCGTATGGTGAAATCGAAGAATGTTCTGCGTGGCTCAAAAGACAGTTAATTAAGACTCGGGCCAGCCGCAGATGTCGTCACATTTGATGTCAAACACGAAGTCCTTGGTTTGGTTCCTCCCAGCAGGCCGTCTTTAGCGCATGTCTCCCCGTTGGCGCGCTTGGCCATCCAGGCGGAGACGGTGTCCTCTCTGGCGTTGAAACTGCAGACCGCCAACAGTGCAAACACGATTTGGGCCCGCATCTGTGAGCAGCTTTTGCTTCTCTCTGCGCGTGCCACCGAAATGGAGGGCATGGCAGAGGGCGGGCGTGGTACTGGCCGCACAGAAGGAGAGACGCAGGGAGGCTCTGATGGGCCGCACACGGACGAAGAGATTGAGGCGCTGCTTGAAGACGTGGAACCAAACAGGGAAGAAAACTTCAGGGATCGAGAGACACGGCCAGAGAGCTCCGGAGCCACGGGCATGAGGCTGTTTCCGATTCCTTATCGGGGCGTGCCACTCACGGGAAGTAGTGCTGGAGAGGGAAGTACAAGCGGGATGACTCCAGAGGTTGGGTCGGCCCAGCTTGGTGGGCAAGAGGAGAGAACGCCGTCAAAGGCTGAGCTGTTGCAGAGAAAGACGGCAGACCTGCAGAAGCGGATGGCTGCCATCCAAGCGTTCAAGACGCCCGCGAGCGAGCCCCCAGCCGAGGCCACCGCCTTGGTTGGGCTTGCCGGCTACGGGTCCGAGATGGAGGATGGGGAGATCGCACCCTCGGACGAGGCCCCCACCTCGGAAGGTGCCAGGCCCGCCAGCCGCAGCGGCCGGTCAGAAAAGCCGTCGGGGGAGGACGACATGGGGATTGATAACACCGAGGGGCGGCCAGAGGCCGGGGTGGGTGCGCCGGGGCAGCTCCGCAGCACGCTGCAGCAGCTGCTGGCGCTGGGGGCCTCTCTCCACGAGCAGTCGGGACAAGGGGCTACCAGGGGGGTGGGGACTAGTCCTACCCCACCGCCAGGGGCTGCTGCCTACCCCGAAGCGAGTCTCTTCACGCCCCAAAATCCGTATCCGAACCCGCCCCCGATGCCGTATAACGGGGCGGAAGCAGCGCCTGAGCCACCGTCGTACGACCCTTTTGCCGAGGCCCACCCCCCGCCGCCCCCAGCCAGCCCTCCACCCGAAGACACGTGGCCAGCTCAGCCGCCCTTCCCTCCCGAAGAGGCGTTGCTTCTGGAGCCTCAGCCCCCTCTCAGCATAGTCGAAGCTGCGGTGGTCCCCGTAGTGGAGCCTCCACAGGTGCAAGGCCCCGTTCTATTCGCGCCTCCAGTGCGTGTGGCTCGGCCGTTGGAAGCGGTGCCGAAAGTAGAGCAACCCAAATCGGTCGCCGAAGCAGCCGCGGCAGCAGCAGGAGCAGCAGCGGGCTCGCGAAAGGGTGAGCGAATATCTCGAAGGGGCTAGCTACCGCTGGTGTTTCCATGCACGCACCGTTCGGATGGGATCAGGAAGGCCGCTTCCCCATCATGGAGGCCTCCTAATGGAGGGGCTGCCATGCTGGTCCTGGTTGGTTCGGCCGTTTAGCTGGTTCGTCATTGCTCCCTTGAAGGGTCTATTGCAAACTGGCTGATGACAAGGGCCCGACTAGCTTCTGCTCTCTTGCCGAAGTGTTTCCTTATTCGACCTCGTGTTTACCGTGCAGCCAAGCCGAAGAAGCCCGCATCTGCTCCTGTCGGGCGGGGGCTGTCCTCCGCCAAGAAGGTGTCGTCGCTCATGGACAAGGTGGGCCGTACACCCTGCCACCACGGGGTGTTGAACAAGATTGCCGGCGTCAGCCGGAGATCTTGCTGCATTGCCGTTTCTTATGCTGGCAGGCTCTGAAGAGTTGTTTCGGCAGCTTTACCGAAAGACACTATCATTGCGATCCGAAGCCGTCTTAATATCGTCAGCAGCCTTCGCATCATACTTCCTGCTTTCAAACGAACTTAAGGCAGATTTGAAACTGTACATGTCAACCTTTGAAGGTGCTGAGGCAAAGGAGCTCCTCGCTTCAGTGTTTGGAGGCACAGTGACTGTCGTCATATGTCTGTAGACGATATTACGGGACCCCTCGTTCATTTCCCCCATGTTTCGGGTGCAGTGGAAGGCGGCGGCCCAGGATGCGCAGCCCCGCAAGGAGGGCCCTCTCTCTGCTGAGGAACTGGAGCGGCAAAAGGCCGCGGAGCTCGAGGTGAGGCCGCAGCCGGCACAAGGAAGGAAGCTAGCGCCTAGGTGCCAAGAGCATCACTGTGCATTGTGCCCTACTGACTGGCCGGATTTGGCAGCTGTCAAAGGAGGCGGTTGCTTTCCACGCGACGTTCGCCACGTTTATGTTCGATACGAGCCGTCTTTCCGACGGTTGTCGTTTGTTTGGCTTTGTTCCTCACTTCCACCAGTACGGTACGATCTTCTGTTTGGTCCTAAGCGACCCCGTTTGCGTCTGTCCTCCATTGGCCTCTAAAGGCTGAAGAAACCGCTTTGGACACCTACGACGACAAGACTAAAACCGAGGAGGGAACAGGTAGTCACCTGGTTGCTCTGCCCGCAACCTTGCAGGAGTGGAGGCGGCAGCAGATTGCCAGCGGGGAAGCCGATAAGAACGCCAACTTTGCGCCAGTCGAAGGGGACTGGTGAGAAAGCACTCCGCGTGTAGCATCCGGCATCCTACTCCCTCCTGTGTTGGCGCGTGCTTTGAACGAAAGCCTTCACTTGTTACGCATCCGCTTTGTTCGTGATGCTTATAGCACTCACGAAGCTACTGAAGGCAGCGAATCCAGTTTCCTGGGCCCGCGCGTTGGTGCAAAGTAAGCTGATCACACGTGTGCGATCACATTCAGAGTATTGCTGTGCTACATTTTTAGACAAAGAAGCATTTGTCCTTCTTCCTGGACCTTGTATAAGCTGGTAAAGTTCCTTGGTTGCAGGCGGAAGCGCGTGAAGAAGGCGCAGAAGCAGGCCGAGAGGGAGGCGCGCCAGGCTGCGGCTCCCAGCGTCAGTCCGCCGCACGCGGACAAGCCCGACCTGGCGGCTCTCGCGAAAGGGCTGCAACCGGGCTGGCAGGTGAGCAGTCCCGCCGTTGCCGGTGCTTGGCTACCGAACCGTATTCTGCTTCGCACTACACGTTCACTTCGTTGATTGAGGTAGCGCGAGGGTGATGGCGTGTCAAAGATGTGCAAGCTGTGGCGAGGGTGGGGAAGCTCGGCAGCACTTCAAGTGTGCAGCGAATCATCTGCTCAGGTTTGCGGGATAAGAACGGAAGCTTGCCTGGCGTTGCTCTTGCGACGTTGTCGGAAAGGGGAAGGCCAACGGAATCTGCCTCTTGGAGTTACGACTCAAGGGTTGATGTCTGAGTTCCTTTCACATCTTCGACGATTGCAACGGACTCAAGCGTCGCTTCTTCCTGCTGCAGCCGTTCTTGGATCCAGGCTCAGGTGACGTGTATTACGGTAACCTGCGAACGTCCGAGACGACATGGACAAGGCCGGCCGGGTGACACGTGACTTGCGGGTAGCCGTCCTTGACATTAACTGTCGGTCCGACTCGGAACTGTCGGAATTGGAATTGTACGTCGGAACTGTCGGAAGTTGGAACTCACGTCGCTGTAGCTGGCCGTACTTGCACGATGGGTGTGACGTCCAAAATCCTGTACTACCTAGGCTGTAGAGCTAGGTCCTAGTCCTCGCTCAAATATGTACCTACAGTGATTTTATTGTCACTGTCAGTGTCAGTATTCGATGTCAACAGCACTACTTCTGTTGGCTGGTTTCCGAGTTCGCGCACTATGTTACTATATACCATAAATAGAAGCGAACTTGTCTTACCTAGCGTCTTGCTTCGTCTTCTTGGTAGCTGTTGCTCAGCTCTTGTTGATGAGCTCGTGAATGTTGGTGAGACTGGGTCCTAGCAACTCGGAGGACTCGGGAGCCGCTTTCCCAGCTGCCCGGGTACATTGCAATCACATTGCAGAGGGAAATCTCCCCCAAAGCCTCCTTCAACCTTGTCGAAAGAAGCAAGCCTGCGGCAACAAGTGACGGATTCATTCAGAGATTCTGTGCAAAATGGGCAACTGCGCCTGTGGCGCAAATGGCGCCAACGAGCGTTTTCTCAAGGAGCAAGTTCCTAACACCATAGCAAGTCTTTTTGAGTCGTATGCTGGCCGAAAGATAGCTCTTTCCGTGCAGGACTTGCAGCAGGTTTTGATAGACCAGGTATGCGACCTTTCCCAATTCTGAACACTTGCAGAGGTCTGCATGTCTGCACATGACTTCTTGAGGAGGTCTGCATTTTACTATATGTGGTGCAACATCATTCTGCTCAGCCTTTCTATAAAGCTTTCTGCAGGTTTAAAATACGTTTAAAATGTATGCTAGTCGTAGCTAGTCGAATGGACTTTATTGGGAAAACGTCCTTGTTTCCTCAGCCTGCTAATGCAAGCCAACATGAAGCAATCTGGTCCATCTATACAAGGACAATGAGACTCTCAGGCCACAGAAAACCCCAGCCATGTTCTGCAGAGGATCAACAATTCAGAGGCCCATGCGCGGCAGCTGATAGTAAAGCACCGGAAAGAAGTAGCATCGGGCGGGAAAGATGCCCTGGAACTGGAGCTACCAGGCTTTGCCTCTTTCCTTCTTGATGCAGACGTCAATGCACTCCAGGATTGTGACAAGGTTGGTCAACTGGCAAACAACTCAGCTTCTTTTCACAGTGTGTCAGGTCTCTTGCATTACACACCTCTCAGCAACTAGATACCTCTTGTGGCTGGGGGGGCTTATCATGCGGCTTCATAGCACTAAAAAGCTGTTCAGGTGGGCCTGCTTTTGTGCTTAAAGAATAGGATGCCATAAATAGTTGGACCAATTATCTACTGCTCATCAAACATGGGTCCAACTTAGTGCGACTGTGTCAAGCTCAAGCTCAGCACTTATATTTGATCTCACCAATTTGACACCAACTTGACCAAGCAACCCTGACGTTCACGAGAAGATTGCAGAATCGTTTAAAAGACAAGAGCGCTGGTGCAGCACCTATGTGTCAATTGAACAACCCCCTACCTTGCAGTCTAGCTTTGACTTCCTTAAGCAAAATCTATGCCCTTAATTCCATTGAAATCTCAGGCCTTCTTTAAGCTGTGATGGTTTGTTCTCTGCGGTAATATCAAGCTGCTCAGCAATTGAGGAATGCCCCTTTCCCAACTTTCCGTCTTCTTCACAAGTTGAGTTAGGTAAGCTACTTCCCTGCATCCAAACATTGCTTGATTATTTCTGTATCCTTTTTGCAGCTTACCGTACACTGCCTGCTGAGATTAGCAGTCATCAAAGCTTCAAGTCTGACAACAATTTGCTTTACCAAAGATCTTCAGTACAGTCCTTCCTGAAGCTTTCAGAACAGCTTACATGGCTTTTCGTACCCCTTCTACCAAAGCAGTTCTGGTAAGAAAGATGACATGTGCATTGCTTTCATTCACTGTCCTTGAGAGCCCTTTCCTTCAATTATGTACCCGATGTTCTCAAAAAATGTAGTGCAGAAGCCTTAAACTGCTGGCTCGTTGGACATGTGACACATGGGCCCATACAGGGAAGAGAGAGTCAAAACGTGGAGTCCTTGAGCCACCTCACCTCTGAGCGCTTGAATCATTATCTTAAGCCCATCATCACATTCTCCAGGTTACGAACAACATGCACCAGCCCCTCCCACAATATTTCATTCAGTCTGCCAGCAGAGCAGTTGAGGCGGCTGGAGGTACCGTCGCCAGCACCCTTCTTGAGGCCTTGAAGGGAGGTGCCCGTGTGGTCGACTTGGAAGCGCGAGCAGATGGGGAGGAGATCAAGCTATCCACTGGTGGAATGTAAGCTCACCCATCGGTCATCTGTTTATTACAAGACATGGAAGGTGCCTTTCCAGGTCTCTTGGCATGTCAAACGTGTCAGAGGGCAAACAGGAGGATTGACCGTGGCAATGACTGGTTGTGATGCAAATCCTGTTTATGGGCTCGAGAAACAGTATATGTCAAGGTGCTCCCCGAGTCCTCATGGGTATGTTTCGCCTTGATCTGTAGAGTGTTCTTATTTTCCTTGAGTCAGCAAAGATACTTTGGCCAAGCGTCGCAAGACAAAAGCCAAAGCTAGATCAAAGGGTTCGCCCGTCTGCCAATTCGATTTCTTTGAAGCTTGTATCCTTGCATGCTTGCATGAGCTTGAATTTTGACAAAAGCTCCCGTTGGTGCTGCAATAACTTGCTCACAACACTCTCCGCAGCTCAGATATCTGTAGGCGATCACTCGGGACCAGCCCTCGCTTCTTGACTATGTCACTAGAGAATTGTCATCAACATCTCCTCAACCTTGCGATTACAATTTCTGCAGCACTGCTCCCATACATGAGTTGCTGACTGCGGTCAAGGAGGGGGCGTTCTTGGCGTCAGACTTTCCTATCATCCTCGTGATCGAGAACCGTCTCTCTGCACCGCTGCAGGATCTCTTAGCTCAGGTGTGTTTTGCTAAGGAGTCGAATGGGCGTGCTGGCACTTAATATTTGATCTTATTCAATGCTCTCAAGTGTCAATCTCTGATCCTCCATCTGGACCGAGCTCTTTACAGGCTGCTTAAAACCTTTTCTTATCTAGCAGGAACCTGATAATTTGTAAGTGGATTGGACATGTCGCGGCATTAGTCAAGGACAGACTGTTTCTCAAACGTCAGCAGCAGGTATTGGTGCACATGAGATTTGATAGTCCTCCTGTAAGCAGCCTTTTCATTCTGTACAAGATTGTTGTATATGCACACGCAGCCAAGAGCGAAAGGGATCCCTTTCAAATTGCTGTTGATCGAAGCTGCAGTGGTACACCTGTTTGATTCAAGGTTCCCATTGCTTTCCTGCAGCAACTGAAGGACATTTTCGGCGAGTCGCTTTTCACACCCCCCAGTGGGACACCGGGCGCTGTTCTTCTCTCTCCGAGTGACCTAATACGGAAGGTCGTGATTGCCGAAGTGGCTACTGAATCACCGCCAAACGAGGCAGGCTCCGCAGCCGTCACCCCCAACAGCGTCCTTCCTCTGGCCGGCGCCTCTTTCATCGATCTGGACGACATGCAAATCAAGGGTAATAAGGGTGTTCCTCTATGAATGACATCATGAGGACACAACTCTGGGGCTGTACTTCATCATGAAGCCTCGACCGCATGCCTGGTTTCTGTGAGGCTCTTCCCTTGCTGCAATTTTCTGTCGCCTCCCTCTTCTGCATGAATTTGAGAGAGCGTCTGGGCTCTCCTGGATAATCCTACCGGACGTTGGCTGGCTGGATCCATTGTAGGACGATCCAAGAAGTGCTGCCCTCAGATGACTCTACTCCAAATTGAGCTCCACAGAGTTACGCTGGCGGTGGATCTCACCATCTAAATGACCAGCCGTGGTCTCTGGGAGCCTCTTGTTGTTGCCAGCTTGCCTGAGACATTTCGCCGCCGCGTCTTCTGCAGCAGACAAGCGAGTCGGCACACAGAGACAAGCGGCAGCTTTGCTTGGTCAAGCTGATTCCAAGGAAGAAGGCAGCTTCTCACCGCTGGTCTACATCCGGGGCCTTAAGGCGTCGGAACCAACCCACTACGCTGAGAAAGTTGGCACCCTAGCGAGCCTGAGCGAGGCTTCTTTCTCCAAATTGGCGGGCTCGACTCCTTCGGTGCTAGCCAAGTAAGCAGGGGCTTTCGAGGTTGCGGCGGTGCCTGCAACTGTGGCAGATGTAGCAATCAAACACCTTGAAGCAGCTTGCATGGATCTGAATGTGTTCGTCCACTTATTTGGAGCTGAGTTCTGACCGTTTGAACGTCCTCAGTCACAGGCTTAGACGCTGCAGATGCAGACTCCCTTTATCACCGAAGTGAAGAGACCGCTGAGATGAATGTTCGTTCACTTTTCCTTGTAAACGGTGACGAAGAGCTGGTCCAAGCCATGCTTTTCTCGTTCTGTCCAAGTTTGGCATTGCAAAGGTTTCAAGCCCTGCTCATCTTCCTCTGACCTGACCTGACCTGCCCTCCCCAATCCGACAGGTACGCCGCAAACAATCTGATCCGCGTCTATGGTCCTAATGGAGAGACTGGCTTCTCTGGCCCCATGAAGGCCTGGTCCTACGGAGCCCAAATCGTGGCCAGCGATACCAAGGTGCCTGTCAATCAGTCCCCTTTCCTACGGTAGGAGTGGCCAGGTTACTAGAACTCGTTCAGCTCGTATCCACTGCCATGCCCTGTTCGTTTCGCATGCAGCAACTCTTTGGTCGTCTTCATCATTGCAAAGATTGGTTGAGTGACGCACATTACCAGCTTTCAGTCTGCCCCACCTGGACCAAATTCTGTATCAGACCCAGCGCCTCTGACAAACAACCGTCTTCAGGCTGAGTCGAGGAGAAAGACAAGTGTGAGTCCGCCTCTATTAGTCTGAGACTGTGTTTTGACAGGCGCACAAAACACATGCAGCTACGCCAGGAAACGCGGAGACAAGGAAGAAGTGGAGAAGACGTGTGGTTGAAAGGCGTTCATATCTTCATTACAGTGTGAATATATCGTGTGATGGATAATCAACCATGTCATAAGTCATACTCCTCTTGCGCAGGCGGGCGGAAGGCAGCAAATGCTCCAGCAGGGCTTCTTCTCGGCCAACGGCGGTTGCGGCTACGTGCTGAAGCCTGATATGTTGAAGGCGGGCCCGAGCATGGGAGCCGCCGTCGATGGCGCTGCCTTTGATCCCAAAGCCAAAAATCGTGTCAAAACGACGCTCAAGGTGCATATCTTTCACACGTGATGCGCATTTTTCTGAGAGTGTCAGCAGCTTTCTCAGCCGCCCACGATACGATCTGCTTCTCAAAGAGCTCAAATTTGCTCGGGGATCGAAGAGGCACAATTTTCGCATCTGGTACATGGAAATGAGCCTTTCAACTTTCAGTGTGACGAGTACCCACGGTCAAAAATTGCCCTTCTCAATTCAGCGGCGGGACACCGTGAGGCAGTCTGCGAGGTTGAGGGCACGCTGAGTGTTTGCAAACTAGCTGCAGGCGCTCGAAAGAAGTGCTGGGAGTTCTCATGATCTGATGATCAGGTTACGAGATTACATGATCAGCCGCGTCGATTTCGTACGAAGAACTCAGAAGATCGACGTTGACAGCGCTCTAGACTGGTGATGTTCCATTTACACGGAAGTTTTCTCCCAAGACAAATCAGCGGACGCTCTTGCGATGCACCCTTTTATTTTTGCATATCAGCAATCTGAATTTGCAAGAAAAGTTCTTGAAACGCGCTTTTATTACCCAGCTATCATCTGAATTTTACGGCATCGAACCCCTCTAGCGGGAACTTGCTGACTGCCGTATACCCAAACTGTGAGCTCTGCCAATCATTTGATAAGTCTCATCTGACGTGGCGGCATTGGCGTTGCAGGTCATGATAGTTTGGAGCCAGTCCGACCAGACTGCAGGGCGACCCGACACGTTCGTACGGGTGAGCCAGGATACCGCGGGCGTGCTTTGGATGCAGACAATTTCCATCTCCATGATCGCGGCAGCCGGTCTTCGAAAGACAATCTGTTTGGGATACATAGGATGAAGAAGTGTCGGAGAAGATGCATGCGGAGCACAAGGTTGCAACCACCTGACGGTTTCACAAGCACACGGCGACAGCCCTAAGGGGATTGCCTCAACCCCCAATGCTTAATCTTTCACTGGACGCAGCGAATCTAGTTTCTCAAATTGGTCTGGCTTTGCTTCGCAAAGCGGGGATCCCACTCTGCAGCTACAGTACGTATTCTCTTTCCGGGTGATCGTTTCCATATCCTTCTCGCGCGGCGTTTGGAGATTCAATCGCCAGATGTGATGCAAAAAGCGATCGTCCCGTACCAAAGTTGAAAGAGAACGTGCCACTGTCATGGTCGCAGGTTACAACGCACGGAGTCCCTGCCGATCAAGGAACGTACGACACCACGTCGTGGTCGGATGACGGCAAGCCCGCCGCTTGGGAAAGCGAAGAATTTCACTTTCCGCTGACCGTCCCAGAGCTGGCGCTTCTTGCAATAGAGGTGGGAAAGTCCTAGAGCATCTTTCTTTAGCCGTGACACGAGATTTCCTTTCAAATTTCTGCCTGGGCTCCGTTTGAGATGGATGCGTCTCCTGGTCCGGAATGAAGAACCGGCCTTGGCGCAAACAGATTTACGTAAGTCGCATCCCAATTGTATGGGGTGCTTGACGTTTTCTTCGATTAAGTGCTGATTTGACTTTACGGTGTCCAAGCGAGTGGCCCGGCGATGAGTGCATCAAGCTTGAAGACAGATCCAGCCTCTCGCGACCACCTTAATTGTTCTGCGAGTCTGTCGAGAAAAGTGAGTGTTGAGTCGAGAAAAGCGAGTGTCGTGTCTGTTAAGAAAAGCTTCACAGATTGCCTGTACAGCACCCGGTTCCATCGCAGGTGAAGACACCAAAAGTTATGAGAGATTTTGAAGATTCCTTTACGGGAGCATTTGTTTTGGTCGGCATTATCCGAAGTTCTTTGCCAGTGCTCCTCTATCAAATGCCGTTCTTCAAACTTTCTTAAGCTCCCAATTCACTTGCTCGTATCTGGGGATTGTTTTGAAGGCTTCTTTCTCGCGGTATTGCAAAAAACTCTCCTGCTCGGAAGCTCCAGATCGCTCCATTCGGACCTTCCTTAAAGGAAAGCTCCTTTCCGGACAGGTCCGGCAGTACAACGCCCAGCAGCAGGACGTCTTAGCCTCCCAGGCCTGCCTCCCGGTCGCAGAGCTTAAGCCCGGTTTGCGCGCCGTCATGATGAACGACGCGAGCGGGTTCCCTCTCCCGGACGGCCGAGGCCGCCTACTGGTTCACGTGGAGCTTTCTCCTGCGGGCGACGGGTTTATTCCTCCGGGGAGCGCTGGCGTGGCCTTAGAAGTGCCCGCGGTTTCTACGTCTGGCGGAGCGCCAACTTCTGGGGGGGCGCCGCAGGGTGCTACGGGAGCCTCTCAACAGGTGGTGCATACCCGGTACCAGGAGACGATTATCCACGAGCGACGCCGCTCCCCGGTGGTGCCGTTCTTGGGGGGCATGCTCGTGGGGCGTATGCTTGCACCGCGGCCACGTCAGCAGGTGATGGTGGTCAACAACAAGGCTCCCGCCCCGAACAGGGTCGTAAATACTAACGTGACTGTGAACAAGGGGTATCCAAGACCCGGGGGGTCCTCCTATGGCCGGCCCGCACCGGCCGTACGAGCAAGCGCGCGCCCAAGCGTGCGAGCGAGTGTGGCGTCCTACTCGAGCGCACGGCCGGCGAGGGCTGCAGGTGGAGGTGGGGGGCGAGTGAGAAGAAGGCGATGATGGAAACGAGGCTGGCTTGCTCAATGCGAAGAAGACGGCGTATACAACTTCAAATCGGGACACAGAGACGGGACAATATGACCTGAACTTGTTTGCTGATACATACATCGTGTCGTAGGATGAATTTGTAAATTACCAATTACCGAAAATGGAAGTGGTCGACCCGAGCTTGATAAGATTGTTCAGCTGCCTTGCGTCTTGTCGATCCAATTACTGATCACCTAGTTTTGGAGGATTTTGTGGACACTCCTAGGCGCATTTTGAAAAGCGCTTTGTCTTAGTCAAACAACATAGACGGACTGATCCGATGCATGATCGAGGAATAATGGACTAATCTATAGTATCACTCAAGAACAAAAGTAACACTCTAAAGTTGAAAAAAGTAGTTGATAATGGGCGCTGAGCGAGTGGCGCCTTGATTTATACGATAACATTGACAACGAATGCACCGTCTAGCCTTTGATGCAGATTGTGAATTGAATTGACGCTTTGCCTGGAAGCTGAGCTGCAATATGCAACTCGCCATCGTGATCAGTCAGGGTGCGTATTTTGTCCGACAGTTATATAGAGCTAGTCACGCATGCGTGGCAATTCAACGCGTGCCTGAGAGCGCACGGCCGGGCACTTGTTTATATGGGTACGTGCATGACGGCGCGCGCGGTCGCATGGGTGTAGTCTTAATCCGCTGTTTTTACACGACGGTTGATTATATGCATGCATGCATGTCGGAACTTACATATATATACGTGTACAGATGTCTTTATCTAGCTTGGCCCTGCCAGCCTATAGCGCCGCCATGATCCATGTGGCCGCCTAGTGAAGGTGCAGCTCAGTGAGCGCTTACGTCATTCAACGATCATGCACGAATTGCGTATATATATGCATGCGTACGTATATATGTATTGAGATCGGACACGCAAAGGCACTCTGCATGGCACATGCTGTATAAACGTCGCGCGGGCAGGATCGATCCGGCGATAAATTCACAAGTCCAACGATTAGCTACGCGGTGTAGCTTGTTCACATAGTGTACATCAAATTGAGTCGGATTCACGCATGATGATGCCAGGCATCATTCATTCAGAATCATTCTTACAACAATAATATCGCCGTGACGGTTAATTGCACAATCAAATACGATAAGCTGAGAAAGAGAGCTCTCTACTGAACTTCGAAAAAATCTTCGCTCATTAGGTCTTTGTCCTCTGGGTTAGCCATCTCCAGTTCTTGTTGGAGTTTTTGCACTCTTTTCGGTCTATCGATCTTTTTATACAACTCTATCATCGAGAGGTAAGCTACCTGATCGGGTGGACAACCTGCTTTCCGCATCAACTTCCAATACTTGATCGCTTTGGCGACTTCCTCTGCCTTGCCGAACGCCGTGATGAGGGTGGTGTACATTTGGACACTAGGGTGCAGGCCAGCCGCTCTGACAAATTCGAGTATAGCCTCAGCATCATCGAAGCGCTTCTGCTGTACGTACGCCTCCATCATGCTGCTGAACGTGAACAAGTTTGGGGCACACCCCGCCTCTTGCATGACCTGCAGTATCTTCTCCGCCTTTTCTACATGCCCCCCTTTCGCATAAGCAGCAACCATCGCACTGTAAGTCACCACCGATGGTTCGTGCCCGGCTTGAAGCATAGCTCGGAAGGTCCTTTCCGCCTGCGCCACCAAGCCCTGCTTTGCATACGCATCTATCATGGCACTGAAAGCATAAATGTCAGGCGCGCACCCAACTTGCTGCATCCCCTCAAACGTCGCCTCCGCTTTTTCCACATCCCCGGCCCGGGCATAAGCTGCGATCAGGGCGGTGTATGCAAACACGTTGGGCAGCACCCCTTGTTCCAGCATGTCCTGCATCATCTGCTCTGCCCCCTCCGCCTGCCCCGACTTGGAGTGCACCACGATCATGGCGCTGTACGACCAGGCATCCGGCTTCAAACCTGCCCCCTTCATGGCTGCCAGCACATTCTCCGCGTCTCGCATCAGGCCCCTCTTTGCATACCCCGTGATGAGAATGTTGTATGTCACCGTGTCTGGTGCTATTCCTGCCTCCTTCATCTCCGTAAACAGCGCTTCCGCTCTTGCCAGCCTCCCGGCGTCTGCCAAGGCTTTGATCGCCATGTTGAAAGTCCGGTCCAGCCTCGTGTAGCCAGGCTCTTTCACCATGAAGCGAAGCACCTGCCAGGACACCCAAAACGTCTCTATAAGTCAGCAGCCATGGAAGCGATGCTCCTAGGTCTGACGCTGCACCTTTGAAGCCAGGTTCTGACGGCAGCAAGCACCACAGTATGCACAGCAGTAGGAAAGTGGAAAGAAAAGGCGAAGAGGAAGAAACAGTAGGATGACGCACAGGAAGGAGAGACAGGCGCGCTTATCGTTCTCCACATCTCTGTTCTATCACCTCAGGACAAAGAGCACTCGTTTGTGCTCAGGGAAGCGCAATAGCAGAGGATTATAAAAGCGACCACAAGGGCAGGAAAAAATCAGTATCAGGATCACAGCCGCCGAAAGAGATAGATAACGAACTGTCTAATTTTCATCTATCATGAAACATTGAAGTGAACCACTACAAGAGGTCAGGCAGCGAGCGCACCTGCAAGCAGTGGTTTACTTGCTTTTCTTTGACTAGGGTGTTGAACAGCGTGACCATCAATCCCTTTGCCGTCCGCGATAGAGTTTCGAGCATGTCGCGCACAGCCGCCTCATCCTCCGCAGTCCTCAGCATCTCTATCGCCTTTCTGACATGCGCATCTGGCTCAAAACCAAACGGGCCAAAGCGTTCTCGGAAAAAGTCTCTCCTCCTGCCAACTTGCTTTGCACTGTTGGGCTTCTGACCAGCTGGGGCCTGCTGTGCTTCCCGTGTCCTTATCCAAGAATCCACAGCATTGTCAACCTCAAGTTGCCCGGGCTTTGTACTTCTTCTTAAGTCAGATTTTGGGGCTGCTTTTCTGATATTCGCAGTAGGCTGATCTGTGTCTCTTTTCACTCCTCTCCTTGATTCTTGCCGTTCCTTAGGTGGTGGTGCTGTCTCAACCACAGAGAAGTCCTCCTGATTAAGGCTTCTGATCTGATGAATGCTGTGCGTTCCTCGGTTTTGCAGGCTGAAAGGCGAGCTTTTTGGAAGCCACACATGATTCCTACAATTGGTGAAACCCCTGGATTGTGCAGTGTCACATTGCAGCTGTCCCCGCCGCTGGCGAGCCTGGTCCGAAGGTGGGGCAGAAGGAAGGCAGAAAGGGGCGCCCAGCGCACGCGCTTCGGCTCCAGCCATCGTCCTGCCTTCTAGTGCGGCAGCTAATACCTATGCCATGGCGGCCCTAATAGGCTTAGGCTTGGCGGCCACCGAAGGCTAGGACTACTCCGCTTGCAAATCCTGAAGAACTCCGATACAGTACGGTACGACCGATGGTGTGAAATGGCTCGATTTGTCCTGTGACTGTCTTTTAATGTAATGTTATAAGCGAGTACTGAACATTGCTTGCCTCCAAACCTGTCAAGAACCGGCTGCCGTTGCTTGTTGCGAGAACGTTGGCTCTTCTAAACGCTACAGGCTACAACAACAGCAGCGCTCGTACCGATTATTTTCCCGGTACGAAAGACGTTTATCGAACCGTCATACTCACTGGTTCAACACACCGGCCAGATCTGTTCCCTGGTCGAAGAGTTCGCAGCGCTCTGACATCCGGCACGGGGGCATAAACCTGTCAGCGTCAGTGTGACACTGTCCTGGTGTGAGTACTACCACCTCGTGCCAGCATTTGGTAACTTCCTTGTGAAATTGTAGCTGTAACCTGCTGTCTCAAGCCAAACGAAACACAGCATTGTGCCACGGCGTAATCGCATAGAACGGTGGTGTGAGAGTCAGCCTCCAGCCGCAACGTATCACAAGCTATCCACATTATGCTTCATTCTCCTTCTCCAGTGCGCAACGCTTTCCACATTGATTGTTAGAAGTTGCCAGTATCTGATTTCAGTTGCCCATTGATAGACTCTGGTGCACCACCTGCTGCTCTTGATCATTTTAGAGTTGCAAACCTTTGTTCCAGCTTGTGACCAGGCATGGGGCTGGTATGATGGATGTCCAGAAGCTGGGACCCTGGCTCTTCGTGGATACCACCAGTGAGAGACACATCAGCATAGTTGCTGAAACATGAAAGTGTGAGACATGCTTTTCTCCTTTAAAGCTTGCTTGCACCTTTCTGCATCTTTCCAACTATATGGTGGTGGTCCCGCTGCGTGTAGCTCTCCCGTCCTAAAAAAATGGATCATCAGGAGTGTTGATGGACATGTGGCACAGATCTACAACCTCCTGGGGAGTGCTCACTACGTTCTCAAATTATCCGCAACATCATCTGCCGCGTGTAAAGTTGCACAATATCCTAGTTTTCCAAGCAGCTCTTCCCTTGGCTTCTTCACGCCCTTGTCGGTGCTCGCCGAGCCTGCTGCACCCTGACCCTTGGATGACTACAAAGATGTCTACTACATTAGTGTCCAAGTTTCCCTGCTGCTCTCCCAAACTTATGGCGTTGATCTCGTCCATGGCGTTGATCTTGTTTGGGAGCCATCTCTGATGTTGTCTGTCGTGCAGGCTGGATGCGAGTGCAGGTCTGCTGACCAATTTTGAAGTTCTGGAGGTGCTCAAGGAGAGGGGGACAAGAACAGAAGCGGACGAATCGGGGGTGCCTGGACCAGCCACGCCTTCGGAACAAAAGGTCAGCTACTGCTCTATGCCCATTCTTCCACTTTTATCTGGTTTTGCTAAGAATTTGTAAAATATGTGAAACCAGATTCTCAATTCATCCGGTTGGTTGCTTCTTGAGGCATGGCAGTTTGCTTGCCAAAGTCCAGCTTTCATGTCAGCACCCCAAAGTCGTGCTGTCTCCTGACTCACTTGGGACTGGGTTTCTGTTACAGGACCTCAGCGAGGTACGAGAGTATAGGTAGCTACAAGGCTTGCTTTTCAGGTCGCGCTTTCCGTACGTTCTTGACCTGCCCTGCACTAGAAGGTTGCCAAGCAATGGAAACACCTTTTCGATGCAGCCTGAGGTGCAGTGTCCTCTTCTTCTGCAGGTCCATGACTACCTGGTCCACAGCCCCGCAGGCACGCAGACGCGCAAGAGCATTCAGACATTCACGGAGGCCATCAAGGAGCTGGAGCTGCTGAAAGCGGAGAAGCTGCAGATGGTCAACCTGCGGCCCAGCATCCCTGTCGAGGTGCACCTGGTGAGCCGCGCCGCAGATCGCGCCAGCATGCATACTGGAGGCCTCAGTCCAGTGATAGAGATATGGAATATTGTTTCTTAGTACCGCCTTGGCTAGCTCCCCTGCAATCGTCGATGAGTTTTCATTCTGCATGCAGTTCCGGGCAGTTGATTGGAGGGGTGATAACCAAGGCGGAGTTTGTCTCTTGGGGAAAGTCCATGTTATTGATCCTTGGGCGGGTGGATGGAGAAGCTCTGGACATAAAGGGAGCAGGAATTATTGACGGAGGAGCAACAGGGGCAAAAGAGGGACCTCCTGCGCAATACATCCACCCGCCCTTCCAGTCCTTTGTCATTCAAGAGACTGATCCTTTCTAGTACTCTAGGCCCATGGAATTGTTCAGGCCGGCGGTATGCCTTGCCAACTTTTGTGTTGGGTCACAGGGGAACCATCATTCAATTGGTCCACCCTGAAATACACCTGCAAGAGCGAGACGACGATGTCCAAGTTCTTCTTCACCATCTTTCGGAGTGTCTTGGTACTCCGCAAGACAAGTGGCTTGCGTCCGCTGTCACTCTGTGTGTTTATGTGCAGGTCGTAGAGGACTGCGATGAGCGGCTCACCACCGACGCAGTTGAGGCGCTCATTGCCACAGTCGACGAGACGCTGCCGCCCGCTCCAGAAGCTGCCGGACCGACAGAGGACGAAGCAACCTGAAAGTAATTGCCAGGGTCTTACGAACCCATTTAGTGGCAGACTAAGCTTGGAGGACGCCCGACCCAGTGCAATCATTGCCACACACAGATCAATGTGCGTGCCGTTGCATAGCAAGGCTGTTGCAACCGATAAACGCAATCCTATCAATGCCTTACGAACCGTCATGACATGCATACTTATCTGGCGGGACGGCCAGGTACAGCGACAAAATTTGCATGCGCACGTAAACCGAGTGCAAAGAATGCCTGCGGTGGCCTGAAAGCACCGCATGCTGATCTCTGAGCCGCCTCGTGAAAAACGGGTTTTTCAAAGCCTGATAACCGTCCGGTAAAGTGACAGGGCCGCGCACATCTAGCTAGGCATGCAATCCATGACGCTGTTATAAATTCGACCCGTCATATGCACGTCTGTAGCGCGACCGCATCCAAAATGAGTGACTCAGCTTTATACTATACAGATTTATGCGTACAAGCTCCGGATCATATTTTATATAAGTACTAGCTAGGTCATAGAGGCACTTCATGAGGCACTACGTCATAAGTCATCGTGACCACGGGTTTGAATGGCCGATCTCTTACCATACGGTACTAACCAAATCTTCCATATGCAAAGTATACCAATTCTCTGACAGACATGTAGGTGCTCAAAATCGGTCCAAATCCGCGTACATATATGCGGCTGCCGACTCGACGTACAGATACTACTCTACGAAGTGACCCATGTGCACCCTAGCTCTGTTATACACCCGCGGCCATGTGCAGCAACGCTACTAAGTGGCGTATCTATGCGCGGGCCCCGCATCGCGATCACCCGGTTCGGCTTGCGCGCACCGCGGGGCCCGATCAAGTGACTCAGTCATTCTTTAGATCCTCGGGACCTCGAGGCGTGTGAATACCAATAACAATCGATTTTCATTTTCGATCATGAGGATCCTGAGGTTCGGGCTCAGATTGGTCTAAATCTCATTGACAAGGCGTTGCAAATGATGTCCGGATGAGTACACAGCAATCAACCGGCCTTTGATATGCAACGTCACTACATAACACGCGATGGTCCTTGCGGCACCGTCACCTGGTGCTTGAGTGTGGGTCACCAGTCTTGGTACAGGTCCGTCGAGCATAATCACATAAGTTCTTATGAGGCCTGTCGCAATATTTTTGCGAGGCATGAGCTTTTTTATCCAATGATGCGAGAAGGTCCCCCGAATGAGCGCCCGGCGGCTGTTCAGTCCGACCACAGAAGATCGTTGCCAAACAGAAGTCTCATCAAACCCATCTGCCGAAAATTTCTGCACACGTGTTCTCAGTAGGTTGGAAAACTCGGATCGATCTCGTCCGCCCATGCCACCACGCCACCCGTGAGGTTGAACGCATTGCCAATGCCCTTCTGCCGCAGCAGCCGTGTGCCGATCTTCGAGTCGTTTCCCCGTCTGCACACCACGTACACGTCGGGCGCCGCGCTCTCCGCCGGGCACCTGGCCGCGGCTTCTGCCACGGCAGCCTGCACCCCAACAGCCTCGTCAAGGAACAAACAACAACGGATCCTCATCATGAGCTCGCTTCCCTGCAGAATCTTAGTGCGTTCCGCTTCATACTCTCTGACACCTTCATGCTCCTGAGTGGTCCGACAAAGCAGCTTCCCAATAAGCAGAGCGGGTGATGATAAACAAGGAGCATGGTTGCTAAAAATCGATTTAAGGGTTCACTGAACGCCCCCTTGGCTTCAACCACCTGTGCTTCCACCATAGCAAAACCGGATCAAGAATAAGTCGTCGCCAAATATTTACCTGCACGTCGGCAATGCGATTCACGAGGTGTTTGAGCGGGATGCTGATCGCCCCCGGCAGCGCCGCGATGGCGAACTGGTGCGCCTCCCGCACGTCCACCACCACGTGCGGCCGCCCCGCGTCCACAACGCGCGCCTTGTACGCGGCGCACGACACGCTCTCCGCAGCTGACAGCACGGGCAACGGGGAGGGATCCTGACAAAACAAGAGATGCGAAGTTTAGTCGTGATAAGAGTCGAGGGGGGGATTTTGTGGGCTTCTATGCGAGAGCGCGGTTAGCCAAGCCACTCTAGTCATCTAACAAAAGGTACCTTGGCTTCACGGTCGGCTGACCCCTCTTGGTAGACAGCCATCCGTAGAAGCATCATGACGGAAATCTTGGACGACCGCTGCCTGCATTCAGCCAACTGGAACGAACCAGAAAAGGCGGTCATGCTCTCAAACGTTGCTGAACCGTGTTGCTGTTACGAGGTGTAGGTAGAGCGTTACAAGCCCGGCCAGTGCCCCGAGCCCTGAGACCAACGTCAGCATTGTGTTTTCCATCATCGAGCACGACAACCTGGCAATGGAAACCAGGCGCAGGGAGGGCCGTCGAAGACGCTCGAAGCAGTCAAGGGGCGGAGGGGAGGACGCACCGTATCTGCTGAAACAAAGTGTGCGTAGTCGAAGCTGGGCAGCGTCTCAGCGGTGATGGTGGGCTGGTCACCACAGGCGGCGCACGTGGCGGAACGCCCACGCAACTTGACCTGCACCGGAGCCGCAAGCACCGTTGAGATTACAGAGACGTGCTCGAGGGCGTCGAAGCCCTCCCATACAAGTCAATCGGTCGCAGTTGGACGTACGAAGCAGGAAAATCTGCGCTAGCTCAATTCCAGCAATTATACAGGGATGAGGGCCTAATGACGAGACTATATCGAAACAGATTCCGCACAGCTGGCAAGCTCTATCCAACGGTCATAAAAGCTGCATAGACTAATCGGTCCGTCGCAGAGTCCTGTAGGGCAAGATACTCAGGGCGTCCCCGGTTGGTTGAGGGAAAATTGAAGCATAATCGATAACGAACACTGAAGCTAGTCACGGCAAAGGAGAGTTCGCATCGACGCGAGTTGGGCGGTGCTCCCGAGAAGGAGCTGGCGAGTGACGGGCGAGGGGCGGCTCACCGTCTGCAGCCTGGTGGTGAGGGCGTCGAAGATGAGCATGCGCGCGCTCAGCGGCTCGCCGATCCCGGTGGCCACCTTGATGGCCTCCAGAGCCTGCAAGCTGCCGATGATGCCCGGCACTGCGACAAACGGGCCAACGTGTTAGTGGAAAAAGTAGTAAACCAGAAGCAACAACGTAGAAGGCTTGGTAAAGTACAACGTTGAAAGTCTCAACATGATGCCCAAACACTCCTCCAAACACTCCTTCATTTTCTTCATCGCCGCCACCAAGAAACCACCTACGAAAAAGCCAGACAGGTCGGTGGAGCTTGCTTTCCACAAGAGGGCTCTCTACGGGCAATAGTGCAAGGTTCTTCAGAGAAGACCACAGCAGGTGGTCTCACCGACGCCCAGCACTCCAGCATCTGCGCAGCGGCGCGCGCCCACTGGGGGAACCGGGAACATGCAGCGGTAGCAGGGGGCGCCCGGCCGGTCGTGGTACACTGCCAGCTGGCCCTCCATGCCCAGCGCAGCGCCGGACACCAGGGGCTGCGGGGGGAGGAAAAGCGCAAGCAGGGGAGTCAGGGGACGCGGCGTGCCACTAAAGGAGATACGACCCAGTCGATTCAGGCCCACGTTACAATCAGACCTATTGCTTCTGGTAGAATCCTTCACGTCGAAGTGGCAGTTGATGCTCCTATTCAAGTTCGTAAAGACTGAACTAAGACCCTCGGGCCACCCTTGCATTCTTTGTCCTCAACGAAAATCACTTCGACATGGTGACAAGCAAGCTCAAAAACAAGACAACTACAAGAAACATGATGTTTCCACTTCTTTCCAAAGAAAACTCTCGTACAATAAAAGCTAGGGCGCTTATTCTTTACCAGGAGAGGCCTCTCGTTTAGATGCCAAAAAAGAGATTGCATCGAGCTTTACCCCCCGACCGAGCTGAAGGTTCCAGACAAGCCCAAAGTACCGGTTCCAACTCACCTTGCCAGCTACGACACAGGCATCATTCACAACGTAGCGCGTGGCAACATTGTCAGATGCGTCCACAATCACGTCGTAAGGGCGCACCAGGTCGAGGGCATTGGCTGCCGTGAACCTCGTTCTATGCTCAACAACCTTAATCGACGAGTTGATTCTGCCACAAGCAGGGGGAATTGTCAACAACGAGCAACAGTTCGAGAAACATTGCTTGAATAGATCGCGGCCGCCCACTTCAAAAGGACATTGAGTCCGCAGGAGTGATTTACCAGACTTGAAATGTTTCCAACTACAGCAGCAAATAAGATTACGGTAGCATAGTGCCCCACCCGGAATTGTGTGCAATTCGAGGCCTTCTCAGATACATATTGCGATGTTCCAAACCAGGTCAAGAGCTCAGATTTTTTCAGGAGTGAGGAGCGGCCACTTTGTGGCGATCCAGAAAGGCCCTGGGCCGCACCTTTGGCATGCCTCCTTTGCAGAGGTCGTCTTTGGGTTGCCCGCCTCTGCGGCTGCCTCTGTGTGAATGACCTGGCCAGGCAAGCAGGCGCACAGTGGGGCTGCAGCACAGGGGGGAACTACCAGGAGGAAGCAAGCAAGTAGCCAAGGTTCAGCGTCACGATTGTGGTGCACATGGGCATGGGCAAGGGTATGGTAGTGCCGGAGCAGGGAGTGCCACCTGTGGGGGAGCCTAGATGCAACAAGGTGGGGATACTTCTTAACTTAACGAAGCTTGAGAGATTTGGGAGCCCCCCAGAGAAGTGGAGGCCTCACCTGTCTGTGCAGGTTGCTCTGCTCCACCACGTCATCATCCGCAATGCCCAGCGTGCCCACCCCCGCTGCCGCCAGGTACAGCAGGACAGGGGAGCCCAAGCCACCTGCGCCTACAACTAGGATGGACGCACAGCACAGCGTGCCCTGCCCTGCACATGAGGACAATCAGTTGGCCCAAGCAAGAACTGAGTGGGCCCTTGGGGCTTTCAAGGAAGCAAGGCACCTTTGGCCCTGGAGAGCGATGATAGGTGCACGGAGGCTGACGGAGATCAGTCTGTTGGTCAGTGGCACGATGATTGAGATGGTGCATCATGATTGAGTGGTGGGGCAGCCTGGGAAGTGATGAATGTTGCGGTCGCTCTCATTTCGCTAAAGCCTCTGTACCATCTTATGAGGTGCTGTGCGATGTCAATTGAAACAGCCATGATGCCTGCTCTCAGCGGCATTGAGATGCGCCGTCACCTGCCACTCCAAATGCTGGCACCAGGAGCTGCCTGCTGTACCGCTCCACCTGCGGTTTGTCCAGCCCGTGACTCTCTGAACCAATCCAATTGAAGCGGGCACGTTTGGCAGGCCTCTCAGACTCTGCACCTGCTTCATTTTTCGCATCACCCTCAACAGCCATACCAATCTCTCCTTTAGAACACCACTGCTGCTCAAGTACCTCCTTCGAGCTTCCGCTCTGGCACTGGCAGCGCGGCTCAAGTCTGACGAGCTTCAAACTTCAAAAGATGCAAGGAGCCAAAGCAGAACTTGAAGACTCGCAGAACTTTGCCATTGGTGAAAAGTCGATTTCTGAGTCGCTTGACACAGGACAAGACTCAAGAGACTGGACAGTGGAGTTTTAGGGTAGAGTCATTTTGTAAGTGGTACCCCCCCATAATTCTATGGGGGTGGGGGGCCCTGGACCGAGATGCAGAACCATGGTCGGAGGGGGGGGGACCCAGCGTAGTTTTTGAGAGTGAGGGTCCCTGGGGGGTACCACCTAGGACCCCCAAGAGGCCAGGACCTTCAGTCTCTAAAGTTCCCATTTAGCCCCTTATAAACAGACTTTGTTCACATATCCTGATCATATTCGTACGAAGTTTGCCCCAAAATGGGCCGAATATGCTGAAAAGCGGCCCTGCGGGGCTCTACAGCGTGCAAGAACTTAGCGGAATCTGCGAATGTTTCCAGAAAAGCTCTATGAAAGCCCTTGCAAAAACTTGCGTTCACCTCTGGCCGGACGACCCCCTTATGCCGCCGGGTGAAAGGGGGGGGGGGGCTTGGGACCCCTCGGCGAAGCCGAGGCCCCCCTGGGCCTTAGGAAAACACCCCCTTGAAAAATGGTCGATAGAATTATGGGGGCCGGTACCAGTAACAAAATGACGGTACCCTTAGGAGAGTGTTTCTATTTATTAGTATTGCACATGCATGATGCAAGACTTGATCGTCCAAGTTCGATTGTGACGACGTCTCTCCCTCACTTCAGATTGTCTTGGCTAGTGTGAACGGCTGTTGCTCGCGTGTTGGTCCACCATGGCGCAGCTGAGCGCTCCTGAGCAGGGCCGGAAGAAGAAGAGGCTGGGCTTTGGCTTGCAGCCCGCCATGAAGAAGGGACGGATGATGGCGCTGGTTGAGGAAGAGGACGCTCCAAGTGTCGCCCCATTGGGCAAGACCGCGAGGGAGAGGTCCATGAACCAGGAGAAGGAGAAGCAGAAGCGGAGAACAAGGGAGGAGGAGAGGAAGAAAGCTCGCAGGTCGATGAAAGAAGAATTGTTGGCGAGATTTCACAAAGAGCTGGAAAAAGAGGAGGAAGCCGAAAGCATAAGCGAGTGGATTGAAAGAGTGGAATCCTGTCCGGTGTTCACGCCCACCAAGGAGCAATTTGAGGACCCGCTCAAGTACATTGAGAGTATTGCACCTGAGGTGGCGGCTGAATTTGGTGAGGACCAGGCCTTAGCTGCATGAATGTGTGTAATGAAGTTTGTTGAGCAACCATGAGGGATAACCCCCTCAGAGTAGAACATGGTCCTGCCAATTGCCCAGCTTGACTGGGGTTTGTCAGAAGCAAATGCAGGTAGCAGGTTTCCTTGTCTACCTTGCCATACCGATCATTGGATTGCCATCCCATGCTCTCAGGGAAGAAAGTTGCGAGAAAGTTGGGGAAGCAGGAACCCTTCTGCTTTGGTTGCCCTTGCAAGTTCAGTTTTCCATCATTCATACCAGCCACAATTCCGGCACTGATATCTTGGGCTTATCGCCATCCCCCATTGTGTCTGAGTATACGAGAATTGTGGTTAAACTACGTAACGGCAGATACCACATTCATGTAACCTCGCCTTCCATCCACAATGAAAGTGGGCAGACCCCCTTCGTGGCCTAAAAACTGAAAAGATGCTACCCTTGCTAGGCCCCCAAATCAGTCATACTGTCATGCGCCAGTACGTTCAGAGATGCTGGCTGTTGCTTACCCCCCTCTGATCTCTTGCCAGGCATCTGCAAGGTGATCCCTCCAGGGTGCTACGTGAGCCGCATGTTCACGGGGCGCACCAAGTTCTGGGACACTGACTTCAAGATGGAGGTGCGCAAGCAGCCGCTGCGCATGGTGGACTGGGACAAGAAGGACACCGCGACCAAGGATGTCAACTTCAACAAGGACACCAAGTGAGGCCCCATTCTGCTCCGCACATGTGGCAGGGGTTATAGATCAAAGGTCTTCAAAACCAGAGTGTGATATTGCTGGTTAAACCCCCAAGGAACAATTTTATCATCAATTAGCCATGCGGGCACTTATGCAATGCAGGTTCATGCTAACGAAACACCTCTTGACAGCGGCTAGTTTTTTGTCCATCTGTACTTCCATATAGCGTTCTTTACAAGCACCTCTCCTGGCCGGAGGCTGGTTTACAGCTTTTGGTACTTGACAGTGACGTTGGGTGTGGTTCCGTTGGTGCAGGCTGTGGACGGTGAAGGAGCTGGAGGAGTGGGCCAACGACTTTGTGACCAAGAACTACGAGAACAGCGCCAGCATGCTCCAGCTGCGCTTCATTGAGCGCGAGTTCTGGAAGGAGTTTCTGCTGCGCCAGAACAAGTCCGTGCGCTACGCCAGTGACGTTCCCGGCACTGTCTTCGACGACTGGGAGGCACTGGGACGCTCCAAGTGGAACCTGGGGGTGAGCGCCCAAGGCGCCTTAGAACGATCGCTGATGCACCTTATCTTGTTCTTCGTGTTTCAGTCTTGCCTGTGACTCTGAGTTCTGGCTGGTTGTTTTGATTGGTGCACACGCCCTCTCAACCACATTGGGAAGCGTGGCGCAGGGTTCACTGATTTGGTGGTTATTTCTTCACAATTTTAAGCAGTGGCAAGTTTGCTGATTGAATCCCTCCTTACAGGCCACAGCTGTGTTTACTCGTTCTTGCTGGTCTCTAGCTGGGGCATCTCTCGCTGTCACAAGACTACATTTTGAAGAACTTTGCATCACGACCCCAGACATTATCATGGAGGAGTTGCAGCTTCTGAACTTCAACGAACTGTGTCCCCTTCCCTGCAGACTCTGCCCACGCTGCCCGACTCGGTCCTACGCATTGTGGAGGACGGAGCTCCACCCATTCCGGTACGCGCCCTCCTTAGCCCCTCGTGCAGGACCCGAAACTCTCACACAATTGGCCCGCTTTGCGGTCTGCTCTTGCTCTGCATGTGGGCTGGTGGTCACTGCCCCGGCAGAGGTCTGTGCAGTGTATGGCACATCGTGTGACTCAGGCTGGGAGTTCCCTACAGGGGCTGAGTGAAGTACAGCTGAGCTGAGCACATCCATGTCAACCACCTTTGCATACTGAGGTTGCCGTTCTGTGGCTGTCCGTGCAGGGGGTGACGGAGCCCATGCTGTACGTGGGCATGCTCTTCTCCATGTTTGCCTGGCACGTGGAGGATCAGTACCTCTACAGGTGCGCCGCTGCTACACCGTTTGCTTGCCGGCTATCACAACACTCACTCATCCTGGATGCCAATGCAGCCTTTGTGTTTCTTATCCTGGCATCCTCTATGCCCCTGTGATATGAACCATTTGCATTAGTACGACTGCCACAGGGAAAGTTGGCCCTGATGTCGTCCATTGGATTTTGTATTCTGTATGTCTCTTTGAAGCATCAGGCTTTGCCTCTCCAGATTGCTGGAGCGATTGGGGAAGCAAGCTTCAACCTCTTAACCCTTGGTTCAGGATCGTGTCCAACCAGCAGGTGCTCAGAAAACATCCCTTTCCAAGCTTTTCGTTTCAAATTGTCCTCACTCTCCTTGGTCCTTTTTCCCCCCCAGCATCAACTACCACCATCTGGGTGCCCCCAAGACCTGGTACGGCGTTCCCGGCCAGGCTGCGCAAGCCTTTGAGCGAGTCGCTCGTGAGAAGGTGTTCAACCTGCCCGATGACGAGGCGGGGCTGGCGCGCACGCTGCGGCTGCTGATTGGCAAGACCATCATGTTCCCGCCGGGCCTGCTCGTGGACGCGGGCGTGCCCGTGTGCCGCGCCGTGCAGCAGCCGGGCGAGTTCGTCATCACCTTCCCCCGCAGCTACCACGCGGGCTTCAGCAACGGTAAGGCAGGGCGTCAGGATGGTGTCACCATGAATATAGACCGTTTCCTGCTTTGCTGGCTGAGCTGATAAGGCATCTGCCTTTGCAACTCTTCCCACCCACAAGATGCAGCATTCTCGTACTTCCTTTGGTTCCACGCTCCTTTGTCTAGATTTAGTCTTCGTTACGATGATGTTAAATATAACAACGGCCTGATCCTCCCTACAATGCATGCGCCACTCTCACCCATGCTTATAGTCCTGATGTGAGCACGATCGTTTCAAAGTTACCCAAAGTCGCAGATTTCTGCATGCTTAGACAGGAGCCAGTATCGAGTCTGGCTCCGATTTGGCAACTTGCAAACCAGTCAGAAATCTCGTCGAAGACGGCGTGATATCTCCTTGTATTAGTAGGACCATCATGCTACAGCAAGCAGGCGCGATGCTGAAGATTGTAGATACTGGCAGAACTGTGACTTCAATAAAACCATTCACTAACATTATCCAACTTCGCTGCAGGCTTCAACTGCGGCGAAGCGGTCAACTTCGCGATGCCGGACTGGTTTGCATATGGCGCAGCTTGCACGCGGCGGTACCGGCTGCTGCGGCAGGTGCAGGTGGTGGCCTACGACGAGCTGCTCTGCAAGGAGGCGGAACAGCTGCACGCCAGGATGCACGCCAACAGCGACACCCACTATGAGGTCAGCATGCTTTTGGCAGGCCGGGCTCACCTGCCGCAGCTGACGAGAATGTGCTGCTGGGTTGGTTCCAGGTGCTGTTTCGATGTGTCACATCGCTGGTGCTGAAGTCGTACATGCTAAAGGTCTGTGCTGATGTCATTTCTAGGTCGTCTTGCTTTGATGCGCTACTGTTGCTTCTCAGAACTGCAAAGTAATCGTGCTGGCGTTCGAAAGCTGCACTTGCGTCCTGACTGGGGCATAGGTTGGTACTGGTGCTCGCCTCAACAAAGCCGCGGTATTAAGGCAAAATACGTTCTTTCTTTTTGCGTGCAGCCGACGGCCATGGACACGGCCACCATGGTGGAGTTCGTTCGGCTGATGCGGTGGCAGCACTGGCAGCGCTGGCGACTGGCGAACAAGGGCTTCACCGCGGAGCCCATCCAGCTGGTGCAGCGCAAGTCGGTGGAGTGCGCGCTGTGCAACCACAAAAACTACCTCGCCTACGTGCTCTGTGACTGCAACGATGGGGCCCCCATGTGCCTCAACCACCGTGAGTATCCTTACCAAGAGACGCCTGCTCTGCTAAGGGGGCGCTTGCGATGTGTACTAGTCAGCAGATGGCTGTTAAAGGCTCCAGTGACTTGGCGGTTGATCTGTTGAGGAGTGACTGCTGGCCCCTGTTCATTTCGCAAGCCTGACGACGCTTGTCCAGCCAAAGTGGCTTCACTTGCGGCTTTAAATTGAGGAAAGAAACATCTGTCGTGAAGATTGAAGAAGTGACTTAGGCAGACCCTGCGTAATATTGACGTCCTGCCGTGCCAGGATTGTCGCACCATCGTGAAACTTGACCCTATCATGCTACTCTCAGCCTGACCTCGTGCTGCCCGGCTTTTTGCAGCGGAGGAGCTGCGCGCATGCCGCTGCCGGCCCCAGCGTGCGCCTGACAACAGCCTGTTCCCCGGTGGCGCCGTTTACCACGCGCTCGAGCTGCCCGTTCTTGAGGCGATTGCCGCCGAATTCGAAAGTCAGCCGGGTGTTCCAAAGAAGCTGGCCGATACTGCAAAGCACGAAGTGACCAAAGAGGAGCTGAAGGACGTGGCGGTGCTGGGCGCAGCGCGCGAGGAGCTCATGGGGGATGGCCAGCCACGGGAGGGCGGGGCCAGCATGCGTGGCTACCGGCGATGGGCGCCTATCGATGGGTACGACTACGCGGGCGTGCTGCGGCTAGGGCGATCCAGCCGGGGACGCCGTCCCAGCAGGCTACCGAACTTTCGGAGGGGGGCTCAGAAGAAAGTGGGGAAAGAACCTCGCCCGACCGCGAACAAAACCGGCAGGCGGGCGGCACTTCGCAGTGCATGGCGATCCAAATCTTCCCGGAGCGCCTCCTCTGGCGTCCTTCAAAGCTGGCGCCTGCAGGCAACCAGCCCGCAACCCCTCCTCAAGCCGCACCCACCAGCGGGCGGCAGCCGGCCTCTACGACCGCCCCCTTGACAGCCCCACAAGCCCTGCCGGAGCTTTCAGGACGGGATGAGGAGCCGTCGGGTGTTCCGGTGCGGGCAGAGTGTAGTTTTGCTGAATGGAGGGCAGAGCGTGAAGGGTGCGTACATGGCGAGCACACCAGCCGGGAGATGCTGGCAGGTTTGGGCGTCACAGAAGGGGCGGAAGTCGAGGTGGCTCCAGTAACGAGAGGAGCAGGAGCGGGCTTTGAGGGAGAGGAGAACACTGCAGGAGAGGAGGGGAACGATGGAGGACGGGAGCGAGATGTGGGCGAGGACGCAGAGCCGGAGCCGAAACCTGCGGATGCGTCTATGGAGGTTGGTGCCAGTGAGCAGTCGGTGCCTCTGGAGGCGGCTTCGGCTGTAGCTGCGCCCCAAGCAGCGGAGGAGACGGCTGAGCAGGCGCAAGAGGACGGCACGAGCGACCCGGGGGTTCCGCAAGTGGCTTCCATGGCTCCTGGCAGGGATGCAGACGGGGGGAACAACGCCCCACTGGCCAGACCAGAAACCGACCCCAACGTGGCGAGCGAGGGGAAGCCAAGTATCGGGCAGCGCCCAGGGTCGGCAACTGGCAGCGAGTCAAGAGTTGGGGAAGAAGAGGGAGCACTTTCTGCTGGCGCGGATGAGAGGCAAGGGACTGACTTTGGCGAGGTGTCGGGAAGGGCACTGCTGGAGGACGAGCCTAAAGCGCCGGTCCGGGTTAGTGAGGTTCCAAAGGACGGAGGCGACGAGACAAACCCAGAGGGTGGGAGCCAGGAGGGGCAGGCTGAGGCACCTGCCGTTGTCGAGGCCGCGGTGCTGGTGGGTGCCACGGAGGATGCCGGTCACCAGGGGGAGATGGGGCAGGCGGAAGACGGAGAGGGGGCGCCCCACGGAGGGGAGGACGGATTTATTGGTGGGAACTTGCAGGCAGCGGGGCAAACGGAGGAGGGTGTGACCGAGGCCGAGGTGGGGCGGGCCGGTGGCGGCGTGGCGGGTGCGGAAGATGCCACTATACTGGATGCAGCGGGGGACGCGGTGTCGTCCGGGGAGGGGGCCAAACAAGCGGCCTCCGGAAGACTTAGTTGGTTCATGTCAAAGTTCTCAGGGTTGGTGCGTGGCCGGCAGGATGTGAACGCCGATGGCATGCAGTTGCCCAGCGAGAGCGTAAGCGTCGGCGCTATGGGGCAGGAAGCGGGGGCCGGCCTTGTACTGCCGGGAGCAGCCAGCGCAGTAGGGGCGGGGGAGCAGACCCGCATGCAGCTGGCACCTAGCCTAAGCGCCGGGGTGCTCAGCAGCGACGAGCCACATGGCAGGACAGCCGCCGGGGGTGTCAGTGGAAGGGCCCCTAATAGCACCCTAACAGAGCTGCCTCGTCAGAGCACCCCGGAAAGCGGGCTTATGTTGGACTGTAAGAAGGGGGGGCCACGGGGCAATGGCCTGACGACGAACGGGTCCGATCTCAATCAGATTGAAGGGGGGATGGCGGGAACGTTGGCACAGGTTGCTGGGGGACAAACGGGCATTGACACAATGCGGAACGCGACGCCCGTCTCAGCAGCAGCAGAAGAAACAGCTCACAGGGGGGCGGCCGAGGAACGGCCGCCGCAGGGGATTTCGGCAGCGGGTCGAGGGCCACTGGTGGGGGCTGCCCGTGCTGCACAGTTGGCCGTTCGACACGAGCAGGGAAATGGCCAGGGACAGCGGAAGCGGGGGCTGCGTGAGGAACGGCCCGAACCCAAAAGAAGTCAAGCTCAAGAGAGCACGACGGGGACAAACCAATGCCAGAAGCAGAGAGAGAGCAGCCCGTCCGGCAATGACAGCGACGAGGTCCCCATAAGTGTAAAGAAGCGAAAGATGCTGCCCCAGATGGTGGGAGCGACGGCTGTGAGCAGACTGGGTCTGCACGAGGTGCGGGCTTCAAAGCCTGCAGCGGTGACGCCACAAATAGCAGGCAAGAGGGTGGACCATTCGACTCTTGACCTGAATGAGGTGCCTGAAGGCGCCATGGCCTGAGCCTCTTTGCCATGATTCATGTTCCTGTAAAGGATGCTGTAACTGATTCGATATATCTAGAAATCTCAAAAGACAATTCGTAGAAAACAATTTGCTTTGTGTCTGTACTTGCGTCAGATCCAGTCTTTGCTCTATCACGAGCAAAGTACAGGAGTTGTTTAGCAGCATAATGTCGTGTCATGAGTAGGTTTTGGCGGGTGATGCACTTTTGAGCCGTCGAGAGAGGGTTCTTGCGATTGTTTGCCACGCTGGACTACCACACCATTATGTCAGAGGATACTAGGAGTGCGGTCGGAGAAGGAAAATAACCACGCGATGACATTCGGCAGGCCAGTGTCTAGAATTGAGAACCACTCAAATAACCATGCGATTCTGCAGACATTGAATGTCATGTGCCATATATTGCCGGAGATTGCTGTTGCAGCTGAGCCGCCATATTCTGCTGTACAAGCCTGGCCGGGCTCATATTGACTACATCCGGCTGACTCATCTAGCACGTGCCTCCGACCGATGGCATGCGCTGCGCACTGAGCACGTTTCTGTCTACTACTAAGCGGCGGCCATATATGATGTAGAATCAATATTCGATCAGCATAATGATAGACGCGTCAGGATCATGGTAGACTATAATATACGATCATGCACATGGTAAGCCTGCGGCGCTTCACTGCAATGCGTTGGATGAAATGGCAGAGATCCAATGGCCTCGCATTGGATCGAAGATCATATACATGCATGCATGTGATGGTACGCCAGCCCGGCGAGTCACAATTCATTGAACTTGTCTTTTGAGTGCGTCACGCAATATCCGATCATATGGGATCAAGTGCACATCATGTTGCATGATGCAATCAATTGAGTTACTACTAACAGACAATATACAATTGCAGCATATGCATGAGTCAGAATTAACATACGATCGGATCAATGTGACAGCTGGCCCATGCCGGCTTCGACGCCTGATTAGTTAATTATGATAAAACTGCATTAAGTTGTACATGATGTATCTCTTCATATGCAGGTTTCATTATTATGCTCGCGGTAAACAGCGTGCGATCATGCGACATGCAGTGCAATATACGGAGCATGGAGGTGCTACTTGAACATACGCGGGATCCGACGAGTCCGGACGCGATCCGATCCGGGCCCGGTGACGGCGGTATCCGGCCGCAAGATTGCATGTGCATGGGATTGAACTTCAGACTGAACCATTGACGCGTAATGACATGCCTAAAAAGGGTAATGATTAGCATCAACCTTTGACTTGAAGGTCTGCAAAAGTTAGCCTTTAAGGTTTTGCCTTACAGTGACGCGTAGCCTGCCCTTCTAATGTGAACGGCCACACCGATCTTGATCAAGGTTCTTCAAATTGAAGCTCAACATCCCGGAATGCTTGACCACATGCGCAGTTGGCGCACTTTTCGAAGACAACGTCCTCTCCATCTTATACTCGAGATCAAAACTATCGTCTGTACAGTTAAAATGAGTTTTTTGACGCGCTTGCAACACGTTTTCGTCTCTCATACTAGCTCTGTACCGTTATGTGTTGTAGCTTATACTTAACCTCGGGCAGTCAGCCGTAATCACCTCTCACAAACAATTGCAATATCTCGTGGCGAAACGCCTCAAATCGAATCCGTCCGTATGTGCCCTGTATTAAGTTCTGCGCTCGTCAGCAGCCCAGCAGGTCCAGGCCTGCCACCAGGAACCCCGTTCCCTGCACCACGAGGAAGAGCGTATACCTCGTGTCGCCCACAGCCACGCCATACGCCGCTGCGCCCAGCATATAAGCGGCCATCCCCATCTCCGGCCCCTGCACCTTTCTCGCCGCCCAGAACCTTTTGCAGCTGGCCCACGTCACCCTCTGCCGCACCTGCTGCATGGACGGCAGCCGCGAGAGCGTCCGCTCCAGCCGCTTCAGCGCCACCTCGCGGCCGCGGGGTGTCAGCAGCGACGCCGCGTCGCCCTTCCGCGGGGTGCCCCCCGGCCGTCTCCTGCTCGCGCTCGGACTCAGCAGAGCGCGCTCAGCAGCGCCCGACAGTTGCCGTTTCATCTGGGGGGGCAGGCTTGCGCTCCGGAACGCCCCCTTCTTGCCCCCCATCACGCTCGGCTCCCGCCCGGTCCTGACGGTCAGCCCCGCGGCGAGCGGCGGCAGGTCGTACGCCGCCAGCTGGTCGCTGCTCTCGCTGCCCGCGTGCACCACAAACGCGTCCACCGACTTGGCCGAGCACGGGCTGACCGAGTCCCCGTCGCGCGCCTCCCCGAGCGCGCCGTCTTCGACTTCGATACCCTCCGGCACGTCCTCCAGGCCGCCGTCCAGATCGTCGTCGAATTCGTCGGCCTCCTGCACGGCGCCCGTCTTGGCGGTGACCACCCAGTCGGAGGCGCCCTTGAAGCCGAGCACGCCGCTCACGATGGCCTGGAACTTGATGCGGTACAGCACGTTCTCAAACACCAGGAACGGCAGCAGCAGCGGCCACGACCTGCCAGGGGGAGGGGATGGGTACTACGGTAAGTGACACTGGACATGAAAATGTGGATCCTCTTCCGTGATGTGCACATGATTAAAAATCGGGAGCGGGGACACTGAGACTCTACGAGGGTCTGCGAGGAGAGAGCAGCGACGAAAATCACTTTGAAGGCTAGCAAGGCTGAAGCGGACGTCGCTACGTTAGGCGACTTGCAACAGAGGAAGAAGTGCAAATATGTTAGGTGACTTAGAATCGAGGAAGGAGTGCAACTAAACCTTTGAAGTTTAGATGCGTAGCCAAAGAAAGCCAAACGGCCGCCGGGGCGTAAGCGTTGGAAAGCTGATGTTGCGCCTCACCCGGGGTGCGGGAGCCAGTGCAGGAAGGCGAGGAGGAGGGGCATGGCGTAGACGACGGCGGCGGGCACGGTGGCCTCGGGGACGAGCACGGTGGCGGGGAGCAGCAGGCAGAAGAGGGGGTACGCCGCGAGGGGGAGCACCAGGCGGCGCAGGCCGAAGAAGCACGCCAGCAGGTTGAACTTGTGCCACGCCGTCAGCGTGCGGGACGCCAGCGTGGAGCCGGCCGTCAGCAGGCACAGCCGCATGGGGCCTAGCAGGAGAGCGGGCGAAACAGGGGCTCAGAACGGGCTGGGGTATGGCAACTTCGAAATGTCATGAACAGGGTGTTTACAGAATGTCCGAAGCGGAGCCTGACAGAAGCCTTTAGCCAAGGCCTTCCATTGTTGCGGATAAGACGCCCGCTCTTCTGTTCATACTTCCTACGTAGAATGAAGAACTGGAAGCTGACTTTCGGCTTGTCAGTTTTGCCATCGTAAGATCGTAAGACCAAAGACCAGAGTTTGCTGTCCAGGACTTTCCTATTCCCGGCCCATTTCCATGTCGGCTCTCTCACCTGCATACCAGCGGTGCTGCTGCTTGCAGAAGGCCACGTAGCTGGCGGGTAGCTCCGACGGCACCCGCACGTCGTTCAGGAACGTGAACTCCCAGCCGAGCATGTGGGCGCGCACTGCCAGGTCCTGCACGGTGCACACGCAGAAGCGCTCAGTGACGAGGAACGGAGAGAACCATCGTACGTGGGGGTCCTTGTTGACGGTCCATGAGCAGATTGACGTTGCACAAGGAGAACCAAAGGTCCAAGTCTGAAGTTGTGCCCGAGGCCTGCTGCTGTTTCGCTTTCAGATTGGTCAATTCTGCAGGAAACGGCTCCTCCTGTGCCTGCCTTGCCTCTCCTCAAGCCCTCATCGACCAGAGCTGGGAGCCCGTGCTCCTTCCGTGTCCATACAGGGCCTTGTAACTCGTTCGTCCAGACATCAAACCTTCCCCGCTGTCCTGTAAACTTTCCTCTTCTACCTGTCGTTGCTTTCCTGCCGTTTCCTTCTTCACACCACGAGACATCCATCATCACCAAAAAGGTCCTCAGGTCCTTGCACGAACTGCTGAGCTCCTCCAGCGGGGCTGCAAAAAGTCTTGCAGCGCCAGCCAGCTCTTGCACTGCTCCTGAAGGCCTGTGTGCATGCTCACCATGTCCTCCACTGTGGTCCTGTCGTTCCAGCTGCCCGCGTCCTGCAGCGCCTGCACCCGCCAGACGCCGGCGGTGCCGTTGAAGCCAAAGAACTTGTTGAAGTGGCCCTGCACCTGCTGCTCCACCTCGAAGTGATACGCGAAGTGGATGTTCTGGAAGCGCGTCAGCAGGTTCTGCCGCGGGTTCACAAACGCCCACCGTGCCTGGCAAAAAGGGGCGACCTGGGGGTTCAACTGATGCCTGGGTGAGGTCCACTGAGGGCATCGGAGGTTTGTCTTTTGTTTTTTGTGCATATGATGCTTTCTGCTTCTCAGTGCTCGCACAGATTTGAAGGAGGATCAGAGCAACGTGAAGAGCACAGTGGTGCCGGCAATTGGGTAACCCCATTACGGTGCGCTTGCTCCAACGGCCTATTGTGCAGCAACAGACCAGCACCTGGCTAGACACATCCGATAAGGACTGAGTTCCTGCGGCTCACCTGCACTAGCGCCAGCTTCGGCTGTCCCTCAAAGTGCGGAACTGTCCTCCGGAGGAAGTCGCTGGCTGGCACAAAGTCGGCATCCAGGATGGCCACAAACTCGCAGTGCTTGGCGGAGGGGTCCTGCATGCCGTGTGCCAGATTGCCCGCCTTGTGCCCCGCCCGCACCGCGCGGTGCAGGTAGAAGATGGGGGCGCCCGTTGCGCGCCAGGCGTCTACCTCCTCGTGAATGAGCGCCTGCACGTCGTCCTGGTCGGAGTCGTCCAACACCTGGAGGAACAGGGCGAGGGCACTAGTTGGATATCAAAGGTGACGCTGACAATGTTACAGGTGTCAGATTGAAGTTGCCCAATCTGAAAATTTGCCAGATGTCAAAATAGGTAACAAACAAGAGGCGTTGCTGTCAACTGTACAGGTGTCAATGGCAAGTTGGACCAACCTGCAAATCTGACAGCTGTCAAAACCAGTTGACAATGACCGTCATACCATGACAGGTGTCGTTGGCAAATTGGTGTCTCTTGCCATCGACACCTGTGTTTTATTGCCATGACAGGTGTCTCTTACCACGATAAGAACACCAGCTTCTGTCGATGGAGAGTCACAATCCTTTGAATCTCAAAGACCAGCAAAAGCAAACCAGACGTGTTTTGTTCCAGACAGATTGCGTCCGTAATGACTATGAAGAGGAGGCCAGAAACATCAAGTCAGCTTTCATCAGGATCATTCTGGGTCTTGCCTGTATCACAAGCTTGTCTTGGGGCCAGTCCAGCCTGCACGCCGCGGTGATACTCTGACGGTAGCACTCCCGCTCGTTGCACATGGGGATTTGCACCACCACAGCCGGCTCATACGCTGGCATGCCCACCACCGTCCCCTCGTCCTGAGTGGTGGCAGCTGCCACAGAAGGGGCACCCGCCTTCCCGGACCGCCGCAACCCGAGGTACACACCGGCCGCTACCAGCAACACCTTGTCAACACTCTGCAGCAAACAAACAACTGTCAATGACGCGGCGAGGGCCTGTCTTGGATTATCAGGAGCTCTGTGGCTCATGTGACTCCGCGAAAACGATGGACAAGTCAGCCCCTCCCCGGGTCGCAATTGTTGAAAGAGTACAAGCTGACACCGCTTTTGTATGGGTCTGAACCGACTCTCTTAACCTGACATTCTCAGGGCACGTTGGAAAGCCTTCTTTCACTGGAGAATCAGCTTCAAGTAGGATATTGCTGAAGCCAAGGAAGGAAGATACTTTGGTCCACCTGAGTCAAGTGCATCAGCATCAGAAAGCTGACCATGACATAGAGTCGTCTACCAGAACAGTTCTTTCCCGATTGCCATGAGCCCCTTCATGTAAGACTCTTCGTACCTGGAGCAGGAACGCCCCCACCAGGAAGTTGAGCACTGGCTGCATCAGCGGCAGCACCCATCTCGTTCGGAACTCCTTCCAACCTCTCGATGCCGTGCCAGCATCAAGAGTACCGCCGTACACAAGGCGCGACAGGGCCCAACACAGCAACACAAAGAATCCCACTTGCAACCCTATGCTCTGAACTTTCCTAAAGTTCACGAGGTGTGCTCTCTTCTTGGGGGTTCCCTCTTCCTGTTGCAACCCAGCGTCAGTCTTCCTTTGCCCCATTTTAGCGGGCGAAGGTGTTCCCAGATGGCAACCACCAAGAAATTGCAGCACGTATCAAGTGGCCATATGCCCGGCCCTCAGATCGCAAATAGCGGGTGGATTGCAAGTGCACAGGTTGGACAGGTCCCTGCTCTCTGAAGACTAGAGCCAAAGGACACTCGCTCCTGATCTCAAGATCTGCCTCTCTTCAGAGTTATCTGATGGGGGCAGCAATGCAGGAGCGCTCCGTGCCGTATCCACCAAAGTTGATTTCTTCACGTCACAATGCCAGATGAAGCGAGCATTATCAAGAAGAAAGTGGACAATGCCCGCGGCTTTGGCAGTGCCCTCTGTGTCCCAACGCCAATGCTCGTCATTGCTATGGCCCTGTGTCACAATTGCAACCTCAAAGACTTCATGAAGAATCGTGATTCTAATTTCTAGAAATGCACGGATCAAGCCGGCCCCGGGATCCCCGAGCATTCAATGATTTGATGAGTCAGAGGAGTCACATCCTCGCTACGCCCGACGCGTTGACTTCGAAAAATGAGGTTCCAACTTCTCCGAGCAAGGTTTCGAGTCCTGATCTTTGAATCGTCCGATTGACGACAAGTAAAACTTCGAACGGCTTCGGTGGTTTCTTTCGATCAGGAACTAGGTATTCTCCAGAGAAGTTGGAACCCATTGAGCAGTCACTCAAATTTAGAAGGATCTTGGCTGTCCATTATACGATATCAGGATCTATGGTTGTATGATGAGCTATCGGTAAATGTTCACTTGACGAATCGTCCATTTGGAACAGGAGACTTTGGATGGGCGGCTGCGGCATCGTGGATTGTCACGTGCGCAGCAACTTCGAATTTATATTTCTTGGTTCACAAGGGCCGTTAGATCACTGTGTGAGACCTATCGGACGGTCAGATGAACATCACTTGCTCTCAAGGTTGAAGGAAAGTGAAGCTGAAGATCGCGCCTACGGCAATGTGGATAAAGCTTGAAATAGGTAACGCAATTTAATATTACCTATCCTTTGTAAATGGTTTGATAGATAAGACACTCGCAGCATTTTCTGGCGCTCAGCAACCATGGCGGCCAGCAATGTGGGTGTGCAGACACAGGGGACTACCTTTCGCGTCGCTGCTCCAAACTCTTCCTTCTCGCAGCATGTGCGGGGGACTGCGCTCGCTTTGCAGCCCCCATGCATCGCTGGCAGGCTGCGGAAATGGCCAAGTGGCAGTGTCAGCATTCAATGCAGCATGAAGCAGCGCAATCCAGCACCGGAGGGGAGACCGCTGGCCAGGAGGAGTCTCCTCGCAGCTGTGCTCCTCTCTTCTCAAGCTCTCGTGCTGGGGGCAGCTTCGGCCCGGGTCGTCCAAGAGGAAGAAGTGGCTGGTGCGTTCCATGGCCTAGCTGCCTGCTGTTTTGCAGCATTGGTCCTCTATACAAAGTGTGTCATATTGCTGCAATGCTGCACTGAAGCAGGGCCAGTGCACCATTGTAGCACTATTTTGGCCAGAAGCCCAGCTTTGCCAGCGAGCTTGGAGAGTTGGCATGACCATACTAGCGGGACCATGTGGTAATACCATTTGCGAAATGTTGTTTGATTTTGAACACACACAATGTTCAGAATATTGGTGGTATGAATGTGTGGTCCTGCGTTGAGCGGCAATGGCCACGAGACCGACTCCATGAGGATGCAACACTGTTTTTTAAACTCACACTTGTTGCTCTGCCATATGGTAAGCTAAGATAAAACAGCATGTTGCTGACCACCACTTTTGAGGTTCGAGGACTTTTGGGTGCCCATTTAGGTCCAGTAATTTTGTCAAGTGCAAGTATCTATGAATTTCCGATTTTCCTGTTTGGAAGAGTGGCCGCCTAAACTCCTCTTCATTTACCGGGTCTGCCTGCAGCATCTGAGGAGACGAACCTGCAGATTGTCGCAGAGCAGTGCTGGTTGCGCATAATTGCCCTCTTCACATGTAGTGGACTGACAGATAAGCTGTGTTTCAGGTTGCGGGGCGTTCACTGTGTGGGCTTCAGTCAACCCAATCATCGGGCCTCTATTTAGGATCCCCAGCCAGGTTTCCGCATATAGGTGTACTTTTATTGTCACATGTACACATGGCCTTCGGTGACAAGCCATAGTCGGCCCTCACGTTGTTCTCTTTTCTGTTTTCTCTACAGAATCTGAAAAAATGTATCGGGACTTTCTGCGAAGGATTGGGGAGCAGAAGAAAGCACACCCAACCCCGCCAGCCCCCTCAGTGGAGCCGCCTATGGCCACAACAACTCCAACGTCCCCGTCACAGCCACTCCAAAGCGTGAAAGCTGAGGTGACCCGACCTGTAGAAACTCGGGAGAACCCAGAAAAGGCGGAAAAGGCAGCACCAAGCGAGGCGGCGGCGACAGAGGCGGACCCCAAGCCAGACTTCTTTGCGAAGGCCGCGTCGGCTGCTGCTGCAATGTTTGCCGGTGATAGCGCTGCGGACCAGGCCGCCGCTGCCCCCATAGCCGATGCAGTCTCAGATTCAGTGCCAGACACAGAGTCACTGGGGTCTCTGCTGTTGGACGCACTGTCAGCACCTGCTTCAGGAGGAGGACCCTCGCCGGAGGATGTGACACAGGGGGCAGCAGCGGCTGTCGGGGTGAGGGGGCCTTGGTGGACACAGCCTGGCCTGGACAGACGTTTGCCGCTGCAGCCAAACTTATTCTTACTAGAGGAATGTGCAGAAACAAGTATGCAAGGACACTGGCCAACGAAGACTGGTGATTGAACCAATTTGATCTGCCGGTGTTCCTCTAGCAGCCCTATTCATGTTTTCATAAAGTTATGTTACCTGCCTCCAATTGTGATCATTAGTTGCAGGATGTCCTAATGCTTGACATGTGACCTGTGCCATATCTGCTTCTGTAAAACCAAGCGCCAAAGAGTGCAAACATTCGACCTTGCGCTTTTGCACCTGCAGGATACGGTAATCGGAAATGTCGGTGGCATCGCAGCAGCGGTGGCGGGCCTGGCGAGCGTAGTGTTGGGTTTCGCCCTCGTTTCTGAAAAGGCAGGCAGGAAGAAGGAGGCAGAGGAGGGAACCCAGGTGAGGCCGGCACAGCGAACTTCTGCCTGAAGTAAGGCTTTTTGGACACTCTAAGTTAGTGAAGACTCTCTCAGGCGAGTAAAGTAGTGAATTGGTCAATCTGGCAGGTCTTCCTATCATCAAGGATGTCCTGAGCCCTTGTCCCAACAAGGGTATGGCCGGGCTTCACATGTGCCTTACCCCTTTCGAGTTTAATCCTGAATCACAGTGTTGGTTGGAGTTCCTTCAGAGCGAGAAAGACGTTAGTCATAAGTAGGCACAAGAGGAAACCCTGGCTCTCTGTCAATTGTTAAGTTGCTCCTCTCGAGCTCAAGTGGTTGCAGATAGAAAGCTGGGGTCTCAAAGCTTCTAATGCTTAGCAACTAATCCTGATCAATCAACACTAGAAGTCACTCCCCTACAGAAAGTGCTCCCAAAAGTAATGGTTGAAGAAATTTCCAAGTGGTTGGAGAACCAAACTAAAAGTCGCCTGCCAAGCTCAGCGTAAAAGGCTTCGGATCTTCACCAATTTCCACCGCGACTGATTCAGCCCGTCGCGACCAGACATTCTTTATGTCCTTGATCAAATATAAGCATTTCGTAGGTCCAATCCCGGCTGCAAGAGACCGAAGCGGCTGCAGCCGCAGAGAAGCAGCGGCTCGAAGGGGAACTCTCGTCGGCAAAGGCAGCAGCCGCTAAGGCTTCCGCACAAGCCTCCGAGAAGCAGACGGTGCTTTCGAAGGAGCTCGCGGACTTGCGCGCAGCGGAGGAGCAACTGCACAGGCAGCTGCGCAACGAGCAGGGCCGCGCTGCAGAATTGGAACAGGCCAAGGCTGCCCTCCAAGCGGATGTGAGGGAATCCTGCGAAGTGGTGCCGGCTCTCGCAATCCCGACGAAATTGAAGGGCACGCATTTGATCGAGTACGAGTCCTGATGTGGCCTGGATGCAGAAAACAGACAAGAGTATTCTCGGCTGTTGCATGGAAGCGAGACAATGTAGTCCGCGCACTTCCAATTTCTGAACAAGGATCGATATCTTGAGAGTCTGCTTGAAGGAGTCTATGTTGACTTGCCCCGTAGCGTCTCTTCGACAACGTTCCTTTCCAGTTTCCATGACAGTTTCCATGCGTTACTCCATAAACCGGGCCGACAATCTTCTGCGCTGCTGATAAAAAGAAGCAATACATCCACCGGTTTAGAGCACGTGTGACCAAAAGCCGTCAGAACGATGCTTGAATTGAGTGAGATGCTTCTATCCGCAGATTGAGGCCGGCTCTGCCAGAGAGAGCGACCTCCAGTCGCAGCTGGAGAGCGTGTCTGCGTCTCTGGCCGCGTCGAAGGAGGAAGGCGAGCAGGCGCGGCAGCAGATTGCGGAGCTGCGCTCCCAGATCAGCGACCTGGAGGTGCGCCTGAGCGCGGAGCAGGAGTCGTTGAAGTCGGTGTCGAACGACCTGGTCCAGAGCCACGCGCTGGTGGACAAGCGCGAAAAGGAGGTCGACTTTCTGCAGAGCGAGGTCGCGCAGACCACCGCCGCGCTCGAGAGCGCCCAGCAGCAGGCCGCCAGCCTGCGTACAGACGTCGCAGCGCGTGACAGCGCGCTCAACAAGGAGCGCAGCGTCTCATCCGCGGCCAAGTCGCAGGTGGGCGGGGTAGCTGCGCTTCAATCGCAGACTCTAGCTTCGGAGTAGCGCATGCAGCAGGATGTCGGCATGGCCTCTCTAAATCGTTTTACCATTTTGAACAAAAGGTCGGGTAATGAGCCAGCCGGCCGCTCGCAGCTGGTTGCGGAACACTTGCTCCAGTTTGCCAGAATAGCGGCAAGCTGTGCCGACGCTTGTATACCCATGCAGTGCAACCCTCAACTCATAGTCACCGCGTCGAGAGTCTGTTGGCAGTTGCAGGTCAGTTTAGTCCAGGACCGTCTGTTCCCGAGAAACACACCAGGAGCGACAATCTGGACGGTTGATATAGCCAGATACGACCAAGAGCTTCGCTAACGTGACCTGCGCGTTTCCGGCGCCAGGTGGAGGCGTCACAGCGTGCGCTGACGGCGGAGAAGGAGACGGTGGCGGGGCTGCGGGCGGGCGTGCAGCAGGCGTTGGCGGAGCTGGAGGGCCTGCAGGCGATGGTGACGGCGAAGCAGGAGGAGCTGCGGCGCGTGGTGGCGGCCGCGGAGGAGCAGGCGCAGGAGCTGCAGTTCCTGCAACACGCGCTCAGCGCGGAGAAGCAGGCCAGCGAGGGGCTCAGGTGACGCCCCGCGCACGCGCCGGCGAAAGCCCATCAAGAAATGGTTGCTTTTGAGAAGGGGTGCCGACTTGATCGGGACAATTGAGTCGGCAAGAGTGGCTAGTTTGGCTTTCGAAGGCACACAAAAGTCATCGAGTCTTTCATAGGCCTCAATTCAAGGTGTGAGCGTCCCCACATTCCATTTGCCAACATACCTGCCTGGATTCAATTCGAGGACGACTGAAGGGGCACATGGGTCGCTGGCTGGTCGCTGTCCACGGAGAAGTCAGCTTGTTGCTGCGTGGACCGATGCTATCAAAAGTCAATCTGCAGTTGTGGTCGCTCCTGCCGGTGGTCAGTGCACAGATTATGGAAATGAAAGCAGCCCGGCGTGTTTCTGGGTCGCCTTTCGCGCTCCCCTAGATTCCGCTCTGTTGTGTGACGCTCCGTCCCCCCTTTCTGTGCAGGTACGACGTGGTCAAGGCGGAATCCGCGCTTGCGGAGGAGCGTGCGAAAGTGTTCGAGCTGGAAGGCGATCTGGCGGCTGCGCGCGGCGAAGCAGGCAAGCTCAAGGGGCGGGTGACGGAGCTGTCGCGCGCGCTGGAGGCGGCCGAGGCCAAGGTGGAGAGCAACGCCAAGGTGCGCGCCGAGGCAGCGGGGCTGGTCAAGGCCGCGGAGGACCAGCTCGCGCAGGCCAAGGCGCAAGTGCGGGCGCTGCGGGAAGAGGTGCGTGCGTGCAGAGTGGAGCTTTTCTTGGTTCGCTCGCCTAGGATGAACCCGCGTGGATTGCAAGTTTGCCGAGCGTCTCAGTTTCTATCTATCGCATTGGTGTGAGTGATCGTGGCTTTTATTCCTTGAAGACAACGACCCACCAGTTTATGCTGACTCGTGCTTCCCTGCTTCCTGCGGAGTTTCTAGGAATTGCAAGGGTCCTTGAAGGGGTCCGATACAAAGTTTTGGTGCCCCACTGGCTTGCGTGACAGGACATTCTGGCGGCCGAGGTTGGGTAGATAGGACTCTGTAGCTTTTCCGGGGAAGCGACAGATTTGTGCAGCTGCGAAGACCTTGAGTCGGGACTGACTAGTCATTTGATCAGACCAGCGTGTCTACTAGTCCTTGCTCTTCAAGTTCCGCCCCTCCGGGATTCTGTCTTTTCAGAACGGTGTGATCGAGGGCGCGCGGCAGCGGCTGGAGGATGGCCGCGCGCGCGACAAGCAGACGCAGGAGCTGCTGGCGGCGGAGCTGCAGGGCGAGACGAACGCCGCAGCCGCCGCGCGCAAGGAGCTGGGCGACGTGCGGCAACAGCTGGCCGCGGCGCTGGAGGCAAGCCGCGCTCCTAGACGGTCTTCTGTTACGTTGGATTGTGGAGGAGTAGAGCAGACGATGTGCGATAAGAATATGGATGCGCCCCTTCTGTTGACCTCCTCGTTGGACAAGGGTCAACGTGAAGTAGCGTGTTCACCTTTTCAGAGAGGTCTCTCAATGTAGAAACGATGGTTCTGCAGCGCAGGCGTTGTCGCCGCATATGTGACTGGGTCAAAGCCTGGTGGCGGTAGGACTTTCAAGAAAATCAGCCTCCTTGGGACGGGCTTGTTGGTGGGATGATTTTTCTTCGTGGTCTTTAGGTGTGCTTGCGTTTTGACAGTTACCTGTTTGTGCGGATGCAGAAGCTGT